GTGGCAGAAGAGTTACAGTTACGCAGAGTTAATAAGGTGTTGGGGGATGGGAGTTACCCTGTCGGATGACTAACTCTCCAGAGCGAGTGTTACACATGCTGTAAATGGTCATGCATGCCAGATGCATATGTACACTAAAACTGCCATCGGCATATCTTTTTCTACGGATCGAACCTCACGACGTTGCCACCATCTACACACGCTCACCACCGCTTGGAGAGCACAAAAAGCATATGCCTGAGTCGCCGAAATACATCTCAGATGATTCTCCAACCGACACATACGCCCCACAAGCGCCACCAGAGGTGATTGACCTGGACGAATACGACACGCAAAGCGAGTCGGAACATGGATCCGATGCGGAGTCGGATGATCTGATCCTTACGACGAAACCGGCTGTCCAGTACAACAAGCTGCGGGAGCTCAAGTGTCCCATCTGTCTCGATCCGCCCAAAGTCCTTTGTGTGACTCCCTGTGGACACATTTATTGTGGGGACTGTATCTACACGGCTCTATCGTCCGGAGTTCGAGCGACGCAATTGAAGGGAGAGTGCAGCATTTGCAGAAAGAAGGTCGCTTACAACTCCATTGTTTACTTGGAAGCCAGACTGGGGAAGGAGAAGGAAGACTCAGAGGAGAGCGACAACGATGACGGAGACGATGACGGAGACGATGAGGAGGAGTCAGCTGAAGTTGGATCTCCCGTGGAAGATAGAAGAGCCGTCAAGGTCGAAAGGCGACGGTTACAAACACTAACAAGATGACACGCGTCCAGAGCGGACCTTCATAGTTGCATTATATATTTATTGACTTTTAGCGATTGTATCCTGTGTGCAGTCAGAGATGAACGGTTCGATTTTCGGAGGTGCACGGATTATTTAGCTCTCGTGTTGCCGTGGTTACCGCCCGTGGGGGGGAGTCTGTTTATCGACGGTGGGTTGTCTGAACCTACATTGTCTACATTGTAGAAAAGGGGGTGCTGAAAATCGACAGACAAAACACACACACGATGTATTGGAGAGATAGATCTGTGTTTGGTCATTCTCGGCTCTGCTATGGCTTGTAATAACTTCAAAAAGCTACTTGTAGCAGATGGGCTCTGAGCGGTTCGTGCCGCAATCTATTTTGGATGAGGCAGTGGTTCCGTTCCTGCGTGGTGTCCACTTACTGGATGTGTGGCCATTGAATGCCGGAAGTTGAGCAGCTGTCTATATACCCGGGGATCTGGTTGTCCTGAGGAGTGGTTGTTCGTGTGGATCTTTTCCATTGCTCGATTGTTGTCCACTGGGAAGGTGTCATTATGCGAGTAATTACAATGACAGAATGTGACCCATATAGGTTAGACCCATTGTACAAGTACTTTTACCTGGAAGTCTTAAAACAAACAGAGAATGGAAATTTGTACTTGTACAAGTAGACAGAGTGGTTAATAGACACTTAGGACCCTTATGGACTCCTCATACACTCCTTAAATCCATAAATACGCTCTCTTCTCATATACACGACCTGCCGTATCTCCGACGGCCGGGTAAAACTTAACCTGTACAATCCCCGTAGGCTTTTTGGCGTAGCTCGCCTCCAGATGTAACGTGCCTCACCATGCACTCGCTGCAAATCAATTACCCCAAATGCCAACCTTATCAACATTAAAGTCTTGTATGTGGAAATGAGGAAAGAAAGACGTGAGAAAGACGTTCCTGACTGCTGGAAAATTACATCTGTTGATTGGCTCATTACCGTACGAAACAATTGCCAATTATGCAATCTAATTCAGCTGTGGGTTTTGGGTGGGGCTCATGTAAAGTGCTCGTGTCATAAGAGATGGTGACTACTGTACTTTACATATACACATACACGTCTGTTCACACTAATAATCATAGAAACTAAAGAAATAAGCCATCCAGTGGCCGAAGAAAAACCGGTCACACACTAAGCAGTAGGGTGGGCAACGACAGCGCTGACCTTGGTGAAGGCGCTGGCCTGGGGTCCAGAGGTGGGGGAGGTGGTGATGGGGTGGTTGATGGACCAGGTGGCGCCGGTGGCAGAGGTAGCAGAGGGGATACCATCAGCGCCCTTCTTGATGGGCTCGATGGAGCCGCCAGTCTTGGAGTAGTCGGCCTGAGCAAGACCAATCACATCCTGGCCAATGTCGTACACCACATAGGCCGATCGCAGGAAGGAGTCGCCGAAAATGTAGCCAATCTCACTAGGAGGGTCGTACCGGTCTCCGTCAGATCCGTCACCGACCAGGAAGGTGTAGTACTCCTCGACCTTGCCGTTCTGGTTCACGTACACCTGGTTGTCCCATCTATCGGTGGCGAGAATGAATAGCTGGTCCACAGGCACCTCGATCTTCTTGCCCTGGAACTTGTAGGAGACGACAGCCTTGTCGGCCTTGAGCTGGTCAATGTGCTCCTTAGTGGTTCCGGGACCATAGTTGTCATCGTCAAGAAGACCCAGAGCGTTGATGAGAGTCTGGTAAGTCTCGGTAGGAACATAGGTGAGGGTGGTTCCGGAGTCCAGCAGCACGTGGCGGGTCTTGTCGAGGGCATTGGTGTTCTTGCCACCGACAGAAACATCGACACTGTCAAGAGTGACAAAGAACTCTCGGGGACTGGAGGCCCCCTCATCGGTCAGGGTCTTGAGGATAGCCAGTTCTCCAGAGAACTTGCCAGTGTCAATACCGCCGAAGAGAACAGAGCCAGTGGAGGCATCAAGACCATCGAGGTACAGAGAGTAGGCAGGGGTGTTGATGATACCATCCTGAGCCAGACGAATGGGGAAGTTGTCATACTGGAAGGTCTGGCCAACCTGCTCGCCCTGGAAGGTGGAAGCCTCGTTGCCTTTGTATCCGATACCGAAAATCTGCTCCTGGGAAGAAACGTTGGAGGCAGCGGCAAAGATAAATTGGGGAACGGTGGCTCCTCCAAAGCCAATGGTGTCCTTGACCCAGTCTCCAGCGGCATGGGAGCCGTCTCCGTAGTAGATGGAGAAGCCGGGCTTGTAGTCCTGGTAGGTGGAGGACTTCTTGGAGTCGTAGGAGCCCTTGGAGCCGTCAGCGGCGACCCACAGGTCCGAAGAACCGGTATCGAGATCTACAGTAAACTTCTGAGGGGGAGTTCCAAGAGTGATCTCAGTATCGTAGTAGATGAGATGGTTCTTGAGGGTGGCCTGGGGAGTGGATCCAGCCTTACCGGGGTTGAAAGGGGAGTTGGGATCAGGGCTGTTGGAAGAAGCAACGTTCTCAACTCGCTTGGTGAAGTCCAGCTTGAGAGTTCCGGGAGTGGAGCCCGAGTTGGAGGCGGGAGCGGCGTTGGCAAGAGCCATAAGAGCTGCCAGTTTGACAAAAGAGTTGATCATGGTGGTGGAGAAAGGTCAGAAGACTGTGTTTGGATGGTTTTCATCTGGTGAACTGGGCCTGGTTATATACCATGGTGACTCCAGGTGCGCGAGAGCACTCTCCGATAGAGTGATCCGAGTATAGTTCATACGGCACTGCACAGGGTGGAGAAGGTTTGGAGGTGGTGATGATGAATTGGTGATGGTAGGGTGGCATTGAGCCACAGTAGGGGGTAGATTTTCGGGGGGAGGGGGTGCGATGAAGACAACAGAATGAGTTGCTTGTGGTTTGTCAGGGACAGCAAAGGGCGAGTCTTCTTTACTCGGTACATACAAATACCCCGTTACTTACAGTACATAGTATTCTGCAGAATACAATAACAACAGATGGTGTCAATTGAAGGATATGGAAGATTTTTTTCCAAATCGGAATTCGAAAATCAACTTTTCAGGGTCCCAATTAACCTCAGACAGCTCCAGCTAACCCCATACAAGCCATACACTCATCTACCAATGGTATGATCTCATTCTTTTAACTCTGTCAAGTTTCGTTATCGAAACCTTGTCTCCAAGAGTGGAGGTTCCAGTAGGAGCTACGCAGGCGGGACGATTGATTGAAGAGGGTAAATCAGTGATATAAAGGGAACTACACAAAATGCACTTTTCAGAATATCTCTAGGATCTCTCTACCACCGTCACCTGCCCTCCCTCCCTCTGTTCCAAGCACACAAGGTTGTCTCCACCCGAAGAACCCAAATCCAACAACTAAATGGCAGTCTAATGAAAGCCACTTATCGAGATGCGTTGGGCAACTCGCGGGCTCCGGGGCTCACATGCTGACAATCCAACTCTGCTCTGTACTATCCCCCTTCTCCCTGCTTAATCTCGCATAAGTGGCTTGGCATACGGCACCAATGCAACATTGGTTTTTCGGCACCCAAGGTGGAGGATGCCAAATACTGCATTGTGGGCGTAGTATTTCGGATATAGCTAAAGCTGGGGTAGTTACGGATTCTCAAGAGACCAGAGATTCCAATGAAATTATCCGATTTTCTCCATCTACCATATTGCGTCGCCAATTGACAGCCCAACTTTTGTCGGTGCGACCGAAGATGGAGAGGTTATGGTTAATTGTTAAGATCAGTGGCTTGATGGAAGTTAGAAAGGCTTAACAATGCCGTTTAATCGACCCTCTAACGGTGTGTGAAGGGAGTGCTGAAGGCGGGTGTGTGAAGGGAGTGCTGAGAGCGGGAGTCTTTTTTTGTGTTGCTAATTTTTTAAAAAAGTAATATAACTAAATTTTCGTAATCTCTCCGATCATTTTATACTGGACAGTGGTAATATCTTCTTCTATCACCATTCAAATCCACTATTCACACTCGACCTCCAACTGTGGCTTTTAGGTTCCGGGTTAGTGTTCTGGAACATGTGTAACGTCTAGTCTGGGGTTCGATACTTACTCGTGTGGCCCATAGTGGTTATTGCGTGATGTAGACAGTGTAAACCGTTGAATTGCTCTGTTCGATGTGTGTCCGGCTCCATTTTGCGTTATATGGCTGGGTGAGTCTGGAGCGAAGGCGGCGTCTGCCAGCTGTTGATGTCTTGTTGATGGATCTCCATTGGAACGGGCTTGCATCTGACTTCTGCACTTGATCCACAGTCATGGAGGTTGCCAATACACTGCCGAGGCCCAACACTGTTACCCTGCTGACACTTCGTACGTACCTTGATCCCTACTGACACTCCGAACGCTAGCTCGTGAGTCTGGCTTCTCTAGGGCTGTCCATCTTTCTGACCGTCATTTTCCTGTTGTCCCAGCGATACGAGGGGATTGAGGACGACCTGGAGCTGCGAAGCACAGCGCTGACCAATTTCGAACGTGAGTACACCGCAACAACACACCATTCTTTTTTTTCCTCCTCGCTAACTAGTCAAACGTCCATGCCACCTGGTTCCATCTGCTGTTCAATCTTGGGGCGAGTCAATGGGACACTGTGCGAACCGGCATCGTGCTCAACATTCTCGCTGTTGTCACCGCCATTCCCTAATGTCTGTTGTCTATCGGATTCTTCCCCGATGAGGCTGGAGTGTCAACAAGGTCCAAGTATACCTGCATGGCTTGACATGTGATTTGAAAGCTGAAATGGCGAGTGTGGAGCTCTTTCTGGAGTGACAGCTACCGAGGTGGTGTCCACCGTGCAAGGACGCGTTTTCCAATGTGAGACATTCATCTCTTGGTAATAGAGCCCCCAGCAGCACGCAAGTGACATGTGTCAACAGGTGGAGCATATCGGGAAGCTCGTCAGTTGTGACCACAGTGCAATTAGTGGGTCTAGTCTTACACAGTACTCATCGTAGACTACAATTGTACGGCTCAGTGACATCGAAGGGACTTCTGCAATCACGGAACGAGACTTGGCCTTTTTTAACATTTCGACACCATGGCTGAAAATAAAAGCAGCAGTTTCCATATTTTTTCTTGTTGCCATTTTTTTCTTGCCATATTTTTTCTTGCCATATTTTTTCTTGCCATATTTTTCTTGTTGCAGAGGTTGTTGTTTCTTGCTGTTATTGTCTGTCTTGTGTTGTAGCGGAGTTTGCACGCTGAGGAAAACTCGACGAAGTGGTGAGATGAAACGAAACGAGATAGTGAAAAGACGGAGATGTCAAGTATTTGGTACCAAAACGATCCTCCCAGCCTTCCCCGTAAAACGGAACCAAGAATACTCCATGTTGCCGACTCTGTTACCGCACTATAGTTACCCCTATCTTCGTCCAGCTACAAGTAGTATTTCTGTCCACATGATTAATAACTGACGTCTCTAATACAGCACAACCGAGCTTTGGCGTAACCCATCAGATGCCACATAACAACAATAACAACAACAGCAACAACAACAACAACAGCTGACGGTTGGCCTCATACAGTCTGGTTGTCACATGAGCCCTCTAAATCAGACAAGTCATCAACTGCTGAGTTGGGGCCATAACAGAGACGCGACCCGTAGTAGACGTCTGACTGGTGTCAGTCTCTGAGTGTCAGTCTCTGAGTGTCTGTCCCAGTGTCAGTCTCTGAGTGTCAGCCTCAGTGTCAGTCTCTCAGTGTTTGTCTCTAAGTGTCAGTCTCTTTGTCACCTGCCATTGAAACCGCGTTGTAATTTTTGGCGCGGCAAAATATTACACACGGAACTCGATTGGGGTTTTAACATGTTGTCCTGTGGCCGGATTATATAGCAGAAAAGAATCCACTCTGTTTTCGGGAGCAAAAATCCAACAAGATGCCAACATCTGGCATGCCAGTAACTCCCCTCCGCCTCATGGTGTTGTGCATTTTGTGTCTTAATACACCCCACCTTTGCTGAAGGTAATACTGAGTCTGTCACCGAACTCGTCAGACAATAAAATTGGTGTGAGTGTGCTCGTGCGTACGGTACATACAGTTGTTGAATATTTCCGTGTTGAATATTTCGGTGAAGAACATTTCCGAGCAGAATACTTCTCTGTTGAATATTTCTCTTTGAATATTTGCAGTTCTCCGCTGCCTCTTTGCCCCCAGACTGTACCAGTCATACTCTGCTCCACGCATTTGGCAACAAAACCACAAGCCTCATCACGGATGACGTCAGAGCTGCTCCCATTAAACGCATCACGTGCACCCGCACAAGGTGTTGATGCATCACGAAATAAAAAAGCACAGTCACATGCACGCATCCAGGTGCTACTTGTATATATTGGCAGCGGAAACGATTGAGGGCTGGAAGTAGGTTGAAAATAACCTCATCACCACCGCCCCAGCCGTACAATGTACGCATAAGTTGTACACTGGTGATTTGGTGCGTCTTTGGCCGGCTCTGCGCCCGTAACACATGCTATACAGCCTGGGCTTTATATATGCGTGGTGGGAAATTGTACATGGGTCATGTGGGTGTTTAGGTTTGGCCACTTCTGGCTACTTGTAGGTTTTTTTGGCGAAAAATCGTATTTGGCAATAATATCTGGTGGAGGAGGACTCAAAGTCCCAATCGGATGCCCGGGAATCTGGCATTTAGGAGACAAGATTATTATTATATTATATTAGTATCAGCTACAGGTAGGCAGTTTATAAATAAAGGGCCGGTCCCAGATGGAGTCTTTCCACCTCTGCACCCAGAACAGAACGTGAGTATCATCGAGTGTTTGAACGAATTTGAATTTGGAATTTCAGGGGTTGCAGATGCACGAGTGGGGCTCCAATGACAGGCACAGCACTAAACCGCAGGCTAAGAACCACGGCACAGTGCGCCAAGCGGGGGACCTTGGCCTAGGTACAGCACTACACTCAGAGTTAATGGGCAGTGGCCAGGTATATATATTCAGCGCAATCACCCGCTGGGTCTGCCTGTGTCTGTCACCTCACTCAGCTCCTGCAACCTTCCCCACTTCAGCCTTGTCTCATATTGGGTGTGGCATACACCTTGCCGCTCATGTATGGTCCCTTATCAGCTACGCTGCAGCCCAAATAATAATTCTCAGCGCACATGCTGACATAGATATAAAGACCCAGGCCCCGGATCGATTGACCGACTTGCACAAATTGTGACAGCCAACCACGAGCCCAACGCCAACGGCTGTTTCTGCTCCAAGTTCACTTCTCCACTGATCAACAAAAGACAAAATTTGGAAAAAGAGAAAATTGAGAAAAAGTGAAAATTTCAAATTCTTGAAAACCGATATTAATTCAGCAAAAATTGGAAAAAACACAAAACACAAAAACATCGTCAACCTCCTCTCCAGCACAAACCACATAGCAAATGCACTCCTCGGACGAAGACGAGGTGCCCTGTGTGGACTTCGACGACGACGGAGATTATTTTTCAGGGCAACCTCAGTCTCCCACAACACCCAAATCTCCCCCCAAAACTCTAAAGACCCGGCGACGAAAACGAGACCGGTCTGTATCGTCATCCAAAGGGCCGACACCGGGGCCACCAACGCCTGAAAAGACTCAGACCAGCAGTACATCCGTCCCCCCGATTTTCCAGCTTCTGGGCTCCATCACCGGCCGAGCTTCAGACCTCTACAACTCATGGACACGACCTGCACCTGCAGCACAGAGCCAGCCACCCAGGAGGGGTAGTGCTGCAACCAACTCAAGTTACGTGACAGCTTTCAACAGCAACAACTCGCCCCTAATGAGAGATATTATGATGTCGCCAGAACTACAGCCATTGCCATCGCTGCTCAGCGTGCCGGTCAATGCTCCTCCTACTCCCCCTGGAGAAGACTACTTGAAACCAAAGGCTCAAACTCAGACACAGGCACAACCACACACAACACAAAAGGCTTCTCCTACGCCAGCAACAAAACGCCTCTCGCTTCCCAATGTGACAAACATTCGACAGCAAGCCTTGCAACAAGCGACACACTACTCCAACACATTCCTGTCGTCGCCTCTGCTGCTTGCGGGTGCTGCTGTTGTTGTGGGTCTCGCCATCACCGTTGGTAGACCGCTGCTGGAGATTTACATCCACAAGGGCATCCACTACTTCTTCAACTTCATCTTCTACGCCACAGTAACCGCAGCCGTGGTCACCTGTGCTGCTATTGCATGGATGCTCATCAGTGGTAAGCTGAAAAAGACCAACGTTGATATTGATCCAACCCAAACCAAAACATCGACAGGGTCTTCACATGAAACAAACCCCACAACTACGCCTTTTACAGACACAACCCCCACGGCTGACCTCTCCCGTCGCTCGTCAAAACGACGCTCACGACGAGCCTCTGCCGCCACCACCTCTGCATCTGCCCCTCCCCCTCCTATGATGTACCCTCCCTACGGCTACCCACCACAACAGCAATGGGACGAGTACAACCATCCCGGGCATCCTCCCATGAACATGTACATGCCTCCCAGTCCTATGTACCAACCGCAGCTGTTTCACCCGGTGCCTATGCGGCCGTTTGAGCCTCCGCAGTCCACCCCTGCAGCTCCACCCGTGACGCCCCAAACCTCTGCATTTTCGCTGCCCCCCACACCGGGTCACGCCCGCACTGAGTCAGGCAACGTGGCTCCTATTCCCGAGATTCTGCAGCAGCCCAAAAAGAAACCTGTCTACCGGGTCGTGCAGCGCAAAATTGAGCGGGATCCGGTGCGAGAGGCGAGACCGCCTCTACGAACACGGGAGCTTCCTCCTGTGCCCCGAGAGCCACCCCAGGTTCCGAAGCATCAGGGTCTGCCTGCGGTGTTCACGCGGTTTGAGGATGAGAACTCCATGGTCAACTACGCCTCTCCTATTTCGGAGGTGGATTTGAAGGTCGGAGACCATTCTTTTAAGCCGTATGGCTCGCCTCCCAGGAGGTATCATGGCATGAACGTTTGACGTATCAAAATATTTATTTGCATGACCGGAGCGCTGGGTGACAGTCATTGTAGCATTGTAGTCGGCATGAGCGGGACCACGACTCATCCGTACTGTAGCCAGTAACTATGCCACACGGCACAACTACAACCATGTTCATTTGACAACCTCGGCAACTAAGTGAAGGTCTGAATTGGTTCCACTGACTTAGACTTGGTCTAAGGAAGCTTCCACGACATGTTGATGAAACTTCATGATGTCTTTATTGGATTGGAAACAGAGCCTGATAGTGGTTGATTGTGGATACAACATGGTCACTATGGTGGATCACTTTTCGAATGTTTATCTCCTACCAAAGCCAGATCTGAATTGACTTGCACGTGTTGTTTCGGGGACCCGAGCAGATACGGAACCATGTTTCAATGAGATTACCTTGTTGGAGTGAAAACGACATGCGTTTTGGGTATAATATTGTGAAATAAAACAGACCATAGTTGTAGTTATATCAAATTGAGGTTTTGGGGTCTTGCAACTCGCGTTTGTGTTTGCCCCTGCCACTGTTTCCGTCTGGATCGACCGACGATCCGATTTTCATTTTTCACTCCCGTTCGGACCCACCCCTGTAAATCGATCGGCACAACTCAGTCTGTGAGCCAACGCAGTATTGTTTACAGTGTGAGACGAGTACGAGTAAAATGAGCCTTGAATTTGGATAGTTTGACTTTGTGGATTCAGTTGGCCGTGTGGGCTCAAGTTTGGCTCTCTCGTATAGAAAAAAGAAACGGTGAAAGAAGCAATATGCAACGAAAATACACAGATACCCATGTCGACGCTAGCGGCCAGTTCAATAGCATTTGCCCCTTGCTGACCAACCGATGAATCAGGCAGTGGGGGTAAATATAAGAAAGGTACTGTACCACCGGAATACGAGACGCGTGACCGAGGAGCGAATACGAGGAGCGAATACGAGGAGCGAATACGAGAAGCGAATACGATGAGCGAACACGAAAAGTGAGTGGTATGCGCGCATCTGGACGCCAGACTTAATTGGCAATATTACTAGAGTTCGTACAGTTCTCGTACTCGTACCGGTACCGGCGCCGGCAGCTGTATATGGAAGTAGATGTAGGGTGTGTTTTGGCACTATATATGTATGTACTTCGAAGTACAGTATATACACTGTAGGTGTACTTGTAGGGTGTGTTTTGATAACAGAAGGTAAAAAGACAAGAAATAATAAATATTGCGATGAACAGGAAAATGGGAAGTTTCTTCCATTCTGGAATAATCATTCAATATATCTCTCAAATGTGCCATGGTTACCGCCAAGTGGGGTACCAGCACAGCCATATCAGGATTCTAGTTCAAATAATATTACGATGGTTTTCATGGAATGGATATTACCTCCATAATTGGTAAAAAAGACGCTAGAAAAAGGTCATGATATGCTGACATAATCATACTTACTGAAAAAATACGGGAATACCGTAGCCTGAAGACACCTAAAACTTCAAATAAAATAGTAATTCTTTAATGAGGTACAAAATAACAAAACTATCTACCTGGATCTCGAAACGCCTTGTTTGAATATAAAAATCTGACTAAGCAGGATCACGCGTGCAGACCCCAACTTTTCAACCTTTTTGTTAGAACCCAGGGCCTCAGGACTTGGGCTCCCAACCAGTACTTACTGGAGAAGCTCGGTAGTTAGTAGTCGAAGTGTCAGAACAATTGTTGGTGCATTACAATATAGGAAATAGGGCAAGTTATATAATCTCAGGATCGGCGTCCGCAACTTCCGGAACTCCTTCAGTTCCGGACGGGCAGTGCTCTCCAAGCGGCGTAGTGCGTAGGTTATCCGCTAGATCATATTGGACCAATATTGGACCAATATCCACTAACCTTTGTTAAACGGTCAAGTACAAAGGCAGACAACCATGGACAAGTAGAACAGAGAGTTCAGACTATTGGACACTCACAAGGAAACAACAGACACACAAGAGCACGAATAGCCGCGGTGACGGATCGAGTATCACTAACCTCCAGTATCAGGTTTAGCCGCGGCCGATTAGCCGCCGAACCCTAACACTTTTTAAGAAAATTGGGCGTCTGGTGTAGTTGGTTATCACATGCGCTTAGCATGCGCGAGGTCCCCGGTTCGATTCCGGTGTCGTCCATTCCTTTTGTACTCCGTGCAAGAAACAGGAGTGAGTTCCTTTTTTTTTTTTGGATTCAACAGACACACGTGCTTTCAAAAGTCACCTCCCATAATATATCATTTTTCGCCCACATGACAAGTTTTGTCGTATGTCCCAGAGTTCGATTACTACGCATTCTAATTTAATGTTGAAATCTATTTTTCGTGTATTTACTTGTAATATGCTAACGTGTATTCTTTCATACACCACTATCTACAGTCCAAAGGAGCCGAGATTGACAGCTCCGCACTCGGCGAACCACTCCTGGAAAGAATCCCCCACATTCTCCTTGGCCTTCTGGCAGGACGACTGAATGTACGCCTTGGTGGGATAGGTGTGAATGGGGTCCTTCTTCTTGATATCCTGCTGACGCTGAGTGTGAGGGGACACGGGCTCATCGGGATCAACCCACTCGGAAACACTGTAGTAGACATTACAGTCTCCCTGCTCATTTTCCGCCACCTCATCGGTCAGCTCGACCCAGCAGCCCACAATATCCTTCATATGCTGCTTGACAACAGGGTCTCCAGACGAAAGGAGCGCTGTGAGACCCAGAGTCGCCAGCTTGCGCTCGTGGGGCTTGCACATGCTCTGGAACTTGGCCAGCCAGGCTGTAATGACTGCAGATCGAACCTCCGGCTCAGCAACAGCCTCCATGAGGAAGTTGGGAGCAGCAATAATCATACGAGCCAGGACCTGTAGCAAGTCAGAAATGGCTGTGGGAGACGAGTTCTGGTCCTTATCGATAATATAGTTGATCATGGCCTTGAAAAAGCCCGTCTGAACAGCCAGCTGGATGAGCTGCGTGGGGTTCGAACAGAAGGTCATGTACTCCACACACTGCGCTACCTGCTGCACCACATCAAACGACAAAATGTCCATGTACTTGCCAAAGATGCTCAGCAGGGTGTGGCCGTGCTTCTGAACCGTGTAATCGGGAGACAGAAGAGCATATCCTTCTAGAATCTTTAGAATGAAGTACAGGTTCTCCGTGGACCGGTCCAGAGCGTCAGTGACAGCAGGGAAGAGCTGGAAGATGGTGTCGTTGGGCTCAGGAGCATTCTTGACAAGAGCCTCCCACAACAGTAACGAATCGTCGTACAAAAAAGCGTGGAAGGGAGACTCTCGGTCCAGAGACACGTTCATAACAGGCATGCCAATGTTGTAAGTCTTCGTGGAGTCTCGTCCAAGCGATTGGACCAGAGAAGTCAGCACTTGGACAATGGTGACTCGCAGGTACTGCTGCTCTCCAGCTTCCTCCCATAATGCGGGCAGCATCTCAAGCACCGTATCAGCGTACGGGGAAACTCGAGCACCGATTCTATCTGCCACAACAGCAACGGTTCGAAGCAGTACAACCTTGGAGTCAATCTGCTTCACCTCCTTGAGCAGAGCAAAAAGACGGACAAAGATGTCGCCCACAAACGGCAAGAAGCCATCAATTTCGAAATCCCAATCGTCCACAGTGAACCGGAGAGCGGCAGCAGCTGTAATACGAACCACAACGTCGTTCAAAGGATCCTGCGGGTTCAAAAGATGTACCATGAGCTCGTAGGCCTTGATTCTGTTCTCGGGAGAGCACTGAATCGTGATCCATTCGCCCAGAACAATCGCCACACGTCTTCGAAGCACACGGTACTCGGAAGAACCGTTGGCCAGGCCCTGAGGGATGATAACCTGGGGGAAAATCTGGTCAAAGTCGGCAGAGTCCTCTTTAGAGATAGCAGCCGAGCCGGTCGCGAACGCCGCAAGAGCAGCGTCCTTGGCCAACACATCGGAGGAAGAAGTACTCTGCTCCAGGTTCTTCAGAACCATGGGAACGACAATCTCCCGGAAGTTGATTGCCAAATCGCCATACAGCTTTTCGCTGCACGCTCTCAACTGGTACTCCCATGCATTGTTGAGATCCTCATTGGCCCACTCTTCGGGGTTATCGTGCCACTCGACCAGATCAGCGGGTCGAAGACGCAAGTACCACGTGACTAGAAGCTCGGTAAGGTGCTGAACCAGCGCCTCGGAGAAAAACTGCCGTAGCATGTCCACGGCCACCTTGGTCTCCTCCTTGTCCTCGTCGGTCTTGTATGTGAGCAAGTTGGAAGCGCCGTTTCGGTAGAGCACGCCAATGAGATGCTTGATGAGCAGCATTCCCTGGACCACAACCTTGGTCCAGTCCTCAGCGGCTTCTTCAGCGGCGTCGTCGTCCTGGTGGAACAGCTCCTTCTTGCTCTCAATCAGCTGCAGGTACAGCTCTGCGACCTTGAGCGAGTCGGGCATGAGCACAAACGACACTGACTGCCGCTCCCGCATGGTGTGGTAGAGCTTGCCGACTCCCCGCACGTGTTTCTCCAGTAGCGCGTTGCCGGAGAAACGGTCCGAGTACATTGTGAGAAACTCGGGAAGCTGCACAACGGTGATCTGGAAGAATCGTCGGCAGTCCTCGGACCGGTTGGCCCGGTCGTGTCCCTCGGCAATGAGCCGCCGTGCCAGCTTGAGACACAGATGCGTGATTTCCATCTTGGCGGTGTTGTTTTCCACGTCGCCCATCCAGGCCTCGGAGTAGTTGGCGTAGAGGTCCGTGACAAGTGTCAGGATGGCCGGCGATGACTCCAGCAGTGCCTGGCGCACACGGCCGAACCGCGAGATGGAGAAGGCCTTGATCACCTGGTTGAGCACCGTCAGCACATTGTGTTGTTTTGTGTAGTTTTGCGACTCCACGCCCTGGCGCAGCAGTTGCAGCAGCTGGTCCATGAGATCAGGCCAGTCGCCAGGCACGTCCATTCGCGCCAGCCGCGCAATGGCATATGCATTGTGGATCATCAGTTGGCGATTCGACTCATCAATGCACCCAAACACCTTGGATCGAATGGCGGTTTTTTCCTGCTCGGACACTGCGTACGGCGCCGACTTGCGCCAGTGGCGCTCGCTCTCGTTTTTGAAGTAAATCACTGCGATCCATCGCACCTGAATAGGCAGAGATTGATCGAGATAGGCGTCTTGGAGCAGAGAGAAGAACCCCGGAACCTGCTCCCACAGCTTGAGCTGTTGCTGCCCCGAATCTCGTGGCCCCCCCACACTCTGATCTCCGGCAGCTTCCAGCGCCTGCAATAAGTTTTCTGGTGTCAAATCCATGACCGCCTGTGTGGTGAGTACTGGTGTAAGTAGGGTGTTGGTGTAACCTGCAAAGTGAAGTGCGTAAAAATTAAGCATGCGTTTTGGAACAAGGTTTTCTCATGGGAGATAGCAACTTTAATGGGGAAGGGGGTAGTTGCAATCGTGTGTAATTTGCGGTTAAAAAATGCTGTAAAATATATGATAGCGCCATTTTGACGTTTGGAGGAAGACGTATTTTTTGTATTTTTCTCAGATGTTTTGGAGTATTATTCACAATCCAATTGTCTACCCGCAATATGCCCCTGAAAGTGGGATGATGCAGAGTACACTGTAGGTTGACTCTATTCGACACCATTTAAGTCGATATCACCGTCGAAATTACAGTCGAAATCACAGTCGAAATTACAGTCGAAATCACAGTCGAAATCACAATCGAAAACACCACTCATCTATTATCTACTTTCTAGCAATTGCATCTACAGTACATACGAGTACATCAATTCCACCGCTTGGACTCGTCAATCACATCCCCCTTCTCAACATACCCAAGCTCCCGCTTAACCCTCTCAACGGTCTCGGGATCACCCATGTTCTTGGACAGATTGTCGGATAGCTTGATACACGACTGCCCGTTGAGCTGTTGGATCTTGATGACAATGTTCAGAGGAGTGCTCTTCTGTCCATCGCTGAGCCGCTTGAAATCGTTGGTGAAGAAAGTGCCCACTCCAAAGGCAGCCTTGAGCCCGTTCTCGGCAGCGGCAGCCTTGTATTTGCCACACTTTTCCACGTCCAACGAATCCGAGTACACAATCACCTTGGACATGGGCTCATATCCCAACTGCTTGTAGTGGTCGCCCAATAGCTTCGTGTACTCCAGGGGATCGCCAGAGTCCTGCCGCACGCCGTTGTAAATGTCTGTGAGCGGCTTGTTGAAGTCCAGGAGAAATGATTCCGTTCCAAACGTGTCTGTGAGAGCCACCCCTGCGTTGGCGTCTCCAACCGTCTGGATCCACAACTCCATGGCCCGCAGGTTGGCTGTAGAGTAGTCGCCCGTAGCTGCAGCCACGCCCATCATCCATTCGTGTGCCACCGTTCCAATCGGCTTGAGATTGTACTTCTTGGCCAGGTAGACGTTGGAGGTTCCTGTGAAGATACCGTTGCCTTGGGCGGATTTGAGACCCTCCAGAATACCGGCAATGACGATATCGTGGGTCTTGAGGGAACGTCGGCGTCGGGTGCCAAACTCGGAAAACGCACAGCCCTGGGCAATGAGCTCCTGGGCCTTGGTGGCCGCCAGTTCACTCTGTCCGTCGTAGCTCCAGTCCTTGTCGACAAACTTGAAGTACGCTTCCGAAACCAGCGCCAGCAGCGGAATCTCGTACAAAATTGTGTCTTTCCAGGGGCCATTGACCTCGATTTCCAGGTGTCCTTCTGTGTTGACGGTCACCTTGACCTGGGCTGCCGGATCGAGTTGGCACGTCTTGAGATACTCAAAGTACTCGGCTGGCAGGAAGCCGACATGCTTCTGGAGAAACACAATCTCGTCCTCAGTAAATCGAAGCTCGCCCAGCGCCGCAATCTCGCTCTTGAGCCACTCAATCGCGTCGTCGTTGAGCTGTTTGGATGGTGTTCGATTCTTGAACAGAAAAGTCGCCTGTGCCGCGGGAAAGTGCTGCAAAACAGCTGCCTGCATCGTCAGCTTGTACAGATCGGTGTCGAGAAGCGAGGTGATTGTGGACATGGCGTAGATGGAGTGTTGACGACGACTCTGGAGTGTCTCCGGACCATCTACTTATCGTCGGATCTAGTAATTAACCGCATGCATTCTCCCAAACCTTATTTGATATGATGACAAAGCACCCTACAACGAGGGCACGTGAACATGATAATGGCTGGGGTTTGCAAGTGTTGAATGTGTCGATTCAAGCGCTACTTGTATTGTGCTAACGTAAACTATTTCTGCCCACCAAACTGGACACTTTCCCGACGACATGTGGTGCACATTTACGACAGTACATGCTGTACAAATAGGCAGCATAATTACTGTACAAGTAGAGCCTTAGCGTGACACTTGTCTTAGCCGCGAAAGAGTCATCGAACGAGTCACGGGAAATGAAGGGATCAATCACGTGAACTTTCGTTTATGTCTGTAACTGTTGTTGCGGATGCGGCTGACAATGCTACTCGGGATGCGCAGTTTTTGTCATATCAAGAAAGCTGGATTGAAAGTGTAGAAATGGGTTGGGGAATCTCTGGTCAACTTTCGGGTTTGATTGGTTCTCGGCTGTGTTATCTGCTGGGTCGGTAATGAGCTCCTTATACGGATTTCATCAACGACTACTGTACCAACCAAGTACGTCGGGAAGAGGTCCACAGTCTGCATTGACGCTAGAGTCAATGGTTGCAGTCTGGATACCTGAAACTAAAGAGAGCTATCACCATTTCTTAATCACAAGTATCAATTCCGTATCCGCATCATTGACGAATTCATATTTCATAAGATATATGCTTGACACCTTCGACTACCAATCGACTCATGTCTGCTTCGTTATGAATTCGTTCTCGCATGTAAGACAGGAACGAACGGCACACCTTGATAAACTCATATACATCTGGGGTGGAGTTTTGGTGGCAGTAACATAGAGATGGTTAATTTCGTCTTCTGACAATGAGATTGGCACCTTAACCTGAGTTTCCCAGGGGAGCCCAGGACTTCGTAGAGAAAAACTCGTCTCCAATTTGCCTGTTGGACTTGTAATCGAGAATAGTGTTAGACCACATGAGCAACAGAAGGGTTCAGAAGAGAGAAAAATCGTCGCATGTTGCCACTATCGTATACAATGGACAATGGATCCAAGGAAACAGGAAGCAGGTTGTTGAGATGTGGGTCCTCATGATCCAGTCGGAGATGCTCTTGTAGTCAAAGACGTAGTACCGGTTATGATAAAAGGGGATTAGAAGCCGTTGTCCGGTGTCCAGGTCGATATCGAGATCCGCTGCGTCATGTGGGCGTAATTTCAACAAGAAAAACCTCATCTGCTATGCAGACCCAATGTTGGTGATGCATTGACGCTTTTTTTGTTCTTGGTGAGGGACAGGGATTTTCTCTTAGATACAATGTCATCGTCCATTTCCAACGTCGTTGTTCTCAGACACAAGACGGGCAAATTAGAGATTGAATTCAACTTGGCGTCTATAATAGCTCTCATTGAGACCAGAAGCTGGTCCATTCGCTTCTCAATCAGGCAATTCACCTGAGCCAACATTAAACATACCTTTATAGTAGTATTTCCAATAAACTATATATATATATATATATTAAAGATATAGTCCTATATATTATATACATTGATGCTAAGATCAGATTGGACGTGGAACATGCCTCGCTCTGACACGAGTAAGCTGTATATACATACGCTTGATTTCACCACTTCATGTTGAGGCACGATATTGCAAAAATAACGACACTTTTGTATGGTAATGTGCACATGCTGATTCCGTTTCTTCTTTCAAATTTCGAATCTGAATAATCTAGCCTGAGCAGAGATGTGTTTGTCAATTCACACTTCCGTTGAGTTACCTAAATGTAGACAACAGATAACATCTTATCTGACATATGTAACACTCGCTCTGGAGAGTTAGTCATCCGACAGGGTAACTCTAATCTCCCAACACCTTATTAACTCTGCGTAACTGTAACTCTTCTTGCCACGTCGATCTTACTCAATTTTCCTGCTCATCATCTGCTGGATTGTTGTCTATCGTCTGGCTCTAATACATTTATTGTTTATTGCCCAAACAACTTTCATTGCACGTAAGTGAATTGTTTTATAACAGCGTTCGCCAATTGCTGCGCCATCGTCGTCCGGCTGTCCTACCGTTAGGGGTAGTGTGTCTCACACTACCGAGGTTACTAGAGTTGGGAAAGCGATACTGCCTCGGACACACCACCTGGGTCTTACGACTGCAGAGAGAATCGGCGTTACCTCTCTCACAAAGCCCTTCAGTACCGCCGCCTGTCGGGAACCGCGTTCAGGTGGAACAGGACCACCTCCCTTGCACTTCTTGGTATATCAGTATAGGCTGATGTATTCATAGTGGGGTTTTTCATAATAAATTTACTAACGGCAGGCAACATTCACTCGGCTTAAACGCAAAACGGACCGTCTTGATATCTTCTGACGCATTGACCACCGAGAAATAGTGTTAGTTACCGGGTGAGTTATTGTTCTTCTACACAGGCGACGCCCATCGTCTAGAGTTGATGTACTAACTCAGATTTCACTACCTACCCTATCCCTGGTACGCACAAAGCACTTTATTTTCTCACACATATATCCCAAATACGAGCGGGGCTGGAAATGTCACATAACTTGTCGAATATACAGTTTTTTATCGAGTCGAAAAGAGAAAATGAACCCTATGACGAACTGAAATTGAAATCTATTTCACATACGTCACATCTACCTCTCCCAGCAGTACGCTTACTAAGCAAACAGAGTTTAGATTCGGAGCAAGCAATTGCGGTCACATGTAGCAACGACGATTGCGGGGAGAAAGCGAACCCAGCGCCAGCACCTTGAATTGAGAGTCCTCTTTGCCGCTGCAGCCAATCACCGCGCGGCTCTTTGGGATTATGTAAGAATGCATATTTTTTTTGGTTGGGAGTAGATGTGCAGGGCGAGATTGCGGTGCATAACCGGATGAGGTTAATTGGCAAAAGGGCAGATTTGGGGGGATTATGAGGGGGAAAAGGCGATTTTCAAGGTTTGAAACAGATTCCATCGCCAAAATCAGCATATATTCCTTCTTTTCCGGCTCAAATCGGATTGCTATCGAACTTTTTGGCGAGTGGCAAAGATTACAAATTTGAGTTTGAACTTGTGTAATACAAGCCGGGGAAGATGATAGGATGGAGTAAGTAGTCGAGTAAATAATGGGTCTATCGGAATTCTGAAACTACCAATGGATTTATCTCGTATTAGTGATCAACAATATATATTTAAAGTCCTCATAGCTCTAATATTGACCCACTTCAAGGCACTCTATCTTCTTCTCTCCAATTCACCTCCCATGCACGAGCAAAGTTTAAATTATCACCACTAGACTTATAACACCAAGTCCACCATCACTTTTCATCTCCACCACACAACACAAAATGCTCCGAAACGCCGTGCGACTCATGAACCGGGCCCAGCGACCCGCCGTTCGACTCGCTCTCACGCGACAATTCACACAGCCGGCTCTGCGGCCCCAGATCGCCGCCGGCAAGCTCCCCAGCCTCCACAGAACCATGTTCATCCAGACGGCCTCCACCCCCAACGAGGACGCCCTCAAGTTCCTGCCCTCGGTCCAGATTCTCCCCGAGGGCCACACCGTCGAGTTTACCAGCGGCCGAGAGGCCCACTCGTCCCCACTGGCCAAGAAGCTGTTTGGTGTAGACGGCGTCCGATCGGTCATGTTCGGATCCGACTTCATCACCGTCGAAAAGGCCCAGGACACCCACTGGAACACCCTCAAGCCCGAGGTCTTCTCCATTCTCACCGAACACATCACTGCCGGCGCCCCCATTGTCATGGAGGGCACCACCGCCGCCGAGGATACGGCTCCCTGTGACGACGACTCCGAGGTTGTGTCTATGATCAAGGAGCTCATCGAAACCCGAATCCGACCGGCCATCCAGGAAGATGGTGGCGACATTGCATTCCGAGGCTTTGACGAGGACACCGGCGTCGTGCACCTCAAGCTGCTGGGCGCCTGCCGATCTTGTGACTCTTCAGCCGTCACCCTCAAGAACGGTATCGAGAGCATGCTCATGCACTACGTCGAGGAGGTGACTGGTGTCGAGCAGTTCCTCGATCCCGAGGAGAAGGTTTCTCTCGAGGAGTTTGAGAAGCTCGAGAAGCGACTGGCTGAGGAGAAGGGCGAGGAGGTGCCTCCCTCCCTCTAAGAAGTAGGTGCGAAGCGGCTGACTTCTTTTGGAGGATCACTGCGGCCACCTAACCGAATGAAAGCGAGACGATTGGTGTCACTGTGCTGAGTCCCTCGTTAACTATGCGCACACAGCAGATAGACCATAAGTGTATATAATAGATTGAATGATTAATGGGTGAGAGGCGTGTAGTTTGTCATTGACGATGGCAGTAGAGAGGGCAAGTCGAGGGAAGGAGAAGTGTCGACTGGCAAAAAGCTTGAGATTGGAGTACAGTACCGACAAATGTCTAGCGTTCAATCAAACACCTTTTGGTACTACTGGCTGGTCGTGACTGGAGTGACAGTATCTTGTGATCCAACCAGAGATAAGGACAAACTGTCGGTGATCATTCTCTTCAGGGAAGCCCTGAAGACCATCTACAACTCGAAAACACCGCGATCTGATTGTTTCAGCTCAGACGTATGACTTGCAAGAACTGCTGGAGAAGGCATGACACAGCAATACATCTCTGCGGTCACATGACCAATCATTAAAAATGCTCATAAAATAAATAAATATGGGAGGTATGCGAGCTAGTGGAGGAATGGTGCCCCGGGTAGCCAAGGCTACGCTTCATTGGAACACTCGCCGCACTCGGCTACCAAATCCTCTTGCTCACCATATCAAACCTGCTGACATTCTGCAGCTCCACCACCTTCTTCTTGTGCTGCTTCTCCTTCTTTTCCTCCCCGTCGCTGTACAGACCCTGCTGCATATCGTCCGTCAGCTCAATCACGCCCTGTCCCCCCCTCGTCTTTCCAGGCAGATAATCGTCCTTGATTGACTCAGATCTCTTCTTTTCCATCTCGTCAAACGTTCGCTTCTGTCGTCTTCTCTTGCTGTGACTGTACCTCAACAAGGTGAGGCCCAGAAACAACTTGAAGATGACCAGTACGGCAAACACAAGCGCAAACACCAGAATCATCGTCAGCAGATACGTCACATAGTAAATGTCGAATTTCGCCCACACAGGGATAATGTTGGAAGAAAACGACACCAGAGGCGATGTGCCGTTGTACAACGAGCTGAAAAACGTCCTTGTGGCCTGGGCAATCTCAGAAACGGACACGTTGTTGACGAACTTTGTGTCCACCTGTGCCAATGTCTCTCTCAGTTGGGGACTGACTGTAGGCGTTCCCTTGACAAAACGCGACTCTCCAGACTCGAAAAGAATCTGGTAGCTCTGGTAGCACATGCGCATGAAGACGCACGCCAGAGCCGTGGTAGGAAGGCCCATTCGTCGAGTAATGAGCTGGTCATTGAATGCATGCTCGTGATAGTCCTGAGTGAGCACGTCCAGAAACTTGCGGTACACTCTGGGACGGAAATTGTTGAATTTCGCAATGTACGAGTGCTTGAGCCAGTCGACAGCGACTTCGGAGCCCAGCACCACTAGAGCAGGACCCAGCAGAGCCCCTAGCCATCGATTCCAGCCCGACCACGACGATGGAACGAGACCCGTATTGGAGACCTCGACCACGTTCCGGAGTCCGATGGACACCAGTAGCACCCACAACTGGAACCGCTCGGTGATATCTGCACAGGTGAGCTGGAACAGAGACTCGCGTTCAAACCGCTTAAAAACGGTCGACTTGACCTCGTTGAACTGGTTGGACAACAGCAGGGTCAGCAGCGCGTTGGAGTACGAGTTGACGGCCACGTTGAGGGTCACAATCTGGTACAGCAGCACCCCTGAATGCACAGCCGAGTAAGCCATGTACAGACCCATGTATGTCGCGAGTCGCTGGTAGTTGTTGAGGGTGCCTGCGGAAAAGAGCGACTCCAGCACATCCAGACCCCAAGCCGCACACAGTTTGTCTGTGATTTCCAGCACGTTGAACATGACGTAGAGCTTCATGGCGTTCTGGCCTCTGATGTTGTGGTAGAGCTTGGAGGTGTCAATGAGCAGCAGGAAGGTCATTGTCGAAATGACAACCACAGCCTTGATGATGTCGCTCATGTTGGTCATGGTCACGTGGCGGGTCGACCGACGTTTGGCTATGCCCCATAGTACTGAGGCCACCTTGAGAGGCATGATTGTGACCGTGTAGAGGAAGGAGTCGAGGCAAGTGAGAAATCCAAAGGCCATGATCATCTCCAGATTCAGCGGCACCTTGATAAGCGACAGCAGGTGCTCATTTTTCTCCTCGGTGTACGGCTGTTCGCCCTGGAGGTGCACCTGGAGATAGTCCCATAATGAGCGTGGAACCGGCGGGTTTTCGGGCCGTTCAAACCCCTCAAAGTCTGAAAACGACAGCCGCGGACGCGACGGAGACGACAGAGACCGCCGCGGACGTATTCGGTCGCTTTTCGCCGACGTGTTGGTTCGCCTTCGCATTGTGGGGGATTTTGCAGTGAATAGGAGATGACATCAAATTAAAGTTTCCATCTGCCTGACGTCAATAGTGAGAGGGAAATACATGGGTGGATGTGGGCGGTAATTGGTGGGGATTAGAGAGTAAAAAGCTGAATGTGGACGTTATAAGACGTTGAATTAGTCAGCAGCTTCATGTTTGAAACTTTTCTGATCAAAATGACAAATCTACACCGGATTAATACTTTGTGCTAAAAACTTCTCCAGAAACCGCAATATTGGTCGAAATCGAATTCTGAAAGTGGCAATCTGATGTGCTGACCAAGCAAGGTCGTTTTGTGTATTGAGATATCTCCCTAGTTCTCTACATGGTCCTCCAGTTGTCCCCCCGTCTCTTGTCGTATTAACGTACGTCTGGCTGCAATGCGGGTCACTGGTCTCTGTTGCAGACCATTTAAACTCAGCATCTTGACCACCTAGCAAGGCAGACGACAGCAACACGATTGAGAGTGGCGGTAAAAAAAAACGGCAAAAATCGGAAAAAAATCGAGAAAATCACGAAACCGCCGATAATCACATCCACGACGGCAACCAAACGACCGCAATTTTTCAAACGGCTTCAAATCCACCCCATTTGACGCGTAATCACATCACCCACAACAACCCCCACACATTCATGTTGCAACTACGCGAGGAAATCGAAAAGCTACGAACTCGGTTTGGAAACACGGGGTCTGAGCCGCCAAACCTGCAGCTTTCTGCACTCATCACGATCGCCGTGATCGAGGCTCTGTCGGCGAAGAAAACCGACATCCAGACCTTCAAGTACGCGTCGCGATACCTCACCCCCGAGGTGTACGACGAGCTGGTTGGCGAACGCACTTACGAACACATCTGCGGGTACCCTCCGTGCGGACTGGTGCCCAAGTCTGCGTCGGGCAAAAACAAGATTCTCGGCACGCTGGCCCAGAACCAAAAGTTTGACGTGCCGTGGGCGTATCTGCGGACCTTTTGCAGCAAGCAGCACTACCAGGCGAGCCAGTTTTATCGTGCACAGCTGTCGTCGGACCCTCTGGACCTGCGAGGCAGCATCTGGGGCGACTATGGCTCGTGCAAACAGTACGAGGGCAGCATCATCCTGCTGGAGGAACTGACGTCGGACGCCCAGCAGGGCAAATCCATGGCTGAGATTGTGGAGGGGTTCACGCAGATGTCGCTCAAGGACCCCGAGCTCGCTAGGATGAACATTCCTGCCAACGGAGACGAGATCACCAAGCTGGGCAAGGAGATCCAGGAGATTTCGCTGAGAGAGCGCGAGGACGACGAGAATGACGTGGAGCCAGACTACGAGTCGTTGGAGGACATGAGTAGTAAGGATAAGGCCAGTGCTATTGAGGGCTATAAGCCGAGAATCCAGTGGAGATAGCGAGACGGATTGAGGAATCTATCATGACAGGTTGAGGCAACGTCGACATCAAGTTGTGGATTCCTGACGATAACATGAGACGGGAATCGCAACAAGATCTGAAACAGTGACAGCTGGGTTTTAGACTGGATTCGGCAACACTGACAGGTGCACCACATGTTCGACTAGAACGCCCAGCTCCACATAGCGGCTTAGACATACGCCACAGCAGGAGACAGTGGAACATTGCCCACCACTGTCACACTCTCCGAGGTGGTATAATTTCTAGTGTCTGAATGGGTGACTCTCTGGAGTTAGGTCTCCTCTCTATCTTGCGCTGTGATCTCCCAGAGTATCATCTTCTGATCTGTCAGGCTTCCAATACCGTCTCCATGAACAGGCGAGTGGTCTCATTTGCAAAGTGCAGGAATTCGGCCTCCACGCTCGTCTCCTATTTATATGGCTACTAGCTGATATGGAACAAATGTATATTACGATGAGGTATAAACAAAAAAGCGACGGGTTCAGGAGTGAGTAGATACGGTAAAGGCCGTACAAAGGACTCCGTTTTTGAGCAGCTCTCAAACCCACAGCCGAAGCTCACTATATATCCAACGGCACAGTATCACTAAGTCGAATTGATGACAGCTGAGAATAAATATCTTCGACTGGGTGCTAAAGATGATAATGCAAGAAGTAGTGACACCACTAAGGTGCCGTTACGGGTAGAACGAGTACACCCACAACGCTAGAATGTGTCCCACTTGTCAACTAATAGGTGTAAGTTGGTTATCTAATAGTTATTGAATAGTTGAAAAGTAGTTGAACCGATACGATAGCACCAACTGCTTCTATTTGGACAGAAAGGATTCTGTAAGAAACATACAAAGCCACAAGCACTGCTCCCCCAGCCAAAACACTACAGACTAGTTAAAACTGACATAGCAAAAAATTTCTTTTTTTTTTTTATTTCGCTGACTAATCCATTTCACAGTGTAGAGCCCAACATTTTTAAAAAAGAAAAATCCGATATAGTGTAGGGGCTATCACATCACGCTCTCAAGTTGAGACCCGTGGAGACCGGGGTTCGATTCCCCGTATTGGAGGCGTGGTTACGGCCATATCCTGGTGAAAATACGGCTTCCCGTCCGATCAGCCATAGTCAAGCACCAGAGAGCCTAGTTAGTATTGTAGTGGGAGACCATACGAGAATCCTGGGTGCTGTAATCTTTTTGCCACATGAGGTACGAGTTTGAGTAGAATCTTCTTGAGCTGAGCCAGTATGTATGTTTTTGGTTTTCTTTTGTTTTTTCTATTTTTTTCTATTTTTTCATTATAATTTTTTCTACATTTTTAATATTTTTTACTGCATTTCTAAAACTACAAATAAAATTTTGAATGGGATTCTTTGGTCCATGATTTATTAACCCGAGAGGTTCAGAATTTCACATATTCTTCTGAAAAACTAGATAAACAGGCTCAACCATTATACATCCTCGGTAAGAGGTCCAGCCAGTAACATCTTCAGTAGGGGTTCACTGCCTACTCTTGAATAGCGAAACTGGCCCTGATTGACTTGAAGTTCTTATGGGCCCTTTGACCATTCTGGCGCTCTCACGATGTTTAGCACTGCCTTGAAAGACTTACCGACTCTTGCCCGTGGCTTTGGTACTGGCTCTGGCGGTTCTCTTTGGGCGTACGTTCTGATTTTTCATCGGACTTATTGACGTATGACGCGTTTGGCACTCATTGCACTTTGCTCTCGTCTGCGACTTCTTACTGCTCCTCGGACTAAGCTATGCTCTTTGGCGGTTATGGCCTTCGTTCTGATTCTGGAATTTCTGCTCTGGTGACTGGCGTAACAGCCCTAGCATTTCAGCTTGGCTCTTCACCTCTCACATAGAAGTTCCACCCTATGAGACTTCACAAGGAGTTCCACCCTGTCAATGCGCGTGTGTATCAGTCTCTCAAAAGGGATCTCACCCTTTAGCCACTCTGTCGGTGGCTGCGGCTCAATTTCCCTGGCTTATACCGGTCTCATATCACGGACTTACTGACACTTGGCTCGGGCAAACGTGAATTCGCCGCCGACAACAAATGTAAGTTCAAACGCTCAACCAGAAGCTGTCACCCTAGGCTCGTGCAATAAACGCGTCATTGGCTTCTTAACCGACACTTGGGATTCTGGAATCTCATTACATTACCCAAACAACTCTAGCGGACGACAGATCCGTGAAAGCTAGCTGTCTTGTAGACAGGTCTGCTTATCAGGTCCGCACCCCAGCAGGCTATTAAGTGCACCTCCGTCTCCAGAACAACTGAGAGTGTACTGAGTCTGATTCTGATGGAAAAGAAGAGGGTCAAGGGGAGTTTATATGACAAAAAAGGTACATAAAAATGCATAAACTGCATGATAACTGTACGAACCACATGATAAATGCACGAAAATGCCCCTGCGCATGCAGGTGTAGAAAGTCAGAAATATAAATCGGATACAAGGCTCTGGAAGAGGATATTAAAATGGTACTGAGGCATTGTGGTGATTAGTAAGACACTTTTGAAACTCCCTAATTTGGTTTGAGAGCAACAGAAACTCCAATATCTCAATAATTCGTGCATAAATGCGAACCGAGCTGCATGTTAAAAAAATCAAGTCGAACATTCTCCGTCCTTCATTAGCACAAGTAGAATAGTAGAGAGAAAAGCACACCTTTTCTGAGCCACTCATCTCGGTATTTTTCTCATCCGTATTTTTGCTGGTAGCTAATCAATCTCAATGTTCGAATTGAAGCGTTGTCCTGAGATCCACCATCACTGCAACAATAAAAAGATTATTACGATCATTTTTATATCATGAAAGCTGTAAATGACGAGAATCAGAGTAACACCATAATATTACTAAATGTTCCAAGGCGGTTTAAGCGAGGGAATGTATTCAAGTATTACAAATATAGAAGGAAGAGCCAGGATCCAGTTTAAGGCGGGAAGGAACGTCAGTTGTCAGGGCTTTTGTTGGAAAGAGTTTTTGTTGCTCAAATGGATCCAGAAACAGGCTGAATGTCGGTTTCGGAGGTGTACTTGGCCTGGGCAATACCAACCTGCTCCTGGTCAAGGTCGTAGACCACGTAGGCAGCTCGCAGGAAGGTGTCTCCAAAGAGCACGTAGTCCTGGGTGGAGGCGGCGGACTGGATTCCAAATACGCACTGGGTTTCGGAGTCGTCGCCCACCAGGGTGGAGAGAGGAATGACCATCTGAGACGAGGGCACGACAATGTCCTTACCGTCGAAAGAGAAGGTCACAGGCTCGTTGGAGTCGCAGTCAATGATGGGCAGGCCGGTGCTCTGATCTGTCTCCTGGAAGTTGAGGTCCTGGGCCAGCTGCTGGAAGTCTTGGTCGGGAATGTAGGTGTACGAGGTTCCAGAGTCGAGCACCGCGTTACCGCCTCCGTAGGAGTTTTGGCCGACCGAAATTCCGGAGTAGGCGACCTGGAAGGCTGCGGAACTGGTCAGGGGCAGAACCGCCAGATCGCCCTCGTACTTGGCCTTGTCGACTCCTCCAAAGAGCAGGTTTCCGGTGGAGGAAGACAGGTCGTCTAGATAGAGCGAAAAGACGGCCCGGTCGATGTAGCCGTCGCTCTTGAGCTTGAGAGGGAAGTTTTCGTACTGGTTTCCGGGCGGCACGGACTCGGAGCCCTGGAGAGAGATGCCCAGAACTCCCTGTCCTCCTCCCGCCGAGGCTGCGGCGGCAAACTGGAAGTCGGTGAGCGAGACACCTCCGATATGCAGCGTGTCGGTACCCCAGTTGCCCACGGAGCTCCCGGATACGTAGTGGATGCTGAAGTCGTCGTTCAGGAACTGGTAGGTGGATGACTGGTCGGCGTTGAAGGTACCGGTGAAGGCGCAGGCGTTGTTCTCGCAGTCCTGGGTGTCATTGGAGGCGTACACCCAGAGGTCGGAGGAGCCGGTGTCGAGCAGAACGTTGAAGTTCTGGGCGGGGGAGCCCAGCTGGAGCGCAACCGAGTACCAGTACTCTTTGTTGGTGACGGTGACCGACGGCGTTGACACCTTCTGTAGGAACTGCGAGGGGGCCTTGTTGGGGTTGGAGTGCCGAGTGACGGGGAATTGAACCACCTTGGAGGTGGCCGGGGCGGCAGCAGCAATCGCGGCCAGGACCGAGACGACAATGGTGTTTGAGAGAAGCATGAGGTGATGGTGGAGATTGAGCCAGAGGTGGGGCCAGAGTTATCAGATGCTGAGCGTACTGAGCGATACTGAGCTGACATGGACAGTACAGTCGGGTATTTATATTGCCCTCTATCTCTCCTCCCCTCATTGTTGAGATGGAATTAGCGTCCCAGCCTCTCATCTCGACTCCTCGCACGGCACTTCTCCACCTTTGACCACCTCTTTCAGCAATATGCAGGTTTCTCGAGGCGGAGAGGTGATCCAGAGGTGATCTAGAGGTGATCCAGAAGTGAATTAGAGGTGAATTAGATGTGAATTAGAGGTGACCAAGTGACTGAGAGAAGGAGAGCTGTTCCCGGACTCGATGATCCTCAATTGGATCCTAAAATTCCGACTTGATCGAGCGCGATATTTCACCAACGCCAAAGTTCACCAACGCCAAAGTTCACGATCCGACGACGGAACCAAACTGAAAGCTAATCCCGAGGTGTTATTGGTGGAGGATCGTCATAGATGGACAATGGCGGCCTTGAAGCTTCAGCAGAACCCATGTGATGACCGATACAGACGGCAAATCTGAGCCATTTGCGGCGTGGTGAGTATAATAATGAGTCGGCAGGATAAGGAGTCGGCGTGATAAGGAGTCAGTACCACTTAAGTAAGTTGGCGAACTAGCAAAGAAATAACTCATGCCTACCATCTCCCTCACACCCTCGGTAGGCTCTGTCCTCCATGGACCGCCAATCACTTATCGACAGCTATCTCACGCACTGTTGTAATCAGAGTTCGAGCCGTTTGCCAGACGGCAGAGGACAAACTCTGGAGCACAAGGGTGTTGTGCTGTTTCACATCGGTAATCTAATCAGAGACCTGCTCGCGCCGCGCCCATTGGCAAGCCACTCATTGCCCACTCGCGCCCCTGAACGGCACAAGCAGGGTCTCGAGCGATTCGCCGTTGGACCCGGCTTGGCATGTACCGATAGGCAGGGGAGTTGCTTGGGGTACCCGAAACCGTTGCCACCTGAAACCGTTGCCAAGAAGGGAATGTTTGTGTTTCCGTTGACTGGTTTGGTCAACAGGACTGAACAGTTGCTGATACCATTGTATTGTTCGTACCACTGTTATTCGTAATTGGTACAGCCAGCTCCCCTCCCCCACCATCCGCTCAACAGCTCAGATGCACGTAGTGAAACCAATATCGGAGCCGTCTAATATCACGGTGGGCTCAGGGGTAAAAGCAATCTTGCTGTAGTCTTTGCCTAGAGTATCTACTGTGTTGGTTTATATGTATTATTGTTTTGTTTTTTTCAAGATTTATTTACCGTAAATGCGTAGAAATCAGGGAAAATGAAATATGCAACAAATTGAACATACAGCAGTCAAATAGGATAAAGCGAGCATTATACAAGCCATTCCGATAGTTTCCATCCCCCAGGCATCTCCGTTATACACCTCCACCAGTGTCAATGCGACATTGCAGTTAACATTCATACAATACGAACCTGAACCGAACTGAGAGACAAAAACCAGCACTGTTCAGGACCAATAAAACAGGACCAACACTGTCCAGGACCGATAAGATCAATTGCCTGCCCACCATGGTTTCAAGCCATTAAACCCAATGATTGTCGGGTATACGGCTCGAACGTGCTTAGTCATGTGTTGATTGAGACTTTCCAGATCAGCACGGACATTTATCTAACCACATCTCACGTGGTATCATTAGACGGGAAATCATTGCTGATTACAACGAAATCACTCCCAATAGTATAGCTTTAGTATTACAAAAGTCACCTTGAAAAATAAAGAAAAAAGAAAAAAAAAAAAAAAAAAAGTGATGATTCAATCTAACATCATTAAGACAAAACCTGGGTTATAGGAGATTCATTTGATGCTGAATAATTACGTAATAGTACTTCACTTAAAGATCCGAAACGACTTCAATACCGGTACAAGTAAGACTGTACTAGTATATGTTCGACTACCAATTACAGTCCTACAGTATATCCTTATAATCCAAACTTGTCAATATCCAACCCATTACAAAACCAACAATACCATCGGGTTCCTCGCAAAGAGTGGATTCGAATGGTACTAATCTTGGCCCGATTCCGTCAACATCTCAAATCCGTCACGTGTCAAAAGTCCCGAAAAATGCCCCTACATTATTAAAACTTTAATATCATATTTCCAACGACCCTAATCTGCCCCTCCGTGCAGATACTCGCTTAACTCCCCTGATGCAGGGTCGAGGACAAAGACGCCAGAATGCGGGGTACAGAAAAATGAGGCCATTTTCTTTGACAGCAATTTGGGCTAAATTGGGGCAATGCGATAACGCCACGTGAACTTGATTGAGTAGATGGAGATCACGTGGAGCGATGGGGAGGGCCACAAGGGGGGTTGGGATCACGTGCGGGGATTCGGAGTCACGTGATAGCACATCTGACCCGGTGGGGAGGAGTATCCTCTCTTTGCTTGTCATTTTCCTTTTATTATTTGCGTGCTCCTCATTTTAGCGTCCTGTTTTGATCTAAAAAAAAGCAAGTAGGATTTCTGAAAAGTTTTTGCAAAGTTTTTCAGAAAATCTTGAAAATTGGAAAAAAAATCCACGGAAAACGGGAATCCACAGAAACGGCCGAGTAGAGTGATGTATAAATTTTTCTAGCCATCACCTTCCTACCATCAATCTCAATCTCGTATTCTTCACCTAATCAGATACGCTTCCGGTAGATCGACATTTGATTCATAAGCACACGCTATATGTGACGGCCCGCGGGGGGTGCAGGGACTTGTCTTCGTCAATGTCGCACCGGCCCTGGGATTGCCTACCGCTATGGAACACCGTGGTCGTTTTCCGAAGATGTGTGCTTTGGAGCCTGGTCATGTGTTTTGTAATTGTGATGGACGGCTATGACGGTTTTCTGATTCCGTCCTTCTACGCGGTGCCGTCATTCCAGCGCAGATACGGAGTACAGCTGCCGGACGGGTCGTGGACGGTCGAGGCCAAGTGGCAGACGGCCTACATGGTTGGAGCACCGATAGGGCGGATAGCTGGGGCTTTGGGGGTTGGGGTTTTGGCCGACCGGTTCGGGAGGAAGCGGGTTACTCTGGTGGGTCTTTTTTGCCTGTCGGGGATCACCTTCATTGTCTTTTTTGCGGTCGGCAAGGCCATGTTGGTGGTGGGCTGGTTTTTGTCGGGATTGATCTGGGGAATCTTCAACACCATGACGCCGACCTACGTGTCTGAAATCTGTCCGGTTTCGCTTCGGAGCACGTTTGCAGCGGCCATTAATCTCTCCTGGGTCGTCGGACAATTCATTTCCACCGCTGTGATCACCGCCTCGGAGTCCCGACAGGACGAATGGGCTTATAGAGTACCTCTGGCGGTCCAATGGGTGTTTCCCGTGGTGCTGATTCCGCTTGTTATGGTCATGCCCGAGTCTCCCTGGTGGATTTTGAAGCACGGGGACAAAAAGGGCGCCAGACAAGTTCTGACCAGACTCATGGACGAAAAAGACGTCGATATAGACATGTATTTGGAGTACATGCGTCAGACGCTGGAGGATGAAGTTGATGGAGGCTCGTTCGTCGACTGCTTCAAGGGGTCAGATGTTCGTCGGACGGAGATTTGCTGTCTCACATACTTCTTCCAACCGCTCTCGGGACTCTACATTCTGTCCTATGCCGCCTACTTTTTGCAGCTCACGGGAATCCCGCAAAATGTCGTTTTCAAGCTGACTCTGGGGCTGACTGGACTAGCGGTGATGGCGTCCTTGGTTGCACCTATCGTGATTCTCACCTTTACCCGACGCTCCATTTATATGGGCTCTTTAGCTCTCATGGCTGCCACTCTTTTCGCCATTGGAATAACCGCTTGTTACGACACCCAGGCGGCCAAATGGGCAGCGCCAGTGCTCATCTACGTGTGGGTAGGGACCTACGATGCGACGATCGGACCTCTGACCTACGTCATTGTCTCGGAAACGTCGTCGGTCAAGCTGAGGTCCAAAACCATTGCTCTGGCAAGCATCACCAACTCCATCATGGTCCTGGTGCTCCACATTTCCGTGCCTTACATGATGAACGAGGAGGAGGCGAATATGGACGGGTTTGTGGGGTTCATCTACGCCCCCTTTTGCCTGCTGGCAATAGCCTGGGCGTGGTGGCGACTGCCGGAGCTGAAGGGGATGAGTTTTATGGAGATTGACATGTTATTCGGCAACGAGACGGGAACCCAAAGAGCGCCGCTGGTTTTTGATGGTCAGAAGCGCGAACGACAACCTCTAGAGTCACTTGACGGTCTCGGATGGAGGTTCGGAGGTCAACAGGACTTGTCAGAGACAAATGACAATAATGAGGGCTCCAGAGAGGAACGGCTGTCGAATCCTTATTGCTCGTCCAATGAAGATAATCGAAGCGACAGATTCCAGCCCTCAGAACGTGGATGTATATTAGACAGTCCAAAGAGGAAGCATGCAATCGAGAAGAACGGAGTGGTGATCACCGAGACTCTGGAAATGGGTGAAAATGCTGATAGGTGAACAGCAGGTGTGTGGACACAGGCAGGAACTGCACCATCTGAGACCTGAGAGAAGAGATTGTATGAGACAATTTACTTCTACCAGTTCAATAAACTGCCTCGGCTTTAGGCCAGTTAGATCAATACTGAGCGAGTTGATAGAAGAACAAGCCGCATTATACAACATCCAGATACTCAAATTGGGTACTGTTTGGTCCGAGATGGCTTCTAATCATTCTCAGTAATCTGTTTGCTCTACTTATCGAGACGTGATTGCTCTGTTCTAGTGAACTCAGAAGGATTGGACATGGTACTAGAACACTCTAGCTTCGTGCAGGGTCCACCGCTATCGACGTCATAGAACCTCCTGCAAGTGGATCTCCAGTGCCTCTTGATGTTCTGTGTTTTCTGCTGAGCAAGTACAGTGTAGTGTCTAACACACGCATTCTCTCTATGGAGAGCCGGAGATATCGTGCTCTCCAGAATCTCAGGTTGGTTACTATACTGTCCTGTTTGAGACCAACCGTCTGTTCATTACGATACTCGGTGAAAGAACCATTGTCTCAGTTGATCAGCAGATAAGACATGAGACTGAGACTTCAATCTTGAAGCTGAAACTTGGACCACAAATTGAAATAACGGCTGCGACAATCACGTGGCATATCACGGAGGTCAAGCGTGTCACATGTCAAAAAACAACCACCACAACAATCGCACGAATCAGAGGATATATACCCACAGTTCAATATGAGTTTGAGCAAGTCAGCTGAACGGAGAGACATTTTTCCTGTTAGTGGTGGTAAATCCACTTGAGTACATGAGTTTCCGGCTCTGAGCTGCCTGGTGACTCCTCCAACAGTAAACAACTCCCTGGGGATCTCCCCGATTGAAGAATGAAGTCGTAACAAACGTAGAAAATGAGAGACTCCATGACTCGAGCCATTCCAAGCCTCTATCAGAACATCAACTGTGCCCTTGTTGACCTCCTCTCGGGTAAAGTGAAACCGTCTAGTAATTGCAGACTTGCATTGCTGCCTGGTTATGTGCGAAAGACCAGAGGATTTGGGTTGAAATGACTAAGACTCGTCAAGCACTTCCCGTAGTCACAGACCAGTCTAGATACCCTCCTAGACCATGTATTCAGCTTCAGCTATATACAAGGACATGTTTTTCCAATCTCCAATCCACCATCGTGACGTCCTGTCACACGTAGTAGCCAACACCCCAGTTGGCATCTGTATAGATTGTAGACTTGGTGTTTAGTCCCTTGATTCGACAATGTCTGGTTTGTCGAATGCTGACCGAGACAGGCAGACTCACATCATCCATACCCTCATCATCTCAGACACACATCATCCCAGACCTACATCAACAGAAAAGAACCGAATCTCTATTTTCCCTGATCACAATTATATCCTCTTCCTAGCGGTCTAGAAAGTGACCATCCCCCCAGCCCGGAATCTGCAACATTTACTCCATTGGGCCCATTCTCGGTCAGTTTGCCGTCCACATTCTCGCCCTGATGTACGAGGTGTACAAGATAGGCCTTGGACTGATGGATCTAGACCGAAAGTGCGACCCTCCATTCTCTATGAATCTGTTTCAGCTGGCTTCTCAACTGTCTACCATTTCTGCCAGCTACCATGGCCGAACTTTCCCACAGAGCATTCGGGAGAACCGACCTCTGTACTTCGGTCTTTGAGGAGTTGGTGCGCCTTGGCTCTTGACCTGGAAGTGTGTTGGTTGATTGGCTTGTGCGCAAGCACCTCTTCCCGGATCACTAGCCTGGGAACGTTGGCGAGAGACACGCTACCGATATTGACGATAATGTAGGGGAGCTCCTGCCCCTGGAGGAAAAGAAAAACCAGTAGAGAGTCCAGAATAATGAACTACATGTTCTACAGAAATCTGGGCGTGTCGTGTTCCTGTATAGTTGTGGACGGTGTAACATGGAAGTATGGCTACAAATGGCGACTTGTCTTCATCTGGCTCATAAGAAAGGTATCTTGACGCTCACCGACTACAAGCACCGTTTCCAGCACTCCATTTCTCTGCACCCACCGCGGATAGAGGTGTCTGAAGGAGCTCCGTCGCTTGCACTATAGCATTACCCTGTGTCTCTGGAGTGGCAGATGGGTTATCATATTTTGCAACAGCAAAATCGGAAGTATGAACTAGGATATTTCCATGGATGTGTCCTTGGCGAGTCCCTTATCCTTGGAACAGAAGGTATGCGCCTCAAATATTCCAATGGGAACTGTAGAGTGATTGGCCAAGTCCATGTTTGTACCAGCGATGACTTTGGTGGTATTGCTGACATCACCAGAGAGAATGGTTTGTGTGGTGACTTCTGCAGTTCCCATTGAGGTGCCAGCAGCAGTTTACACTCATCAAATGTTTCTGTCTCTCCTGCTGATTCAGGTTCCGTTATATCCTTGTTCACGACAGTGGCTTCAGACACCTGAAATAGTTGAGGTTTGGACATTTTCAGCGGGACTGAAAAGCCAAAGAGCATCGTCCAACATTCCTCTTTTGATTCCATTGCTCTCCTCTGTCTCTTTCACTTCCAGGTGACGCCTCGTCAGAGAAGGTCGCTCTATAAGGCAGTCAAAACCCCTTTGAAACTCGTACGAGGTGAGTCTGTCAATTCATCTCCCTGAGTATCGAGGATAGGTGAGTTGAACCACTGGCGCACATCCGAGTGGTGGAGCCCTTGGACAACCGTCATCCACTGGAGAAGGCCGCGAGCGTTATGAAAACTACACAATACTCTCCGAACAAGCCCAGGTAAGTCCAAGTAAGTCAAGTATTGCGTCTTACGACCGCTGCCACACACATATATATCTCCCTGCTTCGAACAAAACACCCGGAAAACCAGCTCGAAAATGTCCAGCTCCTCGTCTCCTCGACACTTGCAGCTCTCCATTCGAAGAAACGGGGTTCTGAACACCCTCAATCTCAAAAAAATGTCAATTACTATAGAATAACCACCGTTGAAAGAATGATAGTCATCCCATCCCATCCTACAAGCACATCTTTCAGCCCCGAACCCTCCCCTTACTTAAGTACAGTACTCCAAGTATTCTACAATTGAGTCTCCAGCAACAACAATGACTTTCCCATTGTCAAGTGTTATTTCGACTACTTAACTCCCCAATTTACTGCTCTTGATCAGTACAGATACCCTCTCCTTGCTCCTCTCAAGATTCTTCACCCCAGCATCTCGGGACTCCACTTGACGTTGGCGAAATCAGACTGAAGCTGGTAAAGACATACCAGTGTGTCCATGTATCTATTCTTCTCTTGTCAGTGCCGGATCGTATATGAGTAGGCACGAGACCTTCAGAAAACGCTACCAAGAACCACATGCTCGAGTCACACAGGTATGCCATTCAGTCCAAACGGGTGATCTCTACAGCCACAAGACCTCAAGTGAGTCAGAAGGGTATTGGTGCTTTATACCTTTCGCCAAGTGCGAGAAGGACCTCGCGCTCAGGCGACCTTTGGTCGTGGACAAACACCTTGCCTACAGAACTGCCCAGTCTGAAGCTCAGCCAGAAAACATAGAGTCTCTCCATTTCGCACTTTTCTCATCCTGTGGATGGATGCAGCTCTTGCTCCGAGCCTGAGAGCAACGGATACAGTATGCGCCCTTGGAAGCCAAGGTAACCAAGCACAATCCAGAGATCGGCCCAGTTTGATCTTGATTGGATATTTCTCTTGAGAATCTGCTACCAACTGTCTTTATTAAGACGTTACTTCAGCAAGATGACTCCACATACTCAAGATCATGGACAGATTGTGGAAAGTATCGGCATCTGGAACATGAGGGGTCTACAGCGCCCCGTTCATACTCATTGGCATCGCTGCGAGAAAGACTGGTGGGATCTGCCAGCGGGGGAACATCTTCATATCCTCGTCAGCCGCTCCTCAAAGTAGTCCTCCAACCCGACCATGAGTGTATTTGAACGCCAGTTCCACAAAGAATCACCCGTAAGAGAGATTGACTGTGATATTTCTCTCATGTTTGCCAAAATTATCGTTATTCAAAGCACTTGTTCATCTCTGTCGGGGCAGCTTTGCGGTGAACAAAATCTTCAACCGAAACGACAGTACGGGAAGTATCGTTCTGGAAGAGTCGTTGAGCTCGCGTACACACCCATGGCGAGCACTTCTCTCAGTTTGACCATATCAGTTACAGTAAGGCTGCTTTCGTATCGTACTCGTCTAGGTGTCCAATGCACGCTACATTATAGCCAGCTGAAGGTTGGCACGGGCCTCCATTGCCTGGTTACCACTGGCATTACCCCAGATCTTGCTGGAATACACCGAGTGGTAGTCCTCAGACGAAGACTCTTCATCCATCCTTACCATCTGTACTAAGATACAGGCCCTTGGCCCACGAGTAACCAGACCATCAGTCGAAAGAACGATGGGTAAAGAAGCTCTTATCCTGAGAACTAGGGGGTTAGCGTAGTCTCTGACCAGATTATCGACCCACTGTCGATTCTGACTGAGCCATTTCCCATCCCCCGCAAGTCATGTGACAAAAACTGTCAAGAAGGTGTCAATTACTCCTCTTCAATGCAAATCTGATTGATATTGATCAACTGGAGCTGCTGTGTTGAACTTCTTTCAGATCCACCTGAGTCACTCAACTGCTCCAGACTTTGCTCGATTGAGAAGACCTGCCAGGAGGTACTATCAAGTAGACACAGTATCTGGACTTGTGATACATATCCTAAGACCATGCTTAGTTCCCAACCCTACTTGCCTGGTGGGTAGCCTCAGTTGTGTTATATAAACCATCATTCCCATAGTTATGTGTATCTTCTTCTCTCTCCCTTTTCTGCTTACTTGTTCGCTCCATTGCAAAGTCGCCGCCACTTGGCATCATCGTCTGGAACGTACTGCCGCCGCTAGATACAATCCACGATCTTGTCCGCCACAGGTTAGATACTTGATTGATATCACCGATCCGTTTGCTCCAACGACAGATCTGTGACACGGATGGAGACCCCCAGGTTACATGGGGAAAAGCCTAGCCAACCTTACTCCTCTGTCGCTGACTTGGTCGTCGTGGACTGACTTGGAAAGAGTTACCTCCGTATCTCCTGAGTACCGCTAGGGTGGAAAGCGATGAGTCCGGTCTCTCTCGAATCGTCGAAGAGATGAGGGAACCTGCTGACTGCTTGTACCCTCTGTGTACCCAGTCTTGAAAGTGAGTTGCACGATTGCTTTACTAGACTCTATGACGCCCAACCATAGGCTCGTCTGCTGTGACGTCGTTCACTAACGTCAGGTTCTGCAGCACTGATACTACAGTACCTTGGCCCTCACTTGCAATCACGCTAGACTCTCAACTGGTGGAACGACACCTCTCTTTTGGTTATTGTTGCCCTTTTGTTAGTAAGAGTGTTAAACGTAACAAGTGTAGCTAGTGTCCCTGCCCGTTCTGTTTTCTTTTTGGCGCCATGTCCAACGACACCATCACTTCTTAAGAGCATGACGCTACAGGCTATCACAACGATGGAGAGGAGATTGCTTCTCCGGTCGCTTCTCGGGTCAACTGTCAACAACATCAAGACTCTGCTTCACGAGCTTCCTTACACATCAAGGAGGACTCGCATTTTCAGCACATAATGCTCTTACTAGCCAGACTTTCTTCTACCGCGGAAACTGCAGCTGAGATTCGAGCTGACCGAGAACGCCGTACTGAGAACAACCCAGCGCGAACCCCACCTGGGCAAGCCTTTGATCGACAGGGTCTTCGCGATGACTTTGTCGAAGAGGAGCAAAGTCGACCGATTACATCTCGGCAACAACTACTTCAACCTGGGCCATGCAAGCCTGCGCAAGCGCCTTTTCAAAGGAGATGATTCTGCTGCAGGCACTGAGGGTGATCCAGAGCTTCTGCTACGGAGACGGCAAGGCATGTACCACGTTCCACCGAACGCCGGCACTCTAAGGCCAATTCCTCAACGGGAAAACAGCGTTCCCTCCGACCCTGTGCAACACCTGCGACTCCTCAATCTTGTCGATAAGTCCAAGTCCAAGTGGTCCGGCACTGACAGCGACGATTACCGACACAAGACCCGGCCCTTCTACTCTGGGTACAGCTCGTTGAAGAGCAGTGATGAGTTGATTGATGAGGATTTCGAGAGTATTCTCTTTACGGTGTTGAGTCGTTACAACGCCCCGGATGAAATTGGTGCTCAAACTCCTGAAGAGTCAGACCGACATCTCAAGGCTCTCTTCACGGACTTCCGACAGAACCCCGACAAACCCACCACTGCACGATACCTTGCAGCCTTGTGCCGGGCTTTTGATGACTCTCGACAGCCTCACGCGCACCTGTCTGCTCGCATTGCAGCCCTCATGTCTCCTCGAGCTGTCGAGTACTATAAGGATCTCACTGGTTCTGATCACAGATGGAGTGACATTATTCGAGCTGCCGATCCCGACGTCCCGGGTGCTGAAAACTTTGGTCAAGCTTCTTGCCGCCGCCACTTGGCCAACACTATCCCTATCATCATCAAGAGGTTTCCAGAGAACCATGCTATTGCTTCTGGTGAATGGTATGAGTTACTTACCAATCGGTACACAGGTTGCTACTGCCTTGATATACACCGACCCTGTCACTTAGACAATTTCCTGAATGGTTAGTCTTCGTAGGTTCTGCAGCACTTGCAATCACGCTAAACTTCCCTTTTACTCACAGGACTCATCTCCATTCTGCTATAGATCTCTCTGCTGAGATGTGTTCTGCTAATTGTAACCCAAACACCACGTGACCCAAACACCACGTGACCCAAACACCACGTGACCCAAACACCACGTGACTGGTCCACAATCCCCATCCCGCCCTCCAGTTCAATCACGTGACCAGAAACCCTATATCCATCTCCTGACGGTCTCACCACTCCACTCCCCCACACCATCACTCATCACAGCTCGGCCCCGGTCGGTCCGGGCCGATAACTTTATTGCGCGTTATCAAGAATGGGCATTCACGTGTAACTTCACGTGTTCCGAGGGGCGGAGTCGGTTGTCTGAGCACATGATCTCGGAAATATCCTTCCGTTTTCCAGGTCGCGTGCTACTTTCCCCCAATTCCGCTCAAATTCCGCTTAGTAACACGATGCCCAGCTTATTTTATTTTTTTATCACCATTTGTCATGCATACCCCGCAAAAGCTCCGATGGGAGAAAGATGCAGCCAGCTCTGCGGATAATGCCGCAGTAAAGACGCCGAAAAGTAAAGTAGCTTTTTCGGACGCACAGCAATCGAATGGTATGTGTTAAACCTTAATCTGATTACTGCTGCCTCCTCCAGCTCTCCCTCGGTATGTTCAGTAATCACCCATCGCTCCAACCCCACAATGATCTACGCAAGGGCCGTTTTAAGACTTGTCAGAGCCAGACCTCCACTCCACAACCACACCTACTCCACCATGACCTTTGAACAAGACGACAAACCAAAGCTGGGCAAGCCGCTGAGCAACATCAAGGTGATTGAATTTGCCGGGCTGGCTCCGGGTCCGCTGGCCGGACAGCTTCTGGCCGACTATGGAGCCCAGGTGGTGAGAATCGACGCTCCCAACAAACCGTCGATTGACAGACTGTGCAAGGACAAGCGCTCTATTGCGCTGAATCTGAAGGACAAGGAGCAATGGGCGGTGGCCCGAGACCTCATCAAGAACGCCGACGTGGTCATTGACCCCTACCGCCCTGGAGTTTTGGAGAAGCTGGGGCTGGGCCCCTCGGTCTTTTTGAACGCCCACAAGGGACTCAACAAACGGCTCATTTTCGCCAGGCTCACTGGATACGGCCAGAAAACAGACAAGTCGCACTGGGCAGGCCACGATCTCGGATATCTGGCAGAATCGGGCATTCTCGACACCATCGGACCTCCCGGCCAGGCCCCCGTCTTCCCAGCCAACATTCTCGGCGACTTTGCGTCTCTGTCTCTTCCGGCCTTTGCTGCTATCTCTCTGGCGTTGTACGAGCGAGAAATGAAGGAGAAACGGGGCAGCTCCGTGCCCGGCCGAGAACTGGACGTGAACATTGTCCAGGCGGTCCAGTATCTCGGGCTGTTCGTATCCCACGGCAGATACCCTGACGGGGAAGGCGGCATTGCGCTGTTTGAAAACGAGCGAGGAACCAACACTCTTGACGGAGGCTCGCCTTACTACCAAATGTATGAGACCGCCGACAAGGGCGAGTACCTGGCGGTGGCGCCCATCGAGGAGCAGTTCTACTCGCAGTTTGTTGAAATGGTCGGTCTGGATCTCGACAAGCTTCCCAACCGATTTGACACCGACAACTGGGCGGAGCTGAAACAGATTTTCGCCGAGGCTATCAAGAAGAAGGGCGTTCAGCACTGGAGAGACCAGTGTGACAAGTACCCCAACTCGTCGTGTGCGGTGATGAACAAGCTGGCCAAGCCGGAGGATGTCAAGGACCAGATTGTCACGTGGACTAGCAAGTCGAGCGACAAGTACGAGAACAAGGGCTTTGCAGGCAAGGTGCTGGAGGCGAATCAGGATGCGGAGAGCGTCATCCGATCGTTCTTGGGTAAAGGGTACTGGAATAAGGTCAAGGCAAAGCTCTAGGCGAGCGACAGCCCAAGTACGGACCGCGAAAGTACGGACTGCAAGCCCTTCCACGTAACCTTTTACTAATACATTTATATAACTACGGTAGGAGTGCGCAGTAGTACAATGGTGCGGAGCTTACCATTCAGAAGACGGGTGACAGACCGGGGGGCGCGGGTCAGCATTGCATGGAGAAGTCAAGAAAGAGCTGGAGCAAGCGGTGACGGTATTGTTGGGTAGACTCACGTCCAGATATGGAGCGTAGCGTGGGCCGTGAAACAAACATTGTTGTTGCACTAGTCGGAAGTCACGGATAAAAAAGGTCGCGGACGAAGTGGTAATGTTCAGCAGTTCCACAGAAGGCAATGGTCCTAGTTAATGGGACCAAATTGCCTTCATCCCCTGGTTTTGTCATCACCCGCCAAGCTATCGGAGACTTGAGGGGGTTGGTTTGCGATTCAATCGGTGGCATGTGACACTGTGTGACCAAGCAACGATGGCTGAAGAGACGCAAAGAACCACGAGAAGCCAACAGGTTGTAACGTTGGCTTTTGTCAAGAAACTGCCGTTGTCCTGCTCAGAACTCACCCCCTCTTTCTCCTCCTGCTGACTCAAACACCGACTCAGACTTGGAGACATAACACGATTGCGTCCTCGACTTTGTCTGTGTTTGTGAAGCCTGAGAAACTGTCATGAGCGGGTGTTGGTCTCGTCTAAGGTGGTTTCGTGGTACGAACGCGTGATGCGTTTAGTATTGGAGGCGAGTTAGACGACACCAGTTTGACACCGTTGGAGTGGTTTTGCCTGGTGGCTCGTATGAAAGAAGTTGTTTGATAATGCGAGAGAAGTAAATACCGCTTATTACACCTCACCAGTATTCATGGGGCTGTATGGCTTCATTCGTGCAAGAGAGAGAGCTGTCTGTTTGCCACGGCGTACTGGGTAGCACTATCCAAGTACATTCTCCAACTCCCCAGACTCTTGTCGACATCCGCATGTGTGTGTTCCTGTTGTGTCCGTACGTTTTTTTCTAATGATTGACCGTCGATTCGTTTCAAGACGTGTTTCGGACCATGCTGCGAAAAGCGAGAAAAGCTGCTCTTCGACAACTCTCAATATACCAGAATGAAGACAGATCCAGGCACCCTGAGTTGGAACCTACGCCGTGCACGTTCATTGACGAGTTTGTGAGCATCGATATTCAGTGACAAGCTTGTGGGTGTCGATGTCTCATTGCGATACTCTGGTCTACAGTCTGAGGAACGTGTCTAGGGGCGTAGTTCCAAGGCAGTCTTGGTTCCAGAAGATTATGGACACTCTTGGGTACCAATTCCTCACATCCAAGGGGAGCAAGGATGGTGTTGATATCTTGGCTGCATCCAAGGAGTTCTCCAATGTAACCCGGACCATCGACTGAAGGACATGTACAACCGCACTCAAAGGAACTGGATGCTGAACGGGCCAAGGAGAGGTTCAGACAGTGGAAATAGAAATTCCAGACCGATGTGGACTTCAGCCGAACGTCTCACGATTTACCTGAACGTCCTCTTGACAGAAAACGAGACAGCGGCTTTCGAAGCAGAGTTTCCTGACCAAACTAAGGAAAACAAGCTGGAGTTCTACTGTCGTCTCAGACACTGCTGAGAAGCGAAGCTGTAGTCGATAAAATGGATGACTTGAGGTCGTGTGGCATGTGGTAGATGTGTTCATTGCGACAATGTGTCTGAGTGACGAGGGTCAGTTGCAACTGGTAAAACGCGTGATTCTTGTGCGTTGGGGTAGACTGTTGGCCATGAAGACGTACATTGTACAAGGTAGCGGTTCTGCACATAATCCTGGGGTGCTTGTGGACCGTTACTCGGGTAAAATGGGGAGACCATATGAACTTGTAGTCGACGTGAGTATCCAGACTCGAGGTTGGTTTAGTTTGTTCTCATAATAAATCGTAGACGGTGTAATTCGGATAGGGATCATGAATATAATTTATATGTGTCGTGTTTGAGTCTTTACGCCATCGGGGAGTAGCTCGGTGTTTGGTTTTTTTTTTTTTTTTTTTTTTTTTTTTTTTTTTTTTTTTTTTTTTCCATAATTCCATTAATCTGAGACGTCAGCGTGTATATTTAGCGTGAGCAGACCTCACGAGTACGTCATGTGTACCAGCCATCGTAATAATGCTCCTAGAGTAGAAAACAACTTCGGCGCTCATTCCTCTGCACGCTTCCGCCCCATAGCCACGGGACGCAGCGAGACTTTTCAGAAATTGTTGGTCACATTTTTTTATTTTCAAAAACACGGTATCCTGGCCGAGCGGTCTAAGGCGCCAGGTTAAGGCTAATACCTTAACGAATTTCCTGGTCTCTTCGGAGGCGTGAGTTCGAATCTCACGGATATCATTTTTTGCACAGGGACTTACTACTTTTGGCGTCAAAAATAAATAATAGTTCTATTTTGGGGTCTCCAAACATCTCGTCTTCCTACGCTCTTCCTTTCCAGCGACAATTCTGTATCTAGATGACGTAAGCTGGCATTCGCTGACAAAGCTTAGCGTGATTAATCATGATTTACAACATGAAACTGTCTCGGTTATACCGTTTCAGTAAGCCTTTTAGTGTGATACTTGTAGCCCAACAGATAGAATCACATTCTGGCTTTCGAATGATATAACTTTTAAAACGTTCCAAGCATTTTCCATTAACCAACCATAGTTAGTCTGTGTTACGCCAAGTAGTTTGTTGATATTTTAGTTGGAGAAGGACATGACACACAGTCAGCCTTTTAAGGAGGGTCTCCAGATGGTAGCGACTTTGGTGACTTGAAACTGTGAAAAGAGTTGTATGTTCTACAACAAACAGATGATTTCGGTTTAGTCCACTCTGATGGAATCAGTATTCAGCAAGTTGAGCCGTTTTGTCGAATCACCATCACGAAACTGTTCCTACGTCGACATGAGAATCCTTCCATCTTGCTCGAGATCCACCATATCTGGTATAACTTGACGGGAATCAAATCATTTAGTCCCAGAGAGAATTTATTTATCCTATACTAGTCGGTATCTCCTCACAAACATCCCCAAGCCTGCTATCCTCAAAATAGCATCCAAACATTCTACGTCACTTGTCAAGTAACCATAAGTAATGTATAAAGTACTTTGTTAAAGAATTTATCCTACTCAAGTAAATGTAACATTTTTGTTAGCATATACATCCTAGAAAAACGACACCCCTCCAAATCTCCGAACTCTGACCCGATTGAAAAAATTAAACCTGCAATCTACTCTCAAACTCCAATCTACTCGCTCCATAAAACCCTGTCTCTATCCCTGGAAGTTGTTGTTATTGTAAATCATTTATTAACCAGTCCAAGTTACTACTCAAACTGCCGTACACTCAACACCACCTCCCGCTCTATGGTCACATCACGTGACTTGGTTTTTTCTCACGTGATCTCATTAACAGCGCCAACAGTCATCTATTCAAATTCTTGCCCAAATAAGACGAGAAATTCGCGGTTTTCGAGACCCCTTAAAACCGCACCCCCAGCCGTGCGGCTCATTAATTTGCGTGGGGGAGATGAGTGGGGGCGCCAGAAAACCTCCACCTTGAGTTGGTGATCTTCTCCGGTATGACGAAATGTCGGATTTCAAGTGGTCACAAGGGCCAAATCACACAATAAATTACATTGATTATAAAACAGAGTCGAGGAGAACTCCATCCATACCCTAACTCGTCTCATCTCATCCCATCTCACTTAAACAGTGAGATATTTATCCACCACCCAGCGAGCCAACTTACCATTGCCACTGACGGTATAAATCAACTGCAGATTATACGCCGCCTCTCTCTTGAGGTCATATCTCTCATCCAGACCCTCAAACTCTAACACCTTGTTGTAATTCTCCACTGCCAATCCCGTCAGACCCAGCATGTGAGCCATTCGGGCCATGTTAAAGTGTCCTTCCTGCGACTCGTGATCGCCCGAGTTTTCCCTAATGTCCATATACTGGGTGAGAAACGACAGACCCTCGACAATCTGCAAATGTCGGTTGTTGGTTTGTCGTTGAATGGCTCGGTGAACATGCGCAATGGCAATGGTGAACAGAACCATGGGATCCTGAGGAGACTCTTTGAGTGCCCGCATAAGATAGGTCAGTGCTGATACGTAGGATCGACCCAGAATCATAGCGTGGCCATAAAGAGTCAGCAGTAGAGGGTTTTCCTTGTGCAGCACTCCGGCGTAATCGGCGCGATTTTCGACTCGCATCTGGCCGGTAATCTCCTTGCCCAGAATTATCGAGTCTACGGCCTTGATGTATCTGAGGATGAACTTTTGGTTGTTGGTAGAGTTGAAAACGGCTTGGGCGTCTGCTCCAGATGGCAGAACCGCGGAAAACAGTCGGATTGTGTCGTTGTAAAACTTGAGGGTTCTCATCAGAGTCTTGGTCTCCTCATTGGCGATTCTGTAATCGTTGGCAATGATAGAACAGGCCACATGAACGAGGTCCATGCATTCAACACGGTCCGAGTTCATGCGGAACACATTGGCTTCTTTGGCGTAGTTGAGAACCGTGTAGCAATCGGCTGGGGTATCTTCGTAACGAGCTAGAGCCAGCGCGTACTCCATGAACATGTCGAACCAGACGGAAAACTGGATTTCGCGGAACTCTGTCAGATTTTCCGACTCCTCGTCAATCACATCTTCCTCGAGACGTGCTGTGAGCATTTCGATCCGGTGATCCACATCCATTCGATCTTTTCTCTTTTTGGACAAGGTCATACCCTTGAAAGCCCGCCGTTTGTCAGAAGGATAAAACTGTCTCACAGAGGAGAAGGAGTCGACCAGCTCAGAAGCAATTGTCATCCACTCGTAGACAGCCACCGCATTACCCTGGAGAAGCCCGGCTCGCTGACGCTCCAAAGCAGCAAACTTTTCCTTGCACGCCTCGGTCGCCTTTCGCTCAAGCAACTCCTTCTCCTTGACGCTGGGTTTGGTGCTGGGTCTCTGTCTAGCAACAAAAACAACCCCGGACTCCTCATCTCCATCTCCAACCTCTTCCTCCAACTCCTCCCGTTTCTGCTTCGCCCGCAAGTCTCGAATCTCGTCTACAATCGACGTACATTCATCGTACCGTTCCTGAAAATGATACGACTCTGCCAGACCCAGCATGGCGTCCACATTGTTGGGGTCAATGTTGGACACGGTTAGATACGCCTGCTCGGCATCTTCATAATGGCCCAAATGGTGCAGAGCCGAGGCCAAAGCAAGATACAGGTCAGTCTGGGAAACGACATCTGCATCATGACGAACCAAAGGAGTCAACAGATCCAAAGCTTCGGCGTAAAGATTGGCGTTCAGGAACGCCTGGCCCAGAGTCAGGAAAATGTCGGCAAAAACAGCACTATCCTCCTCTAAAAACATATCCAGATGATGTCTGGCCTCCTGAAGTCCATTTGCATCGCCCATTTTGAGTCGAGCAATGCAAATGTGACTTCGGATCTCCACCGGAAGACGATAGCTCTCTGGATCGCGATTCTGACTGCGTTTGACGGATTTTCGTCGCTCGTCAAACTCGGCATCAGTCTCCAGAGCATGCTCATCCCAGTAGGTCTCGTCGGCACGTCCTAGCAACCACCGAGCCACAGCTTTGCCCTTGATCAACACTTTACCCCATGATTCAGTCCGAACATACATGTCCAGTAGATAATTGAGCTGTGTGAAGGTGAACGGTTGTAGTACCTCATTTTCTCCAGCTCGACTCTCGAGTCTCTCCTGAAGAATGCCCTCATACAGCTCGATAGCATCGGCTTCTCTTCCCTGCCGAGTGTAAACGTACCCGAGGGTCCGGACCACCGCCTCGTCGCCGGGCTGCATCTCCAGCAGTCGCTTGAGATCCTGTTCAGCCTTTTTCCACATATCTTTGTCCATATAAAGCCCCGCTCTCTCGGTAAGAGCCGACTCATCTCCTGGGTCGACCTGAATCACCTTGGAGTAGCAATAAATGGCCTGGTCGAGCATCCGTGCGCCTCCGATGGCGTGGGACCGCTCAGCAGCAGCCAACCAATCTTCTTTGGCCCGATGGTTGAGAATGGCCGCGGCAAGATTGGCGGTAAGAGCACGATCGGCGTCTCCAAGCTCGTCATAGATGGTCACTAGCAACTTGAACGCCTGGTACGCCTTGGGATCGAGTTGAACCGCCCTACCAAGCAATTCAATCGCCTTATCAAGCTGCTTGTTGATGTAGCATTCCGACGCCTGAGCCAGATACATTTTCACCTCCGGAGCAGGCTCCCGGTCCACAATCGACACTCGGCCTCTTCCTCGCTTCTTTTTGCCGCTTGCAGACCCACTCCCGCCCGGAATCCCGCCCCCAACAATCTCTTGTAACCGCTTCGGTAACGCGTCCAGATTGTCAAGATCGCCGAGCTCATCGCCGTCGCCGTCGCCGTCGCTCTCATACCGCTCCTGTCCCACATCAAAGTCGTCGTCGTCCTCGTAGTCCGAAAATTGGTCGCGTAAATCGTCGTAGTTCATGATAAAGTGCAAGACAATATTTTCGACGTTATGGAGGTGGTGTACATGTCGGATGTGACACGAAAAGTCTATTTTTTTTGGACACCCTGGTCACGTGACCTGCAAGGAGAGGGAGGGGGAGACCACCCAGCACACAACTCGTCCAGTTTGGCGATCGGGCGCGGGTTTGTTTTGGGTGTTTTGTTTTTTTTGGATAAATGAGATCACGTGACCCCATTCTATGTCCCGAGTTGAAATCTCGGGGATATTCTATCCCATTTTTGTTTCTTTTGAGTGGTGTTAAAAATGAAGGAGAATAATGTACGACTTGAGTATACAGTAGAGTACAGTACTTGCAGTATGTTGGTTCAAATCGAGTCTTGACAGCGTCTAAAATTGGACAGTTGGAATATCGCAAACAAGAGCTATCGAATAGTACTAATTAACTTGCTGGGCCATCGAAACTGGAAGATCTGAATAGGACGATGTATGTCAACTAATTTCCAAGTAGTTAGTTGGGATCAGGTAAACAGGCTCAGGACATAAGTCCGCTCATAGGCAGTGAGCCGACTAGACCAGGTCATGGAGGGTCCCATCTCTGTGGACTAATGAACCAAAAGAATGTGCTAAATGTCATTCTCCTTTAGCGGTAGCAAATCTGGTTTGCATACAGTCACCGAAAGGTTTGTATAAAGTCACTCTCTCACTGCTTGACATCACTTCCACCAGCTCCAATCCCAACTACTCTACTTGATAGTCCTAACTATATTTCTTAACAAAGATTCCCCAAATAAAGTCCCCTGAAACTGGTAGTTGAGTTAACAAATGAGCCGGAAAAGTTGCCGGTAGATTATTGAATGCCATAGAAGTCTCCTATACTCTCCCTTGTCTCCATATCTCCGATCTTTCGGGTATTTTTCCGTCTCTCGATATTCCCAAAAAACTCTGTTTAAACCTTGATAAATAAACCTCCTGTCTACATCACCACATTGAGGACAACACTACACTTTCAATCCACGCAGCCTGGCAGATATTGGTCAAATCGAACGGAAATCGTAAGAAAATTGAATAAATCGACTGAAAATCGAAAGCCCCGACCACAACTGCCCAAAACCGACCAAAACTGCCCATAACCGATCGAAAATCGATACTCAAGTGGCAGCATTTCGCTCTCTCGACACACCATAACAAGTTGATCAGAATTGGTTAGAGTCGGCTATAATTTACCAGGGAGGATCAGAGTCGACCAAAATTGCGCAGAATCGACTCAGAATCCACTAAAGACAACCATTCTTGACCAAAATCGGTCAGAAACGACCAATTCAGCCTATCCCACTTGTACTCGCTCGTGCTCGCTCATACTGACATGGAACGCCTATCCGTCGACACATCGCGATCCAGCATCGACAATAAGCGAAACACAAAACGAAATGCTCTGCGGGAATTCTACAAACTACAACAACCCGCCGCGGACCCGGACTCCTCCCTCATAGCGTCGTCTGTCATTTCTTCTGCGCGAACCAGCATCTCGGATATCACCAGCGTCGTTGGAGAAGAGGATTTCGAGGCGGAGGAGCGACGGTTGGAGGCCAAGTTTGAAGCCGGCAGTTTTGATGCCGAGGAGATTGCCCGTGACATTCTGTCGTCTCGCGGCAGCGGGTCCCGTGTGCTCAAGGACCTGCTCAAGAAGGAAAACTCGCTGCTTCAGAGCATCCGGGTACTGCAGTCGGAACAAAAGGCGCTTGTCTATAACAATTATTCCCGTCTGATTGCCGTGAGCGAGACTCTGGCTAAAATGAAGGACGGCAACCTCGACAAGAAGACGGACGAGATTTCCATTGTGATTGGCGACGAGCAAGAGACGGCCCAGCCGATCGAAAAGACCCGCGCAAAGCTGCCGGGACTGATCCAGGAGATTTCCACGGCGTCTCGAGACCTCAAAATGGACGGAGTGGGGGACAAGGTCGGGGCCAAACAGGTGGCTCAGTGGCTCCTTAACACGCCAAAGGAGGTGGAGCAATTGGAGGGACAGGAGAGAGACAAGAGGATAGATGAAAGTCTCAAGGTACTGGAATTGTGGATGGAGAGGAGTCGAGTGGGGGGGTTGGAGGAGTTGAAGGGGAGGATCGAAGGGTTGAGACACTAGCAGAGCGAAAGTAGGAGAGACTAGTGTTGGCTGCTGTCACGTTTTGACTTTGAGTCCAATATTTAATACTGAATGTTTAATGACAATTGGTGGATACTATTACTATCGAGTATCTATATCTAATCATCACAGGCCAAGACGATACAGTGGGAGGTGTACTATAACGAAACGAGAACGAGCGACCCTTCGAAATTTTGCTGATAATTTGGGACCATTATATTGCCCAGTTGCTTACTGTCTGGAGCTGTGTCCCTCTAGTCTGTCACTCACCAAAAGCCAATTCTTCATCTCCATTTCTCTCTCGGGGTGTAGTGCATGACCCTGCATGATTGTGCATGTATATACATTACCCCGCCATTTTTGTGGTAGTGTGTGTGATCTACAATAAGTTGTCCTCCGATCTGCCGCCTATTTCTTCCTCTTACACATCACACACACCACTCCACAGCAGTCAGATAACAGCCCTTGCTGGACTGACACTGACACGGACTCAGTTACGGACTCAGTCACAGATACAACACTGATACTCGACACAGACACTGACCCAGACACTGGTGCAGGTAGTGACGCAGTTGGATAACCAGTTACTCGTTCGTGTTTAAACTAGGCCGAGCCAGACACGGGGACTTCCTGCTGACTTAATGTCGACCCATTTAAGGAGACAGACTGAGTGGAGACTGTATCCACAACATCTGTGTCACACTCCGTTTGGTCTGTCGAACAAATGAACGTCTGCACTGAGTCCGAAGACACGAACCACCGCTGAGTACACAAACCCCTTCTCTTCATGGACACACCTGTCAGACACGGCTTGGTTCAACCCCAATCAACACCAGCCGCGTTCGTCGCTCGCAGGACACCAGCACAGACAGATCCAGGGCCTCTACCGTGATTATCACCTGACCCCCATTAGCTGACACAGAGCCAACAACAGTGACACATACAAGCCATATACTTTGATACTACCAGATGACCAAGGCTGTGTCTGCAGAGAGACACTTTTCATCCACCGACACTGACTGTGTCGCTCAGCGAATGGAACAGCTCTGCTGCCGCCGTTGTACAATGCCTACGAGTATTTGCCATCCGCACGCTCATGGTTGTGGCTCTGATCTACAGCATGTTCTCTCACACTTTGTCTACAATCGTGTCAAGCTCGCTTTTCTCGCTCACTTCCGACGCTTTATGGTAATGTACTCTTACTATATACACGTTGAGGTACACTTTGCTAGTTGATAGCGTTTTAAGCCGAATGCAATGTTGAACAGATCGAATAAATAAGCACGTTGAGTGCTGTTAGTGGGTTGAAGGGGGTTGAAGGGGTTGAAGGGGTCGGGTTGAAGGGGACCGGTTCAGGGGAAGTGGTCAAGCCTACAAGTCGCTAAACAAGTCAAAGATACCAGTGGAGTCGTGGAAATCATTGTGCACAATGTTGACCAGGTACCAGTTGTTGAAAATGTCGTCGAGGAACTTTCGGGACTCGGATTCGGCAGGGTAGCACTTGGCCCACTCGGAGCCGAGGCGGAAGGCCTCCTCCTTCCACGCCAGGAAGGAGATTTTCTCGACAATGGTGGGCTGGATGACCTCCTTGCCGGGGTAGATACCCCAGGTGACGGCGTTGGGTCCGCCAGGGGCGTTGGTCTGGAGGTTGCCGGTCTTGTTGACGGCGTAAAAGGTGATTTCCGACTGGTTTTCGAGCTTCTTGACGAGCTTTTCCGCCACCTCGGGGGTGACAAGCAGCTCCAGGTACGCCTTTTGATAGACGTAGCCGTTTTTGGGGCCCCAGCCGTGGACCGGGTGGGTGGACTTGGCTCCGTTGACGGCGGGCTGCGAGTTGATGGTCAGAATACCCCTGTTGTTGAGCTCGAGAATCTGGGGCTTGATGGTTTCGATTTCGTTGGAGATGGGAACGTCGGACCAGGGCAGCGACGCCAGCTTACCGTTGAGGTAGTTGACAAGAAGCGTCTTGAGGTCGTCGACGGTCTTGGGCTCTCCCCAGAGCTCGAGGACCTTTTGGGGCGACTGGCGGAGCAGCACTCCGTAGGTTTCCAGCTCGCCAAACGCCGGGGACCGCGAGTCTCCCCATCGGCCGTTGGGGAACTCGTCCCAGTCCTGGGTTCGGGCCACGTACGACTGTTTTCTGTTCTTCCAGAAAATGGGTCGAACCGTCTCGTCCTGCCGGCCCAGCGCCAGCGAGGGCCGCCATGGCAGCGGCGCCACGGCCGAGTCCTGGGCGGGCAGGTTGAGGCGCTCCAGCACCATCACCGTGGCCTTTTCCAGGTTCATGGTGTAGAAATGGAGATGTTTGATTTTGCCCGAGTCCAGCATTTTCTGGCACATGTCTGCCACGAGCTGGGTGCCGAGCTCTCGCACCCGCATGTCGTCGTCCTTGACAGGCTCCAGCTGGTCCAAAAAGTCCTGGGGGATCTGGATCTGGCACCAGTTTGCCCGGCGCATAAACGAGGCGTAGGTGGAGATGGGCATGATTCCGGGGATGATGGGCACGTTGATGCCCTTGGCACGGCACTTGTCGACCCACTTGAGGAAGTTGTCCGTGTCGTAGAACATCTGGGTGACGATAAAGGTGCCGCCAGCATCCACCTTTTCCTTGAGATGGTCGATGAGAATGTCCACGTCGGGCTCCTCAGGGGTACCCTCGGGGTAGGCCGCCACGCCAATGTCAAAGTAGTCGCCGTACTTAGACTTGATGTACTTGACGAGATCCTTGGCGTAGCGGAAGCCGCCGTCGACCGCCTCCCACTTTTCCGACTCCACGGGAGGATCGCCTCGAAGCGCCAGAATGTTCTGGCAACCGCCGTCAAACGCGGACTGAAGAGCATTCTCCACCAGCTGCTTGGGCATGCCGGTGCAGGTCAGATGCATACAGGTTTCGAGCCCCAGGGCGGACTGGGCGGTGGCGACCATCTCGTTGGTGAGGTTGGAAAGACGCCCGCCGGCGTTCCACGTGATGTCGATGAATTGCGGGCCCAGCTGGTACATTCGGTCCATTCGGTCGTACAGATTGTTGACTCCCTGAGACGTTTTGGGGACAAAGAACTCGAACGAAAATGTCGGCGTCGAGTCCGCCGCGTGAGCCTTTTCGAGCTTGTGTGAGATTTTCATTTTGACGGCTTTTTGACCAAAAAACGAGCTCACGAGATTTGTTCGTCAAGAGATGTTGTCAGGATCAATCTCACATTGTCATGCACATGCAAGTGGTTGACCCGGATTTCGGGGTTAGGGCATGCTAAACCTTGATTCAGACACGTGCCCAATCAAGAGGCGAGAGCGGGGAGGCGGTGGAGAGTGTCGAATGTGGCGCAAGATCACGTGTGTGGCTGGAGGGGCTACGATACTGGTCTAGTTGTGCCTCTCCCTGTCGCTCTGCGGTAACCACGTGGCCAATATGTGGCCACGATTTGGGGTACGTCGTGGGGGACGATAGGTGAGTCACGCTACCGTGGTGAAATTTCGCCGACATCGCGCTAATGGGGGAGAGTGTGCGGTGTGGCGCGGGTTGGCGCAGAAATTGAGGGGGACTACGGGGTGAAAAACCAAAATGGCTTACGTAAGTTTATGATGAGCTGGCACGTGACATTTTGAAATTTCCACTGCGACCCGATTCACACGTTTCAATTTCCCGACAGCATTTGGAAGCACATGAAAGAAGCGCCATGCACCACGCTGCGAGATAGACGACAGCCAATAGGGTGGCTGGATATTTTTCAGTTGTGGGTTCGATCCTGGGGTGTGTTAAAAAAATGAGCCGGTCAAAGTTGTAAGGGAGATACCTTGTGAAGCACTAGTCCCCAAAATGAAGGGATTTACATCCCGAAAACAGACTTTTTTTTCCATGGAATAGGGTCAACGTATGAGTGCAGTATGTATGTACTGTACCTGTATGTACATACCTATACATACTTTGAGAGCTGCTCTACAATGCAGGTCTGCCAATTGCTTTCTTGGAAGGGGCAGTAGCCGTGAAGACATGGTGTTAGAGATTGATAAGTTGATCTAGAGGACTTTTGATACGTTCTAAATCCTTTGGTTTTTGTCTCGTTTCAATTTGAGGAATATTGAACTAGTTGGACGCGCTTTACATGAGTGTGGTGGATTCTCAGAATGCACGTAAGCCATTCAAAAGACCTCTGGTGGATATTGTGAAAGTAGTGAGCGAATCCCCGTATTTCATTGCCCCTGAATTTCAACTCTTGAACCTTACAGACCTTTTCCAGTACAAGATCTGATCCACGCAGTCGATTCGTCTTGAATAAAACGACCTTTTATATTGACAAATACATCAACGACTTACATATCACTTTCTGGGAGGCGTTCCGGTAAACCAGACTTTTCTCCAACAGAGAGACTCATTAGAAAGTCTCCCCGTTATCATTCTAAGGACGATTGACGGAGCACGCCATCGGGTTGACAAACTTCATGTGAGTGAATTTGTCCCTCAGAATGGAAAACTAGGGGTTTGTACCCATGTCAAGGATTTTATTTAACAGTTTATGAGCCCAGATAGCTCGTATAGCTCAAACCTGTTTCTAAATTGTCTCTTTTACTTGCATTAAATCCCTCCTCCATCTTTTGAAAGATTAGTCATATATCCCATCTTATGTAATCATGTCCAAAACTTTTCCTGTAGATACCACAATAAATCCAAGAGGTTCTTTCTATCCCCCACATCCTATTTACCCCCTTACCACGCTCTCATACCAATATATTGTCACTGGAAGCCCTAATCGCCATCTCCTCAAAACCCTACAAAATATCACTTCTCCACTACAACTTGCGCAAAAAACACGCTATTCCAAATCAGAAACTTGAATCCAACTCCCCACACTCTCCTATCTTATATTTCGAACTTGTCGCTCCCCTTCACAACCTCCCCGTCATTCAAATCAATCACCCCGCGATGGAGCTATGTCCCTCCAACTTTCTCAAATCTCAAGATATTTTGAATCGGAACAGTGCAATAAAATATATGTCCCTGTTTTTACGCAATATCCGCTTTTCTTAGACTCACGCAACCCCAGAGACGGCTCCAAAATCGCACTCGAAATTTTCCTCCCCACAACCAAAGCCCCACATGACTTATAGCCGTGCCTGGTATGCGTGTCTTGAACCCTGCTTGGTGGGATGGTGGGGTGGTGGGGTGCCCAGAAACACCTAACCTAACCCAACACCTAACCCTGAACAACCCCTTTCCCCCCGAGCGGTCCTAACCCTGGCAAACCCTAAACCACCGTCATACTCCATCCAACTCCTATCACGTGGCAATACCCTAATCACGCTCCCCCTCCCTCGCCCCACTATCTCCTCCTCCTCGTGCCGTTCATATCGCTCAAATTTCAAACCATTTAAACCTTATTTGAACCTAAAAATGCGGTGATAAGAAAAAAAATAGTCCTGCCAAGTGACAGCTCCAAGTCATCGCAGTTGCATGTGACGGAATAGATATAGATGGGGAAATGAGAGGTTATGAGCTTGGGTGGGAGTGAGTCCGGGTGTTGTTTAGTCATCGCTGTATCACGTGAGGAGGAAGCCGTCAGCCGGTGGAGTTTTTGCCTCACGTGACTGAAAAACTCCCGCAGATAATCCCGCACACTACCCCACATTTGAGTTTATCGTGAGGCGGTGGATTCTGACAGACAGACACATTTTACTCGAGACTCTTCCTGTTCTCTGTTTGATTTTTCGACAAGCGAAAAACCACGTGACATAGACGGAGCTCACAGACGATCACGTGACCTAGAAGGAAACGGCGCCAGCGACAGTGACAGCGACACCAACAGCGACATCCACAGTGATACGAGCAGACGACATCGAACGTTTTGATACAACATTTTTCTGGTGGCTGAATTTGGACTAGACGATTTTGCCCCGTTTTTTTCCCCGCTTTTTCCCACTCACTCACGTGACCTCTACGACCTCTGCGGCCACTCACGTGACCTTTGTTGGCATTTTTTGCGGATTTTAGTCTCGACTGAAACGTCTAGTACATTGTTCCGTGTGATAACTGACACAACACGAGTTGGCGGATTTTGCGCTTGAACGGAACCAGAAAGGACTTTAGCACACACAGCAAGCGCTCGAGCGGTTTCTGACGACGATTGTGGTGATTTTTGAGGCTCGAAAAGTTCGAAACGACTTGAAACGGCTCAAAAGCTCGAAACGACTTTTGACGACGGTTCTGACGATTCTCGACGACTTTTGACGACGGTTCTGACGACTCTCGACGACTCTCGACGACCCATTTTCGACAGTATCCAACGTTTGATCGACCCATTTCGACTCATTGTCAGCTTTCTGAGCATCTTGAACGACTAGATTTCATCAGTGACTCAGTGACTCAGCCCATTCTACTCACTCCAGACCAGTCAATTCGTCCCAGCGGACTACTGTAGAAACCCGGGTTCATTCCAGACTTGCACTTTCTACAATCCAACCATGCCTTCAAGCCTGAAAACCCCCCACACCACCACCATGGTGGAAAACTCGCCGCTGTTTCCGGCCCACTTTTCGCACGAGGCCAAAGACATCTCGTCGAGCGGCTCGGTGGCCATCGGCATCGTACTGGCGGAAAAAAACCTGTTTGTGCACGGGTTTGACCACCACGAGCAGGAGCAGCAGCCACCGGCGCTGCTGCGAGGCAGTCTCATTGTTAAGGTGGCCAAGTCGACGAAAATCAAAAGCATCAACCTGTCGTTCCGTGGCATTGCCCGCACGGAGTGGCCCGAGGGCATTCCGCCGAAAAAAGTCGACACGTTTGAGCAGAAAGACCTGCATAGCCACGTGTGGCCATTTTTCAACTCCTCCTTCCCCATGGCAGAGTTCTCTTCCGGCGCACACATTGTGCGGTCCAACCATCTCCACGACCACCCGCTGACTCGAACCAACACCCATGGCAGCACCACCAGTCTGCACGAGCTCGACGAGTCTCATGACGAAGACGACCATCACGAGACCCATATCATCAAGGGGTTGGCCAACAAGCTGCGGCGGGCGGCGTCGCCCAGTCCCGTTTTCCGGTCGCGGAGCAAATCGCCTTCCCGGGCTTCCAAGGAAATGTCACGTGCGAAAACGGACTCGGTCGATCTTCCGCGGACCAACACCTCCAGCTCCACGGCGTCCACCACCTCGGAGCCCACCGAAAAGGACGTCCATACAAAGGGGTATCGTCTGTTCCCTCCGGGAGAGTACGTGTACAATTTTGAGCTCCCCATTCAGGCCAGTTTACCCGAGACGATTTCGGCGGCGTTTGGGTCGGTGTCGTATACGCTGGAGGCGTCGATCGAGCGTCCCGGCGCGTTCCGGTCGAATCTGGTGGGCAAAAAGGAGGTTCGGTTGATCCGTGCGCCGGCAGACCAATCGCAGGAGGTTACGGAGCCGATTGTCATTTCGCGGCATTGGGAAGACCAGTTGCATTATGACATTGTTATTGGTGGCAAGAGCATTCCCATCGGCACGAAAATGCAGGTGGCATTCAAACTGACGCCGTTAGCCAAGGTCCGGTGCCATCGGATCCGAATCTACATCTCCGAAAACATTGACTACTACTGTCGCAAGATGAAGATTCATCGGGTCGAGCCGGCGCGAAAGTACCTGGTGTTTGAACACAAGCCCGACGGCGGCATCCAGGACTCGTTGTTGCCGAATCTCGACGGCGTCCAGGAGTTGATGGCTGGAGGAGCCACCGAGCTGGAGTTTGACGTGGTGATTCCTGAAAAGGTTGGTCGGGACAAGAAGGAGCGACTGCATCCCAACACGTCGTTCAAAAACATCAAGGTCCATCATTGGATCAAGGTAGTGATGCGACTGAGTAAAATAGACCCGGATAACCCTGAAAAACGCAAGCATTTCGAAATCTCCATCGATTCGCCGTTCCATCTGCTCGACTCGCGATGCACCGGTGCCAACGTCTCTCTTCCCGCCTACCCGGCCGGACGAAGACCCAGCCGGCCCATTTCCGTGGTTGCCAGTGATGCTCCTCGACCCATTCACTTTATCCGACAGCCGTCGATTGCACCACCGCCGTTTGACGCTGATGAAGCGCCTCCTCAGCTGGCAGAACCGCCATCTTACGACACCGCCGACGGAGGAACGTACCAGGAGCGATTCAGCCAGTACCAGCGGTCACGTGGGCGCCAAGCATCGACGGTGAGTCTGACTCCGTCGCAGGCGCCGTCAATGGACCTTTCGCAGTCCCGTGACTTTAGCAATTCTGGGTTTGGTGGCTCGTCGGCTTCTTCGATCGCCAATCCTCGTGAGTCGTCGGCGGCTCTTCTTCGTCGGGCCTCGCAGACCTCCGTCAATGTCTTGGCCACGACTCCGCCGGCAGTCTCCCATATGGGGCGTCATGCATCGGTGGCGTCGTCGTCCTCCTCCGTCGATATCACTAATCAAGGAGGGGGTCCAGGAGGGTCAGGGGCAGGAGGTGGCATGTTCAGAAACTACGATATGGGTCGAGCAGCAGTGAGAGAGGCTCCAGAACATGATGATGACCATGATGACGAGTCACAAGACCCCGACGATCCGTTGGCCGCGGCTCCGGTGTCACGTGATGCCGACCAGCCTGTGCCTGGGCCTTCGGCCACTTCTCGGCTCGCTACTCATGCCAATGACGTGACGCCTCTGGATTCCGACAGCGACACTGCGTCGCATCTCACCGCCTCGCCGTCTTCGACCTCGTTAGCGTCGTCGTACTACCAGCGACGACTAGAGACCGGCTCCATTTGCTCTGATCGGCTCCTGGACGACGATGGAGTGGAGGACAATGTCCACGATTTGGCCGCGAGTGCCAGTCGGTTGTCATTGGGGGAGTTTTGACATGATAGATGATAAACTATGCATTTTGTTGATTGAATAGATCGTTTTGGATTCGACAGGGTCCCTGAACGAGATATTCCGGTGGATATTTGGCGTATTAGATATGGAACAGTGATATTTTGTAATGATAGTGTCGGCTTTACTTAGAGCACAGTAGAAGATGGAAACTACAGTCACATGTTCTGTCGACCCAATGGTTTTTCACTTGACGGTGACGGTAACATCACGTGACTGGTATTTCCCATATCTGTATCGAGTGCTGTTTATGCCCCTCCCCTCTCAAACAACTCAACTATTCATCAAATTAGTCAACTGTATTAGTTACCGATTTCTTAGAGTCGAGCTCAGCTAAACTACTCTGTTGGTGCCAGAAGCACTGGGAATTGGCTGTTCATATCTTGCTGAAATATAGCCCTATAATACACCTTTCGAACCGCCCCAATGAGGGCTACACGATGGTATCACTTTTAACGCGATCTGAGCAGTATTCGTAATGCGACGTCCAGCCTATTCACAGCCCCGGTTCCCCGGTTCTATATGTTCTGTAGAGACACAAAACGCACAAAACAAAAGAACAAAAAAAAAAAAAAAACAGAACAAAGATTCTGGGACCGGGTCACGTGTGCGGAAGACCCGATTGGGTATCGGTCGAGTGGGGTGATAATATTATAAAACACTTTTTCTCTACTTTAAATCGACTGGGAAAAGTTGATATTGTGGGAAATTGATGCCATCGGTTCAAAAGTTGTACCATTAGATAGCCCTGGGTGAGACGAGTATGGTGATGTATTTTTTATTAGCATTTTGTCCGTTTCCGATGACTACAACGAAGATGGAAGATTCAGTATACGTGACACGCCAAGTGTCGTTTGCTTTACCATCATCTACGTAGCGACCCGGGTCTCTCATACTATTATATAGACTTGAAATAACACCATTGGAAGCTGAGCTGTAGATATTGCGATACGACGACTGTGTGCTTTTCCCCAATGAGACATGGGACTTTGGAATGGCGAGGTTTCGAGCGTTCTGGACTATCTGAGAGCCGACATGTTATCACTGATCGGCTGGTAACAATCGCACATTGACAACACGACTGTTTGAAGTTGTTGGCGTCACCAAGAATTGAGTCGGACATGGCGTTTTGAACAGCATCAACTATGGGTTTGTCACTTACGACAGGTTTTGGCTGCACCACCAGACGACGACAGCTCCTCAGGGACTTCTCCCTCAATCCATTCAAAGATTATGGAAAATAAGGGAAGGACGTTTGGAATTACTCCAGCACTTATTTCAGTCCAATCAAGACCAAATTGTGTTTTCGTGCTTGTTGACCTTGGACTTGCCAACACTCGACTAAGGGTCCATCTGACGAGACTGACTAATCATGCCAACGAACCAACTAATAAAGAGTTGGCCCTACACAGGTCGAAATGGGTCTGAGCTTGACCTCGAGCTCCGCAAGACCCCATGACGAGCCCTTCTGGTAGCATCACATCATGAGCCAATCCTCTTGGAGTGAAATCACCGCCTCGTCTAATTATATTCGGGACAGTGGCGAGCCGGTATGGCAAGTCCCTTACCTGTTACTGGCGAAAAGGTACTGTACTGTACTGTACATGCATGTATGTAAGCCCAGATGTGTTTCTACGATGGACAACCGCCAGCACTTCACGATGAGCGAGAGTAGAGACAGTAGCAAGCGTAAAAGGCGGCCGAGGCCACCGAGAGAACAGCGTAGCAGGGCGCGTAGTCACCACAGGGGACGCAGAACCAAACCAATGACGAAGAAGAACCACAAGGAGACGTTTTCAAAGGCAATGCAAATGAAGAGGGCAATGGAAGGATTGAGATTAGAGAACTGGAGACTGGAGTGGCGTTTTCCCGATGAACGAACAAACACGCGAAACTATGTGGACCAACATACAACACGGACTGAACCAGGTTTTTTTATGATTTTTTTACTGGAAATAGGTACGTGCCAAGTTGGACCATGACACTAAACGTGTTTAATTAGTAATATTCGTGTAAGCGTACATTCATTTCAAAGGTTAATCTTTCACGGCAAAGTTATAATTAAATGAATGTATATGCAGAAAAAAAAAAAAGTATCTATATATATTTCATTTTATTGTTCTTCTCTATGTTTTTTTTTATTTTATTTTCTTCGTCAGGGCAACTTCCAGCCACCAACGTTAAGATCACGTGATATATCACGTGAACTAAAAACACTGGTGTACATTTCTCACATTCCACCACCGCTAAACACGGAAAGTACAAATATACGACCGGCAGCAGTTCACGTGACCGTTCATATCACGTGTCCCACCACATAACGTCATACACATCCAATCACGTGATTTCCCTCGAAAACAGATTCTTTACATCCCGTTCGACGACTTTAGTCAGTCTAGCCGCCGTCTGTGTTACTAGGGGAAAAGTCACCTGACCTGTTTCGCAGCACAGTTCTGATCACATGTCATTTCTCATGGCCACGTGAAAATACTCCTACTACGAATATTAAGACAATGTATTACATGTATTAGACGCTTGCAAACATCAATCTTGTGAACGGAGCTGATTAGAGAAGAGTCCGCGGTTCATCCAGTTGGAAGGATTTAGGCAACCGACAACAGGTTATGAGTTGGGATTGACGGCAAAGCTACGGAAGCAACCGCATACACCGCAAAACACCGCAAAAACCGCAACTAGCACTCAGCAACTACAGAGGGCCCGGCAAGACTCGGCTACGCCTCGTCTTGCTTCGCCTCATCTTGCCCCTCCCTCTCCTCAAGCCACTCCCGATACGCATCACTGGCTTGCTGAATGCGCTTGTTCAACAACTGCTCATCCTCCAGCCAGCTGAGAATATCGGCATTGTCGTGCTGCAGCATGATGCCCGTCACGTGCGCCGTGGTGTCGGCGTCCTTGCCAATTGCCGGATGCCGCTGAACAATGGGATACAGCGTTTCGCCGACGATTTCCTTGGCGGCCTGAGGCGTGGCGGCAGCCGCGACACTGGCGGCAATGTTGCCGTACGGCTGGAGCATAGGCTGGCGTTTTTTGAATTTTCCGGGGTTGGAGGAGTTGGTGGAGTTGGTGGAGTTGCCAATATTGGTGGAGCCACCGGGGTTGACGGGATTACCACCACCGTCTCTTCGCATCATCACCGGCCCCATCTGATGCATCGGAACCATTGGACCCATAGGCATCATGTGAGACTGCACCATATGAGACTGCATCAAATGCGGCGGCACCAAATGCGGCGGCACGTGATGCATGTTGGGCGCCGAGTGCATCGGCATACCCCCAGGAATACCCCCATGCATCCCCACAACCGGCACCGCTCCGCCCACTGATGGCGGGAACCGCTTGCCCAACGAATACGGCGCGCTCTGGGGGTCCTTCTTGTGCGCAATGGCCACCTGCAACACATTGCCCTCGATCGGCCGGTTGTGCATTTCGGCAATGGCGTTGGAGGCGTGGTCCGGGTCGCGAAAACAGACAAATCCAAACCCCTTGGAGTTGCCGACCGCATCGAGCATGATTCGAACCGACGTGATTTCGCCAAACTTGGAGAAATACGCCCGCAATCGCTCGTTGTTGATGGCAGGATTGAGATTGGTAATGTACAGGTTGGTGCCCCGCGCATTACGTAATCGTTCGATGCGGTTGGCCTCGTAGGCGCGCTTGAGCTCTGCCTGGCGCTCCACTTTGGACTGCGCTCGTGACACGGAAATGCGCGCGCCGCACAGCTCAGCGCCATCCAGCGCCGCCACCGCCGTCACCGCGTCCCGGTGCTCCTCAAAGTTGACGAATCCGAACCCTTTGGCACGGTGGGACTCGTCAAGGGGCAGCAGCAGCGACGTGACGGCGCCAAACCGCTCAAACTCTGCCCGCAGCGCCTCTTCTGTCGTCTCCCGTGACAGCCCACGCACAAACAGATTGGTAAAGTGCGTTTTGGGGTCTCGAACCGGCGAGATTTCGAGGTTAGCGAGCTCGTCGGAAAGCACCTTGGACGCCTCCTCCGCAGTCGGGAACACGGCCACAAACGCGTTGGGGCCCTTCGGCTGCAATGACACGGCGCCCAGCGACTCGAGGGCTGTTTTTGTGGTCGCGGCGTCGACGCCGTCACGTGTGTCGCGCACAAACACCGCGCGCGCAGGGTCGATGGGCGAATGTGCCGAAGACGGCGGCGTCGACATGGACGAGGCCGAAGAGGGCACCTCCTCGGTGAGAGCGCACGTGACCTGTTGTCCGCCGAGCTCCGTCTCTTTCAGCGCCCCGAGAGCGGCGTCGGCGTGGTCGGGGTTGTAGAAGGTGACGTAGGCATGGCCAAGAGGAGTGCGCAACTTGGGGTCGCGTGGGATTTTGATCACCTTGAGAGGACCGTGCGGTTTGAATAGCTCAAAGAGGTCTGCCTCGGACACTGATCCGGGCAGGTTGGCGACGTAGATGCTCATTGTCGTGGCTGAGTTAGTGGTTGTTGGTGGGTGGTGGGTAAGGGGGTGAGAGGGGTTGTGCGGTCATTGTGATGGGTGATGCGGGCTCTGTGATGAGTTACACGGTCGGTGTAAGGGGTGACACCACCTCTTTAAGGGGTGACATGGACTCGGTAACTCGCCACAGTGTAAGGTCACAATCAAAGTGCCCACAGAACAGTGCGTCACACTGACTGAATACTAGCTGAATGGGACCATAGAATTGCTCTTGTGACAGCTACAAGAACCATAGCAATGTGACACGGGATGTCATCACCACGAAGGCGACTCACTGGTGTTTTGCGGCATTGCAGTCTGCAACGGGCATTGCTCAGTCATTGGATGTGGTGGTCACATCTCTATAACAGCCACTCAGGTGTCGTTGGTCACACTCAGTCTGTCGTTGGTCACACCCAGCCTGTGTTTGGTCACACTCGTGGTGTCGCTGGCCACACTCTCCCTGTAACTGATTACACTCCCTCTGTAACCGGTCACATCCTCCGTGTAACCCGTCGCTCCATGTAACCCGTCACGTCCTCCATGTAATACGACACACCCTCCTGTAATACTCACTATAAATGCTCTGTGGCTCTTGCACACGTTCGCGGTCGCTTCGTGTCGCTTCTGTGTCGCTCGGCTTTTCTGAACACCTGTCTTTTTTGGTGTGCTGTACTTTTTTCTGTGCCGCACCGGGGAATTTTGTCGTCGGAAATCTCGCTCGCGCACACTCGCAACCTGTCTGGAGTCACGTGACTTGTCTCTCACTCGTTTCAAAACACGTTCTGCTCAATTGGATTGTGCAACGTGTGTGTCTGTGTGTATGTGTAACTGGCTATGTGATATCTCTAACTAACGTTATTATGTATGGCAGTCAGAGACTTGTCTCACGTGCCCGGGCATGCAGGTTCTGAAACGGCAGTAACACAGACGGGAAAATGGCAAGAAAATGGCCCATAAAATGGCCCAAAAAGGCAAAAATCGCGGGTCTCGACAAATTTGAAAAAATCGGAGAAAATCGGAGAAAATTGGAGTAAATTGGAAAAAACATAAAATCAATTTCCCCAAGCCTTTTTTCCTTAATTTTACTCAGTTTCCTTGTTTTTGGCTTCAAATTCTGCCACACATGCCGCTCTTGACTGCCCCTGTATTTCAATATTGATTTTTGAATATTTATTTTTGGACAAGTGGGGCGTTGGTAGGGTAACTTTCCGAGGGAGATTGCGTTTGGGCATTAAATTGAAAAGCAAATAAATTGATGTAAATTGGTGCGAAATTGCCAATGCTATGGAGACTTCAGGGTTGAAAGGAGGGAGGGTTTTGTTAGTCAGTTCCAAAAAAATCTGGAGTCTCTGGGCTTTATTTAAAATATGGCTGATTTTTTTTCAATAAGTCAGCTAAAATCAAAAACAATAAAAAAAAAAAAAACCCCTCGAAAACCGTGGTCGAAATTGCCAATTCCAATTTTAATACATTGACTATTTAGCACTCTCGGATTGGCAGAATGTACTTATTTTCGGGTCTTGGTATTTTTTGTTGAATATTTTAAAATTACCCCACATTTGGTTGCCGAGCCGTCCAAAGACTTGGCCAAATAAGTCATATTATTTTGGAAAAAAATAATAAAAAAACTGTGGTTTTCGGAGCCCGACGCTGGGGCCGATTCCTGTGAGTTTTTGTTATTTTCACTCCTTTTTCTCGTTTTGGAACCACCAAATATGTCACCCCGAATTAGCACCCGTAGCTAATTACTTGCACTTGTATGGAGTATAAATACGTTGGATGCATATATGCAGATATTGGACCGGGTAAGCGGTCGGTTAGTCAGCAACGGGTCTCGTGATTAGTCAGATCTCATGTGACTCAGCAACCACTGAAGAAAAATAGTGAAATATGGACATTTGGATGGTGATAAAGGGGGTATGGGATCCTGAAGCTGTTCCTGTTGTCAGCAACCATGAGATTTCTGGACTGTGAACCAATTCGATTTCGTCCTTGTTTGGATAATGTGGGTTTTTTTTGTCGTTTTCAATTTCAATTTCTAATTTTTCGTCTAATTTTTCTTCTAATTTTCAATTTTTTTTATTTATTACCTGGACACGAATATGCACGAATGTTCGGGGAGTTTGACAGAAGGGGTTATTATTTCGGAGGGCATGGAATCTGTGGAAAATAGAAAATGGAAAATGGAAATCGAAATGAGAAAATGTTTTTTATTCATTTTTTTTATTATTTGGAAATAATTGGTAAAATAACAATCCGGGAACTCTGTTGGTCTAGGCTGAGCAAGTCTACAACGAAAAAAGAGACAAAACTAAAATTAGGATATTTACTGAAAATGGAATAAAACATCTAGGCAGAAAAAACAATATCTAATCTCGGAATATAACAATTCAATTGCAGTATGTTCAAATACAATGCCGTTATGCAGATGCTCATAATACTCATAACACCCATCATCTCCATTACGCTGTACTTTTTTCTTTCTTTTTTTGTGGCATTTAATGCACTTGTGTCTTAAACATGCGAAAAGTGGTTAAAAGATGGATGATGGGACATAATTATCACTACTCCGGACCTATCAGGTGACTACACCCAAGCGGTTTTTAGCGGCAGATTAATGTCGGGGCTGATCCGTTGTCTGGGTAAGCCGAGCCATTGCCTGAGTAAGCACATACAACCGCATTCTGTGACTGACGTGACCATAAGAAAGCCCCCCCGAAGCTGTGGAAACCGCTTTCCCGCTTTCCCGCCTATAGTACTCAAAGTACAAACTCTCCGGTTCATCTGTTGTGGGCATTTGGAGGGCGGTGGGGAGAGTGGGACTAAGTAGAGAGGAACAGGGTGGAATGGAGTAGAATGGAATGAGACCGAGACTGGATTGTCGGGTTGACGGGGTTGACAAACAAAAGAAAGAAAAAAACCAACCAAAAAAACCACAACTGAACGAGCTTCAACCAGAAGCCGACGAAGCGACGAAGCGACGAAGCGACCAAGCAACCGAGCGACCAAGCAACCAAGCAACCAAGCGACCAATCGACCAAGCGACCAATCGACCAAGTGACCAAATCAACTCATCTCGTACCTGAATACCTACCCCTCCATACCTCTATACCCCTTTCCCCTCACCCGGTCGCACTCGCTAAAGGAACCGGTTCAGAAAAGAGGAGAAAAAAGTCCACGGAAAACTCCCGACAACCCTGGTTACTTCCTCCCCTGGTTCCTGTCGACTCATATGTACGCATTTACAAGCACTTGTACCCCGGTCCCCTAAACACGACTCTCCACGGGATTGGAGTGAGACATACAGTGAGACAGATTGCGTCTAAAGGTATGTTAAAAGTGCACCAAAAATGGCGAATGGGTCCGTGCGGCGTTCGCCAAAAAGGGGTATCTCAAAATCAAAACCGGTTGCCTGATTTTCCTGACTTTCCTGACTTTCCTGGTTTTTTTTTCGTGTTTTCCCCTTGCGGTCGGCCTTATCTTGTCGAAGATATCCACACATATCGCACAACGAAGGAGTGCTAGAAGAACACAAATGGTACCGTTGAAACCAGTACGTCGAGAGCTTTGGAATGGCGTTTGTTTTGAGCGTTTTGGTGATTTGGCGGCGATTCCGCTGCGATTCTGCGGCTATCCGGCGGCTATCTGGCGGCAATTCGAACGAACATTGTGAGACACTACCGTTAATAGACAACAGCTATTGTCGAACCCTCGAGCATCTCCACAGATGAAGATCACCGTCCATCAGTCGCCACCAGCCACCGACAATCAGTCATTGCCCATCTGGAGATCTCTGCATGACCCGAAAGTGTGCGCTGAGTCATGTATCGAACGAGAGGTCACGTGATAAACAGAGTTCACGTGATATACCAGAGCTCACGTGATATACCAGAGTTCATGTGATATACCAATAGCGACCCTCTCACTGACCTTGACCGACCCCGACAGACCCCTCCAAGTCATGTGACCACTAACGAGCCCGGGGATCGAAGCGGGAGACTGACAGCAGTAAGTCGTGAAACATTGGTCAGTTGTTGGTAATTACAGATTTAGAACACTTACTCAGCACACTTACTCAGCACACTTACTCAGCACACTTACTCAGCACCCACACCGCTCAACCGATCTGCGCCGTCAACGTCACAGTGCAGACCCGGCTCGGAAAAAGTCGAAAAGGTCCCAAAAACAGGCCAAAAATGCAAAAGTGCGTTGACCCAAACAGAGAGTCATACCTCACCAAAACTGTAGAACCACCCCTGTTCCACCCCTGCTGCAGCAACGGCCCGGAACAGGGGGGTGTGTCAGATGTGAGAGAAGCAGAATGAGGCAACTGCGAATGCGACAGGAGCGTTGTGAATGTAAATGTGAAATGTGAAATGCGAAATGTCAAACTGCTGGCGGTCAAATGGCGGAATTGAAGCGGTCCACGGTCACGCTCAAATTACCACTCGCTCGCGGATTTGGCGCTCGGATATTCAGGTCATGACGATCCGATAGACACGATCTTCGAACGACCTTCCAAAAGCGTGGACGAAAAAGCCGCTCAAGCCGTGCAAATGCGAAATGTCTCATCCGGGTGTGAGAGTGAGACGTTGACCTGACTCTGACGCCGACGGTGGCCTGGCGCCGGCCCTGACGCTGCTCTGAGACCCTGTTTATCCGAAAGTCGCTAGAACGCGTTCGGGAACACGCCGTGGTAGCAGGGGTGTGACAAGGAGACTAGTTACGGAAGAACCTACTTGTAGCCGGACAAGGGTGTGGGCCACCGATGTGACAGCGGGTGCTGACAGCGGGTACCTAGCTGATTCACCGCTGATGTAGTTGACCAACTAGTAGCTGACTCAACCACCGCTGACGTAACTGGTGCAGACTCTGCTCCACCGCTGACCACGCTCCACGCGAAGATCGTCAATCAACGCTACATTGCACAATGCGCCAATCCAACAATGCGACAATCAAGTGCGGCACATTGGGGAGATCACAACGACGATCCACACAATGTACCTCCGCCTGACGATCACCTGGACCAGAGCGCAGAGCGCGGTTCGACGCGTCGAGGATCGACAGATCGACACTCCTGGCGATCGTGGACTTCAGTTCAGTTTTCACGTTCCAACAGACGCAGAATGGACCGGGTTGCCCTGGACCCGGTTGCCCTGCATGCCTGGCGAACCACACAAACTAAGAGACGCAAACGACAGGGGCTGTCGATCGGCCCTTTACAGGTGAGCCAACCCAAACGGGACCGTCGATATGCCCACTGATAGACCTGATTGACAAGATAGACGAGATAGACGAGATTGACAGAGGAGTCACCAGAAAATCCCAGGTATGACGTCCGTCTTGCATCTACCATCTCTGCGGCAATCACGACGATACCAGACCACCCGGACCGCTACAATAACCCCACAACGCATCCTAGCGCAGGGACTGGTCATAAATCCGGACCTACTCCGGACCCAGCTCCGCCGACGTCGATGCGAATAACGCAAAACCAACCCAGTGCAAACCCAGTGCAAAACCAGCGTAAAAGCCACCTTCCACTTCGTTTTTGCTCTCCCAACTCTCCCAACTCTCCCAAAGCGCTCAACTTTTCGTTTTCATAGTGACATTGTCACGGGTTTTATGACAATGACAGCGGTTGCGTGAGGGCGACAACGGTTGCGTGAGGGCGACAGCGGTTGCGTGAGGACGACATAGTCGGTGTGAGGGGCGCAGAGGTAGTGTGATGGGGTGACAGGGGCAATGCGATGAGGTTTGACTATGTGAGGGGGGACATTGTCTCTGTCTCTATCCCCATCACCCCCACACAGTCCCCGTAACCATCACCTCACCTCTGCAACTTTGCCACCCAACCTCCCGGTTGCTTTTGTGTTTGCTGCTGGATCGTCGTCGCGCTGGCCTGCTAACCTTCTGGCGGCTTGTCGCTTGCTGTCCCTGCACTCGCTACTGCAAATACATGTGCCTGCGCCGTCTTAGACAGCCAGAGTTGAGCTAGGCCAAAGTTAATTCCGGCGGTACCAAAATGCAGCTGTGGGCGAGGAGAATCGAATGGCGCTGAAATCGGACCGATTCCAGAAACACTGACCGAGTATCGGGACGTGGGGTACAGCCCAGAGTGCAGTGTAACTAGTCAAGTCATGATTACAAAAATGCCCACCTTATTGGCGTCAAATAAGGTTTAACATAGAGTTCACTACAAACTTCAAGAATAACTTTAGAACAAAACCTAAATAAATAATCTTTTTTTCGACTGGTCAAATTGCCAAAATTAACCTTTCCATTAACTGTACAATGTGCAGTCGCTATCTGAGGGCTGAGTTCGAGTCCTGAAAATCGCAAAACCGCCGGAAACGCAAAACCATTGCGACTGGGGCGGTCTATAGTTGTATTTTATGGTCTTAGGAGCGGAAGGGTGTGAGAAGTTGAGCCTACGGTGTACGTTGTACTACCTGCACTCTTCCCCAACATGACAGCTGTCAAACGACCCTAACAAGACCCGGAAAAGTCCTCCGACGTCGTCAGCCATCACGTGACTACATCTCTCGTCCCTCGGGCTCGTCTTTTTCACGTTTCTCCGCTTCTCGTTGCTTTTTGCACCGGTCATTGGCTTTGTCGCCTTTTTGGAGCATCTTTTTGGCTGCCTGAGTTGCTGTGAAAGGTACAAGGTGAGAGTTTGCGGTGGTTTGGCCTTCTGTCAGGGCTGCCAAACGCTGGTCAACGTTATTGACGCACTTTTGACCCGTGGAGAAGGTCGACCGAAGGCACAATTGACGACGAAAAAGACGACCGAAAAAAGCGACCAAAAAGAGACCGAAAAAACGAAGACTGTCTCTTATGGAAAGATCAGCTATCTACATTCCGATGCGAGTACGAGGGGATTATCGGTGAAGATCCTGGTCTTGTAAAAACATGACGAATTAGGGAAGAATATAGTACAGATATAGGACTCTCATAAGAATGCTTTTAGGAATCCCTTGGAACAGTTTTTACGTCGAAAACACAAAAAACGGATGGAAATATGCCCACAAAACATCCGCTCCGGCCCCACCGTTTTTTGCTTTAATTTCGCCGCTCCAACCACGCTTTGCTTTTGCTTTTGACACACATGTTGCCCCTCTGCCCTGCTTGAGAGACATGTCTGGAAAAGTTTGACGATCTGCCGATCATGGGGCCATTTCGACTTGACCAGTGAATTTGCAACGCCGTAAGAAACCGCCGACCGCCTACAGCCCGCCAACATCACCAATATTCACCATTCTACAGACGGTCAAACAGCAGGACCGATTTTCCCGCAGTTTCCGCTGAGTTTGGAAATCCCACACAACTCGACAAAATCAACTCCAAATCGATCCGCAACTTGTCCATCCGCTTGCTTACCTTATGAAGGATCGTCGGGATTTGCTCTTCCTGTTTTCGGCTCGGTTCCTGATCTTCGAATGTGATAACCACACATACATACAGACGAAAATGTGGAGAAGACGAATACCGCGGTAAAAATGCACAAATCAGACCCCCCCAGACCATTAGACATCTGCCCAGAGTCGTCTTATGTTTCTCCACGGACCTCAGCTTCCCCTCATTGGTCTTATATCCGCATTGGTTGCTACGGAAAAAAAAATTGAGGTAAGGGCAAAAAAACAAGACCTAGACGCAAACGCATGTACCTAAACCCTGAGTATGGCAATCAGGCACGCCGGAGAGGGATGTCAGTGTACCCGTACAGTAGCTGAGTGTTTGATGTCGTTGGCGTGTTTGGACCCACTTGCTAGAGCTGATATCTGGCGGCGGATGTTTTACAGGTTATGACTTATGAGCGGGGCTCGAGCATCAGATTAGGACTATGAAGTTGCGGGCCCGAAATGAGAGGTTCCGAGCGCCAACGACCACGTTCATTACGGCGCCCGTTACGACCTCGTTACGACCCTCGTTAAACTGCGTACATTCCAGATTTTCAGGTTGATCGACAGATCAACAGACAACATCCTTCAAGACAACCGCTGATCCCCGACGATCTCTCGCTCGCCGATCGCCCCTTTGGGATGCAGAGTAGTCAGCAGTGAACCACAGCCCACGGCGTCGCTAATGTGTAGCCCACCACAGGGCGGATGGTGGGCGCGAACCCACGACATGCTTATGTAATGGCCGTTACATGGCCAATGTAGTCCGCAACATGGCTGATGTGGCCCCACTTCAGTAATGCCCCCTGACATGGCTCATGCCACGGACCGATATGACCCATGTCATGGCCTAGTCACTCCTCGTGTCTCGCCTCATCTGCATCCATCCCCTCACCCGCTTGCCCTCCTGAGGACCCCGCCCCACCCGCTCAAAACCATACCGCCTGTAGAAACCAATGGCCCGCTCATTCATGAGAAAAACAGTCAACATGATCGGACGACCACAAGCTCTAGCCTCGTCTATCACAACCCTCATGAGCTCCTTACCCACACCGTGACCCTGGCGACCCTTGGCCACCTGAAGCTCATACAGATATACCACCTCCACGTCGTCTTCAACCGTATGCATGAACGAGACGAATCCTAGCATCTCTCCATTTTCGCGAGCCACGTGATACGCCAGCTCCTCGTCCTCCATCTCGTCAATCTTGTCAACCCTATTCCACCCCATCCCCGAACCCTCGTACATTCCCTTCATGTTTTTGCGCACCAATTTGTACAAATCGGCGGTGTAGGGTTCTGGAGATATCTTCATGGTATCACGTGCGGAGGAGCGTGTAATGCAGACACCAATATTGCCAAAGTATAGAACCAATAGCAAATGCCCTAACCCATATCCTAAATAAGAAAGACCCCAACCCCATATTTCCCAGCGGGGCAAAAATTCCCCTGACCCTGAATATCTCCAATCCGTGACTCAAAACCCAGACCTTGCCCCGCCCCTGCCCTGACCCAGCCCGGACGCTACCCTAACCCAAGGGTGACCCCCAACCATCCAGGGTTCCACCCTACCCTGACCCTGAATCTAAACAGAAACCTTGACACGAACCTTGTGTCAAACTCAAACCAGAACTCTCCAGAGGACCTCTTTTTGAAACCTAAAGTGTAAACCTAATAAAACGAAAAGCAAACATGGCCGCTGTGAAAAGTCAAGCAAAACCTACACCCCAAAGTTTGTGTTTTGGTGGGCGAGAGAGAGGTCTCAAGTCGGCCGGCAACCACGACCAACTCGATCTGTAGACGGCACATGTGCACCTTTTAAGCCCACTCGCCCCCTCTTTTTTTTTTTTGTGCGAAACGAACAGCCGACGATTTGCCCACCTCTTGTTGTCAACCTCGCTAATCCGTGGTTGCACCCCTGACTGTAAACCGTAACTCTATATTCAAACCTTGGCACAAACACATTCAGGTACCATGAGATATATAAGACTGTGTCTGCCGTGAGAGACAGCAGCTAGACACACATCTTGCCATCTCTCCCTCCTTCCACCGCCACCCGCACCCCAAGCCTCCCCAAAGCCACATCTCACAATGCTAGCTCTGCAAGACCGACAACCCTACTACTCCGGCTCTGCTGGCCAGCCCCGATCGGACTACTCGTACAACCTGGTGCCCAAGGATCGAGAGTCTGTCATCGGCGCCGCCCAGGTGCCTGCTCAGGCACCTGTGGCCGCCCACGAGTACCAGCAGGATAACTACTACTACTCCAGCCGGCCCCAGAGCAAGAGCCTCAACTCCAGCGCCCCTTCCACCAACCACTCGTCTCCCCAGCATTCCCAGGTCAACACCTCTCCGTCGTTGCCTTCCATCTACGACCCCAACGGGCCCGTCGCTGCTGCCTACTACTCGGGGCCCAACTCCGGAGTCAACTCTGCAAACCACTCTGCTGTCCACAGCCAGGCCCACTCGGCGGTCCACAGCCAGGTCCCCAGCCAGGTTCCTAGCCAGGTGCCCTCGCAGGTGCCCTCACAGGCCCCCAGCCAGGCCGGCTCCGCACCCATGAGCCCCAACAGACTGCCCATGCCCGTGCGAAACTCGCCTCCTCAGTACCAGTCGCCCACCGCCAACAACCCTTACGCCGTGGGCGTGGGATCGGGCCAGCTCCTCAACCAGCCCTTCAACCAGCCCATGACTCAGCAGCAGCTCCAGATGCAGCAGCTCCAGCTCCAGCAGCAGCAGATCCAGCAGATCCAGCAGCTCCAGCAGCAGCAGGTGCAGCAGCAACAATTCCAGGCGCAGGCGGCCCAACAGAACCAGGCGCAGTACTACGGCCAGCAGGTGCCGCAGCAGATGATGCAGATGGGCTACCAGCAGCAGATGCACCCGCACTCGCATCTGATGAACCAGTTTTCGTCCAAGCGCCAGTTCCGCACCCTCAAGAAGCACGTCTGCACCGTCTGCGGCAAGCGGTTCACCCGGCCGTCGTCGCTGCAGACCCACACCTACTCTCACACCGGCGAGAAGCCCTTCCGATGCGAGTTTTCTGGCTGTGGGCGCCAGTTTTCCGTCGTCTCCAATCTTCGACGACACCAGAAGATCCACTCTCCTCGAGAATAGACCTATCCTCAGACAGACTTGTCGGCCATGTCCGACGGCCACGTCCGGCAGCGACCGTCCGACGACGCATTTATTTATTTGTACAGTAATGACTAACTAATTGAACAAACCTGTAGACAAGTGCAAGTAGCGTACAGTACTGTAATCATGAACAAACGACCAACTGGAACCTGGAAATTGGACATGGCTAAATGAGCGATCTGGTGGACAAGACGGGAGCTGGAACAGCCCTGTTCGATAGCCCTGTCGGATAGCCCTGCTGCTTTCGGCGTTGGAGTACAGCGGGAGTTAGCGCAAGTTGGTAGGACGTGGGGAGCCGGTGCGCCCACTGACTGGAATTGCTCCCACAGCCCATCACAAGTGGACTTGGAGTGGAGTGCTGGAGCTGTGCAGGAGATCTGTGATGCAGCTGGTGGATACACCGGAATGTCGTGTGTGTGACCCATTGAACTGTCTGTGTCAAGGAAGCCCAGCAGTTCCTCTCCAGGTAAAGATCTGTGGAACTATGTGTTAGTATCTCAACTGGAACGCAACCATCGACAAGAAACTGTGCTCACAACACTACCGAGGTGGCAACTGGGAAGAGTCCTGTTTGTTTTGTCGTCTGTGTTTGTGTCGTCTGTGTTTGTGTCGTCTGTGTGCTATGAAGAAGAGAGAGAAAAAGCGGACTTTGGCGGTTATATAAGACAAAAACGAACCTCAATACAGTGCAAATCGATCGGTCAAATTAGACCATACAGCATGAACATCATAGACCCAAGGTGGTGACCGTCAGAAGACAAAAAAATATCTGATGCTGATTAACCCAAAGAGCCAAAGAGACGCCAGAAAACTCCCCAAACCTCACCTCGAGTCACGTGATGAAGAAGGGTACAGTGGGAAAGCCCAGATTCAGATGTGTATATAGTCATGTGACAGACCCTCGCCGAAGTTGGTCCAAAATGCATCCGTGTGCGGCTCATTAATTATTCAGACTTACATAGCCACACAGTAATGTTCAGAGAATCACACAAGTCCACACAACTCGACGAAAACAGTCACCGAGAGGACAAAATCCACACAAAATTGAAGCTCTCGATCCATGGTTTCCGTTACATCTTTCAAATTTGTTCCATTTCCTCCATGTCTCTGGCAAAAGTTGTGCTTGTCAGTTTTGTTTGCCCTCGGACGATGATTTGGAACTATTCGAAAGCAGTGAAAAGTGGTCAGAATCAGTTGAAATTTGGACGGGACCTTCTTTGGAAGTCGTATAATGTGCTTCCCTAATTCCGGCTCATTCAGACCACTTCTCTGAACCCTTCTTACACCACCACATGCACCACCACATACACCACCACCCAAACAAGTCATATTATTGCACCAACAATTGCCGATCACGATCTACAGACCCTTGTATGTGACGCTGGCTCGATAATATCTCCTTCGTATCTGAGATCGGCGTGGAGTCAATTCCACCAGACGGGAAGAGGACAATGGGTCAGGGTCAAACGAGGAGCCCCGGGGTCTCGGGGTCTAATCACGTGCCACCACGTGACCGTCACCCGAGTCACATGACCGATCCCGCCGGTTTAAATTCCCTCCATGCGCAATCACATGGGACTATATTCGAACGCAGAACACACATACATGGACTACTGCTGACACCCCTGTAAACGTTGCTGGCGGGAAGTCTAGCGGGATCAACGGCACTAGCAGAAGCAACAGAGAGGCACAGAGAGTTCTCTGGCTCTTTCTTTGGGCCGGCAGATTGGATTTTGAATTATTGGTGATTTTTCCCAGCTTTTCCTCCGACTTATCTCCATCAATTCTCAAATAATTCCAGAAAAATACCCCGGGATTTCCGGACTAATCAAACGCCCCCCAAAGGACCGAAAAAACAACTCTCGAACCTGCGTCTTCGCTCCCTGCACTAGCACGATGACTCTGGGGTCTACCAAAGACGTTATTTTGTTTTTTTCCGGCGTTTTTCAGTTAAAATTACCCCTTGCTTTATGTAAGCAAAAAATGAGCGAAAATAGGACAAAAAAATAAAAATAACTAAATAAACAATAGAAATATATAAAAAAACCAAAAAATAATCTAAAAAAATCTAGAAACTCAGACTAGCCGCCACGATGATCTTCACCAAAAACACCCTGCCAACAACATTTAGCCAACCAAAAAAAAGTTCCAAAAACCGCAGTATTATAATTTTCCACCACGCGTCCCATGTACGCGTCACAAGCACACCCTGGAGACCCTGTACAGCCCTGAAACGCCACGTGAAAGAGATGAAAGTCTTTGCTGGAGATGTGTAAGTCTGAATCAGCAATCTGTGGACCCCCACGTGGGCGCCAAACGTCACACTCACGTGATAGACGCACCGAACAGGAGGACGGTTTTCATGCCGGTCAAATCAACACAGAATCACAGGAAATGTTCCAATCAAGGATCAAAGACCAGATCCAAACTCGCAACCCTCAGAATATCCCGCCGATATATCTCGAATTGTCACGTGACGTCGGAAAACGACGTTATTTCCGAAAACGAAATATCGGTCATGGAAAATTGTCTCAAAGTCGACAAATAATGATCCCATGGAAATGAAACAGACACCATTGTAATCCCCTGACTTCAGCGGATATCCTGGTACAACCCACGTGGCCACAAGTTCTGCTCAAACAATTCTTTAGCCCAACGTCCGTCTCATATAGCCACGACGCTCCAAAAACAGCTCAAATAAGAGCTAAAAAGCACCATAGCAATCTAGTCGGTGCGATGAGAGCCGCGTCGCTATGTTCATCCATCACGTGACTTGCCATGGTCACTTTTGGGGCCAGGTTTCTTGAAAAAATGCCGCCGGTATCGCAAATCACGTGGTATCACCAAAAGAGAGATATTTTCCAAATCACATGACATGAACGAGTTACCATTATCAGTAACGTGACGGTTCCGTTCTTGGCACTCCATCTACCAGCATTTTTCTTGTTTGCTCCATTTGTAGCCAATAAAGGCGGATCAAAAACAGGCGGGCGGGACTCGTAATCTCCATTAGGTCATCTCGTTTCCCTTTTGGGTCCAGAGATCGTCGTGTCGATCCTTTTGTCGATCATTATGAGGTGTGTAGGAAGAATCATTTTAACCAGCTGAATATTCGAGATGGCGACATGAGAGGACATTCAGAATGATCCTGGTGAGTGTGAGAAAATGATGGAAGTTATCTGAAGACAGTACGACAACTCTGGAACAAACTAGACGCATTTCTGTGCTGGGGAAAATGTTGGCAGTGTGGCAGAAATGGCAGAGATGGCAGAAATGGCAGAAAATCGAGGCGGACGATTTTCAACACCATCGATGGACTCTTCGGGGGCGGGTATCATGTGATTAAATGGTCGCTTGGTGGTTTTTCTTCTCTGTCCTCTGTCATTATGGCGTTGTGTTGATATTGGAGGGTTGGGGGATGGATGGTCATTATTTTGGTGGGGTGGGTACAGGTTATGAGTGAGTGTTATTGGGGAAAAATGTCAGAAACGAATTTTGCAACAAGGGTGATTACTATGAGCAAGAAGAGAAACTCGACACTGTGTTTGAAATTTTGATATCTGGTTTTTCCGTCAATATTCTTGAGCCGTTTTTTCCCATATGACCATCCTCAATATTCCAACTTGAATCCAAGTGTGTTTTCACTGAGATGATAAGTTCTACTGATCTTAAAACTCCGCGGATTTATCATTAGCCAGCACACTCTACAATGATACTACTACTCCAATACCGGTACCATTCGATTCCCCATGCCGAGACGATTCTCCAGATACCACTCCTTTCCCTATTTTTTTTCTTTCGGCGCCGAAAAAACCCCGTTCCCACATTTCCACGTGACTCATGCACTCCACATGCAATGCAGACCTGCAGGCAACCAGTCAACTCGAGCCATCAAACCGAGCCATCAAACCGAGCCATCAAACCGAGCATCACCGACTGTCAACCGACCAATCAAGTCTTGGCATGCACATGCACTACACCTTGTGCAGAGTGGGGAAAACGCCGCATCGCGCTATATCTCCAAGCGCCACATTAGCTTTTAGCGAGATGATCGGCAACGGTGATCGGCCCTCCCGAGACAGATCTTCTGTGATCTGCGATGGGGGTGTCAGAATGCCTCCAGAAAACGGCGTCGTACGGTTAGAAGATCCATGTCGCGACCATCACAGTGGCAATGTTGCAGGTATCCCGGTTGCTATGTTGCGGTTGCTGCCAAAGTTTTGGGTTTTGATAATTTCACGTGCAAAAATTGATAAATCCAGCCAGAAAACGCTACAAGCAAGATATCGAAGATTTGAAAATTGCAATGGAACCACCAGAGCCCAGGCTATCACGTGATGCAAAAATCCTTCCCCGGAGACCCTCGGGACACCGACAACGGTCTTCCTCTCATTCGTCTGGACTCCGAAATCTTACCTGTCAAGTTGCTGCAAGGCAGACGTCCGCTTTCGGCCTAATGCATTCTAGGCATTGCATTAGCGAAAATACCGTTGACGTCGATTGGGGCGAGAGCGAAAATGTTGGCTTTTGGGGTCGTCACGTGGCTCAAACGGGACCCGCGACATACAGCGGCTTCGCATCAATCTCTGGAATGAAACGGAAAACTCCGTTTCACGATAGCGCTATTTCTGCGGTTCTGACAGGGGTTCGCGTGGTGGACATGGACAAAGAAACGGCTGGAGCCTAAGTCATGTGACTTACAGGGGGGGAACGTTTCCGGTATTGTACTGAGGCTGTGCTGTAAAGGATACGTGGCTTGAGTTTTTTGTTATCCACCACATGGTCTGTGTGGTGAGTATGACATTGACTATGTGACCCCCCCGACAAGACCCTTGTCGTCACCAGCATGACCCATGTCGCCCCACAACGTCGGCCATGTCGTGAGGCAGCTCGACGCTCTTACATACCACAGAGATCCTCCTGTCGATCCACCTCTACTGCACAACAAGCTTGCCCCACGGTGCGTCTGGTGGAGGTGGGATGTGCAAACAAGGCAGAACAAAAGGTTGGACTGGAAAGTAACACAGGATGATGAGTATGACAAAGATTAGAATTTGAGTGATATCAGATGAATTAGGAGACTGAGCTGATTGCTCTGGTCAAGTCTCCGCTCCGATAGCTTTACTAAATCTCGAGTTATGAGTATTTTTGTTGCACTTTTCATTTCGCAGTTGACTTTTCAGTTACTTTCACCCAGACACAAAGAGAACTGTCTGCAACGCGAGTCTAGCCTTCTCTGACTTTGTCGGCTCCTTTTTGACTGTCTCTGTGTCACTCCAGTTTCCCAACTAGGCAGGTTCTTGTCTCAACGGCCTTTTGAGAAGCGAAAAGTCGACTTTCCTGATCCAGTAAGCGGCGTGGGGGTCAGAAGACCAATGGAGAAGCCGTGAGTCATGTTCTTTGGAGGTGGTGGAGCGGATGTTGCCCGGGCGACGGCTCCATATGTGAGACAACTGTTGGCTACAGTCGCAAATGTGATACAGCTAAAAAAAGGTGTGATACAGCCTCCCAAAAAAGACTCTCCGTCTCCGGAAATGGGCCAGACGAGAACGGCGAGTTGACCACGGGGAAGAGCGGGTCGCGGAGAACATCCTGGGGAAGTCCGAGTTTCCGTAAAACGCCTTGTGACGAAACTGGAGCGTTTCTAAGATTTTCGGAAAATCCAAAAGTTGATATTTTGGGCGTCTCATCCTTCGAGGTACTTTATTACCTCTTGTCCACATTTATAGACCCGTTTACGGTCTCTTGTTGCCGATTATCATCTACCAAGGTGTTGTGTTGGGTCTGCTTTTGACTGGACTACATTTGACTTGTTTGCTGTCGGTGGAGATCATAAGACGTGGCGGATGGAATTAGGAGTATTGCGGGGGCGCGAGACAGGTTATGACGGCCAGATTCTGGGTATGACGGAGAAGAAGGCTCCGCGTCTCCCTCAAGTCTTCTCCAAACTATTATTGCCGCACTTTTTTCGTGCGTTTCGACAACGTTTGGCTGCTTTCGTGATATTATGTGGGCGCTGTCTCAATATTGGGCTGTACCAGAAAACTAGCGCATTGTAACCAACAGCTCATAAGTCATAGGTCATAACGGCTCTGGCATTTGTGTTCTGTCCCTTGAGATTGCTCCGCTTTCACGTCTGTAGAGGTTGGAGACACGTGTTGTTGCTTATACAAGACAACACCACAGGTTATGACCCATATGATACCCTGGTGGTTGCGAAAATACACTACTTGTAGATCCCTACAAGGTAGCTGTCTCTTACGTCTCTGAGAGTTATCTGAGTCGAGTTGCACTGTTTTGTGCCGTTATGGGTTTCGGCGAGCTATGTAATTGTGTGTAATTAGACGACTTTGCTTCTGTGAGGGCCAGCATAGCCCGTGTAAGTGGAACAACACGACATGGGTCATGCCGTTACAAGCAGTTGTGACGTCACCCCGAATCGAGTTAATCGTCTTCTACAAACAAAAAAGGGGCTCTTTACTCTGTACGAGCATGCAGGAATGCAGGTGGATAGACTACCACCAGGGTCGGGCCGTCGACAAGGGTGGGACAAAGCCAACAAGGGCTAATATCGTTATCTGACACTGCCGTTGCTGCCGTGACACCTGGTCCAAGGCCCCTGTCGCTAGTGCATAAGTCACGTGGACGGTTGCATAGCCTGCATGTAGCATATACACTACAGGGTGTGGGAACAGCTGTAGAATTAGGGAGAAGTGCAAAACCAAGAGGCACATTCCATTACCCCTGTAATGTACGAGTACAACACTCACACAGCCTAGAGTCTGATAGGGTGGTTTTGTTTAACACGCCATGTTGTGGGGACCAGGTGCTGATGCAGGGTTGTAGTTTGACAGGGGTCAGGTCTGACAGGTATGAACAGCCGTTTATGAAACGTGTTGGTAATATGCAGAAACGCACAAAGTGAAACGTGCTACTTGTAGCAGTGTGATGCGTCAGCAGCTGCAGGGAAACATGTTTTTGTGAGTACAATAATGTACAGGTTTTGACCAGGGGCAGCAGACAACGGTCAGAAAGCAGGTTGCTGCTGCATCGTTTGTGCTGACTCTGCAGCAGGGTAGCGGAGCGAGTTTCCTGGCTGGTGTGGTTGTGGGTTACAACGAATGTCGAGAGTGAGTCCGTGTAGTTTTTCTGTTCCGCGTCTGGGGGAACCTCATGCCCTTATATATAACCCCCAACCCCTTGTTCAACAGCAAATCACACTTGGCATGTAAGGGTCTTCTCATCTGAGGGTATTTAAGAACCGCCCAACAAGCCGAACCGGAACTCGAACCGCAATAAAAAGTACATTGTTAGCACCAGGTCTATCCAGAAGACGGCCCTAAAACATGCTTAGTCATACAACACTGGGTCTTGGCGCATATGCGCCGATGCATAGATAATGCACACCATGCAACTTGACGCATGAACACCGAATGGATGTTCTATTATAACTCTTCAGAGCAAGGAAAATGGAGAGAGAGATAGGCTGAAGAAGTTTACAAGAACGCCTGCGCTGAAGGTCCGGTCAACGGTCACGTGACTTTACCACACGAGCAAGGGATTCAGTGAGTCTAGGAATTCAGTAGTCTAGTAATTCAGTAGTCTAGTAATTCAGTAGTCTAGTAATTCAGTAGTCTAGTAATTCAGTAGTCTAGTAATTCAGTAGTCTAGTAATTCAGTAGTCTAGTAATTTAGTAGTCTAGGAATTCAGTGAGTCTAGGAACTTCCTTAACCTCCTCGACCTCATACTTGGGCTCTTTCTTGAAAGTGCCAACGATCTTTCGCGCCATTTTCACTATTTATAGCATCAAGTTTGGCCGTGGATCCAGTTTCACCCTTCTCCACCTTGCCTTTCTTCTCCTCCACCTTGTCCTCCCTCTGCGATCACCTCATTTGCGTTCTCTGGCCTAGGCTCGACCTTCACTGGTTCAGCGTCTGCTCTCCCTGGCACTATATCATTGTTGACGTGTTGAGACTCGGAATTGACCTCTTCAACGGCGACGTCTCCTGTCTTAGATTCCTTTCTGGATTCCTTCTCCGATGCCTCCTTGGTCTTCTTCTCAACGCTAATGGAGTTCTCCTCTGTATCATTTAGCTCCATTACTGCCCCCATGACGTCCTCAGTTTGAGACTCCTTTGCATCATCCTTAGATTCTACCTCGTCGCCCTCAACGTCCTTCTTGACCTCGGGACAGTCCAGAATCAGCAGCAGAAACCTCTGCCTTGAACTCGTCCTTGGCCTCATCTTTCGGAGGAACTTCATGTGTGTAGAAATCTCAACTTTGGACTCCTGGGCGTGGGAGATGAGGTTTCGAGAGAGCGCGGAGGTGGATCTACTACTCATTATTTCAACGTCTCACAAGTCTCTCCGTTCCCCTCAAACCAGAGAAGTATTTTGGTACTGTACCAATATTGAAACTGTTCGAACCACGAGAAACAGAATCCCAAAAATGGCGTCAACTGTCAAATTAGTTCAGTAAATTAAATTAAGAAAATTAAATTAAATTAATTCTATCAGCGTATTGAGAGATCACGAGCACCATTTTGATACCAAATAGGAACATTTTGAAACCATTGGCATGGCTTGTATCCAGTACAATACTTTCATGACCCGACCTGATCGGCACAACGATTTACGTAGAATATATATACCCGCCGTATAGCCGCTTCAGAGCCGAATCGCTTAAATAGCCGAGGCAACTGTGGAGAGAAAAAAAAAAAAAAAAAAAAACCCTGGGAGAAAAAGGGCATAACTGGTGTCTAAGGGGGTTTAAAATAGCATGAATTACAATTGTATTTTTGGATTTCTCATTTTTGTTGTAATTTGATTTTTTATGATTTATTTCCGGATTTCCCAATTTTCCAAAATCAGTATAAAAAGAGAACAAACCAAAAAGAAAACAAAAATTCCAAAAAGAAGCAAAAAGAAGACAACCCAGAAGAAGACAATCAAGAGGAAGAAAAAAAACACCAAAAAGAAAACCAAAAACACCAAAAAGAAAGACAATAACACACTGTACAACAAGAACAGTACATACAATACTCGCCATAATTACTTTGTATGCATGCAGACAGGCACCAGGTACATGACGTACTGTACTTGGAAGCGAGGTAATTTGCATTGACAACTGTTTTTGAGCCATAGAAATAGTCATTTATTTTTCTCGTTTTTATATCTGATTTTCCAGATTTTATTTTCTGCAAATTTGGGTAAAAATCGAAAAAATCGTAATGTCATATTTTCTGCACAATGAAAAGAAAAAAGAAAAAAAATAAAAAAATAAATAAAAAATAAAAAATCGTATTGTTTCATTCCATAAAAATTCAAAAAAAATCGTATTCTTCATGTCCGGAAAAATCCGAAAAAAACTAAACCTCCTCTCACCACCTATCACCACAAATGCACACGGCCTATCCTACATCTCCACCTATGCACAGAGGTTGCATTACATGAAAAAAAAGCAAAAAAAAAGTAGAATTTGTGTTTGAGCAGATATTATGACGAAAACGGAGCTGAGCAATTTTTACGTGATATCCACAGTTATGAACACTGAAATGATTCCAATCGGGCTTCATGTTCGCCGCTGAATGTGAAAGAGAGCAGTAGTGGGTGGGTAAGACGACAAGCGAGCGCGTGGCTAAATGGGTCATGTGAGGGATAACAACACAGCTGAATGGATCACGTGATATATAACACGACCAGGTCCCATAGGTGAATGTTCATATACATTACTAGTTCTGATAGAGACGATCAAACTTGCTGTCTTCCAGCTCACGTGGCCTGTAGTCATAATTATGGTAAGACAGTGGTCTGCTCATAATCGAAAAAGTCTCGTACTGTAGTCGTAGTCGTACGTACTCGAACTCGTAGTCGAAGTCGAACTCGTACATAGATGGGAAAAAGCAAGGTAAACCCTAGATGGAGGTCTGTATGAGACAGGGAAAAACAGTAAGAAGAAGAGTGTGCTCCAAGGGAAGAAGCGTCTGAAAGTAGAAGGGCCTGAAAATGGTCTGGACTGGGTAACGATAGCCGGTGCCCTAGGTGGCGAGGTCCGGAGAGGTCCGGTGAAGCGATTCTAAGGAAGTTAGTGGAGTGGGGGACAGTCCCAGGGCACTGCGGAGTCTAGCCAGTCCTTCTGACGCTGTCCATGTGTGATGGCTGAGATGTGTTCTGTGTGTGTCTGAAGGTTGGCTTCATCAGTCATATCCAGAGGTTCTTTGCGGGCAGCCCATTGCTTCTCCCATATGGCGTATGGTGTTGGTCTCGACTCAGGATGAGAGGTTTCCGCTTAGATTCGTTGTGTAGAATTAGTACATGATGTTTGCAGGTAGGAGGACTCCAAGAAGTTTCAATACGGTGCGTGCAGTAAGTTGTTGACGAGTTCGAGTGGTGGCTGGCATGCTCCGCACCGGTCCGCTCCATGTTTGAAAGCACTAGGATTGGGTAGATCTTCTATGAAGGTGCCTATGATGAAGTTTACTTTCCGCCAATGAACCTGGGATTAATCTCCAAGACTTGGGGGTTCTTGAGGTAGGGGCCGTTAAGGCGGTCCAAAGGAGTGTCTCTCGGTTGCAGACTTGTCAGGATATCATTTTTTTCTAGAGGTGTCAAAGATAGCGGGGAAGTGGCTGTTAATAAAAAAAAAACCGGAGGTGTGTGGATTGACGACTGGCGGGGCTGGGAATCCTCTCATTGTGCTTATTTGAAGTACACAGGTTCCAGAATCTACACTGATCAGGGTTCCATTCTTTACCAGTGTATCGCTGCCGCTAGTTATCAAGAGATCGTCGTTACAGGGGCCTCCGAGAGGATCACGACTGGGGCTGAGAGTGGCTTCGAGAATGCGTTTTTTGCCGGCAAGTACGTACTGTACTCGAACTCGAACTCATACGGTATGTACTCAATAAGTGTCCTAGTTGAGCGGATACTTGGGATGTATCTCGCAATATCGATTTGATAGACACCCCAAATCTGGTTCAAACGACATCTTAAACCGACTTTGGAACTATGGCAACAAATATGCTCTTGTACTACAATCTCTCGAGTTGTGCAGATGTCCAAGTAAACTCGTTCGTATTCGGTAAACTTTAAATGTCTCGGCCGAACAAAACCTTATAAATTTCGAGCCGCACAGAATTAATGAGCCGCACATAACATGGGGTTAAGAGCCGTCAGATTGGACCTGGAGTTGATTTTGAAGATGCTGTGGTACCAAAGAAGTGCTATAACACCTTTGTAGATGTAGATGTCCACTTTTTCTTGTATAAAATTTTGCTCGCAACATCACTCAACAAACATTTGTGCAACTAGAGATTTGATGGAGGTCTCAGATTACGATGAAAAGTATATGAATTAGGTCCTCTCATGGTGGGCTTTGTAATGGCATTGTTTTTGAGTTGATTCTGTCAATATTCATAGATTTGATCTTATGGACGACTTGTGAAAATGGGCTTTCTAGATTCTTCTCTATGTAGTAATGTCAGAATAAAAAAAGATGGTTCATAGTTATTGTCTAATCAAGGGTTAAGACATGGTGGCCTTTTCAATCCGATTTGTCCATTATTTAGATTTTTTTGCCAAACCGACATTTCTCTCTGCTGACTAACATACCAACTCGCTGGATATTGATCCAATTGATTTAAAAATGATTTAAATCGAAAGCTGGAATAAAGACGAGTAGAATGGTTTGTATTTCGTTACTCCAATCTCCTTGTAGCCCATTGTGCCATCTCTATCATGACACATCTTCCCCATAAAAACCCAATAAACCGGAGGATTTAGTTGGCCGAAGAATATAGCGAGTCATAACTCCATTTTTAATGAGACAAGAAGTGATTATTTTTGCACATGAGTAGAAAAATAAAGGCCTAAAGATTGATTGAGAGTTCTCCTCCTGGTTTACACTCTATAAGGTGCGTGTTTTCAGTGCATCAAAGCACGTCCTTACTAATAATGAGTGACGCGACATAATAATGGATGACGCGACATAATATTGGGTGATGTTACATACATAACAGGCGTCTTTTAATGAGCCCAATCTGTAATTCCGAGTAGTTTTTATCCGTGGACCTATCCAGAAACTCCAGGGTCCAGAAATGATTACAAAAAAAAAAAAAGGATTCATTCAGAAGATGGAGGAAGTGCGCGGTTTAGATATGTTTAGATGTGTTACGAGACACTCTTTTTCCGTGATCAGCGCCGAGTTCAAATCCATTTCTTCACTCCAGTGAGTGTTGCTGCGTCCAACGAGCTGTAGTTGAGGGAGCACGCGCAGCACACAACTTCGAGAGCGGAGATGCAAGCGATAAAATGATTACGTAATTGGGTTTCTCATTGGTCTCCTTTTAGTTGATTTATTCACTATATTGCGATTACGGGTCTAATGGCAGATTGAATGTCTACCCGAAACGATCAAAATCGAGAAAAATCGACCTAAATCGAGAAAAAAGGCCGAAATCAACACCAGAGTCCAGGATATTCGTCTAGGTCATATTAAAACTCTTTAGAACCAAACTGATGCCTTAATCCCCACCAGGTCTCCCCAGTTCCCCTCCCAAACTCCCCTAAACTCCCCTATACTCTCCATTCGGGCAAAAACCGCTCGGAAAAATGACTGAAATGACTGGCAGATTAAATGTACCCCTCAGATAGCTGCAGCTGCCGATTTGCCGCTCGTCTAAGCCTCTGTGACGGTGTGAGTTGGGTCTAGCATGTATTATTGCATTAGCGGGAGGCAAAAACAAAAACAAAAACAATAAAAAATGGAAAATAAAAACATCACAAAATACCACAAAAAACCACGAAAAACCACGAAAAACCACAAAAAAAAACCACAAAAAACCACAGAGATTTTTTGTGGAAAAATTTATCAGCGAAAATACTTCTGTCAAGTCGGATGTTATATCCCGATTTTTCCAGATTTTTTTTTTTCCAGATGTTTTTTCCGAATATCCCCAAAACACCTAAACTTCATATATCCAGGCTCCAATTCCCTCCTAACACCCCTTACGGCAACCTGTGCCTGGATATAGTCCATAATTGGCATCTATACATTGCTTTGCTGAGCAGACGGCTTTTGGACATTATTCTGTATTGTATAATGCACACCAACACGTGTTATGGAGAATCTATTATAGCTGGAAACCTATGGATGAATCCGGCGGTGTAGTTTGTCAGATATGTCTCTGGAAGTTGATTCAGGTGGGCTAAAGTACAGTACAGTATAGTACTTGTATTTGCTTCCTCCTCCTTTCCTCCTCCTTTCCTCCTCCTTTCCTCCTCCTTTCACACTCCCTTCATTTTCAAGCCATCTCCAGCCTCGAACATTCACCCGTTCATACCTCGTAAAACAATCTCATGTCAACAGTTATACATCCGACTATTGTTGAGAATATGGTACTGTATTGTCATGTATAACTGTCGCATATTTGTACTGTCATGCCTGTTCAGCCGGGCTGAAAAGTGGAGATTTTTAATAGCCGGTTAATAACACTCCATCCAGGGAGATAACTGAATAATAAACAAATAATAGAGTCGCAAATAACCGCATGTATTTATTGGAAAACAATAGATACCGCGCAGTATGGTATATGGTTGTATAGAGCCATCACCAAAGAGCGATTTGCGAACTGTAGAACCGAGAGAACGGATCTAAAAGACATGGCCGGTCTAAAAGAGAGCCAAGATGCCAGAGAGAGAGGTTAGTTCCGCTATAAATGCAACTCAACAAGATATTAGAGAGACCAAGTCCTCATAAAAGTTCCAATATGGTTCGAACAGCCCAGCTTTGGGGGGCGGGGGGATGGGGGGAAACCGTTTTGGTTACATGACCGCAGTACCAGTTGACATCTGGGTAATGTGACTCAGTACCGCGTCTTATCCGGGTAGACAAAGCGCTTCTAGTCTCAGCTCCACAAGTGCAGCTCCACAAGTGCAGTTCGCAGCAACTGGCCTCTAGCAAGATAGCTTCATCAAAGACCTCGTGATAAGCAAAGATGATCATGTATCATCCTCAATTAAGACATACAGAAAAGATGCACACTAGAACACCAGAGTCTCAGTCCAGCCTCACCTATCCCCGTGCCACCAACATGAACGAATGTTGACAAAGTGGGAGAGATGGGCCTGTCTGTGCCTCTAGGATGAAAACTTCTGAGAGTGTGCTTTTATACCAGCAGTGGCTGTTTCAGATAGCTAAACGTGTAAACAGCGCCGTTACGGACATTAGCTGGCTTTCTGGAGACACACCAAAGGTCTTTCAGCAAAAGACGCTTGGATGATGTCTTTCAACTGTCTTGAACCTCATACTGCCGCTCACACCTGCTTCCCACCTGCTCTACCCACTCTACATTCCTCTACAGTTTTCTGGACACAATTCAGGTACTCTCCACGATAGCACGATCGAGACACGAGCGAGTGGCTAACCGGGACACACTGAGTCTGGGTATCCAACGAGCCTGTGTCAGGGGTTGTGCCACAAAGGAGATCTCAGTGTACTGTACAGTATGTACTTTACTCCCCATTGAGTGGAGAAGGGTGTGTCATGTACTCTCGTCAGAGTGGTATTTGTCTGTCTTACTGTTTGTGTCGGGTAAGTATCTTCAGTGTCTACAGACACATATCTAGCCTCTCAACGATACTAATATCAGTCTAGATACCGTGAGCATTGAAGCCATATCAAAGAACTTCCACTAGACTACAACCTATAGCATCAGCATTGGACTTCACGGACATGAGATTTCCCCAATTGGAAAGCCGCAGTTAGGAGGAATACAATAATCAACTCCCAGTTCTTCAAGAACAACTGTAGCCAGAGTTTTCAGTGCCCCCAAAACCAGGCCCTCTCTACGAAAGGATCCAAAAGTGTCTTTTGAAGAGACTGCAGTCTATTTAAAGATATTGTAGCAATTTCGGGATCAAATAGAGTAAAGATACCTGTTTGAAAACGTAATATTGACTGAAGCCAATTTGAATCGTTCAAATATGAGCATTATTGACCGAGTTGTGGACTGTTCTTCCAGGGAAGGATGGAGCCGAAGGCGTCAACTTTGAGACATTAAGAGGGAGATAGAGACAGGGTTGTAGGACAAATTATGTTAGTTGTTGCAAAAGGATACCATTGACACCATTCACTCTTTATTTCTGGCAAGAATGAACCATTCAGAGACCACTATTCAGGCAAACCCTGTGACTAACCCTGACTAACCCTGCTGCTTTCTAGAAGATGACATTCTCGATATTATAGAACAGATGAAAACCAGTTATACAAATGATATTGCCAGATTTTGTCAAAGAATCCCGCTAAACTAACCCAATTCAAATCAACGGAATAGTCGTAAAGTTGTACCATTGAGAATGACCTGAACATGCGGATTCGTAGATCACTCAATGGGATCATATTACTATGACTATATTCAGTGTATGAGACTACAATCAAAAAGCAAGGCTTACATATATAGGGCGCCTTGCTGTCTCATTTGATTGACATATAATTCAAGTACTACAAGTGTTGTATTGTCTACAAATTTAGTTGGACTTCACTTGATCAGAAAGTTCCGCTGGGGGTTCAAAATCACCCTTCCAGATCACCAACAGCGCCAAAAATAGTACCATAGGATAGAGAAAACGATTCTATTTCAAATGAAATATATATTAGCTCTTTGTGTTTTACAAAACTCGGAGTTATCTCAATTTTTTACATTTCAACTATCTTTCATTTAGTTGACCCATTACTTGACTAAAACCAGAACTACAAGAGGGACACCGTGGGTTCATATCACATGACAAGTCACCAAATCTAGGCTGTTTACGTGCTCCAAGTCACGTTGAACTATTGACCAAGTAACATGACCCACGGCGAACATTTCCACCGTCTACGTTTCTGCTGGACTTTCGTTGAGGAAAAAAAATATCTGCGTGAGGGTTGTTATCTCCTGATCCAGCAACCCAGGATATCCAAGAGTGGTACCATTGGATTGAGAATTTCCTGGGCTTTCCCTTGGTATAAATCAATGTACCACTTGTCTTATTAATTTTCGAGATATTTGCGGTTTTCCTTAATTTTTTTTTTTTCTTCTTCTTCTTTCGGGGGGGTATCAGGACAGCCCGGGGTACATGAAGAAGGGCAAGATAGTGTGGGGGATCACGTGACTACGACAAGCGGCTACGGTTTGCGGTACATAGAGAGCGGCCAATGGTAGCATTTTATTGACATGGATGGTGAGGGTAGTGTAATTGAGATGTGGATCGAACGCGTCGAAACCGATCAACTCAGCATTTTGCTATGCTCGATGCGAAGTTTACTGTCCCAGACACTTGAGAATATCTCCCCACACCTTCTTAGGGTCCTGGGCAGCATCGACGCCCTTCCAGATACCGGTCTTCTGGTAGTAGCCCACAATGGGCTCGGTCTGCTTGTGGAAGGAGACGAGGCGCTTCTTGAGGGCGTCGGCGTTGTCGTCGGATCGCTGGACCAGAGCCTCGCCGGTGATATCGTCAATCATCTCCTTCTTGGGGGGGTTGAAGACCTTGTGGTAGGATCGGCCCGAGGCGGGGTGGACCAGTCGGCCGGTGATTCGGGCCACCAGCAGATCGTCGGGGATCTTGAGCTCCACGGCCTTTTCGAGGGGCTGCTTCTTCTCCGCGAGCATTTCGTCGAGCTTCTCAGCCTGGGGGATGGTTCGGGGGAAGCCGTCCAGAATGAAGCCGTTCTTGCACTTGGAGTTGTTCTCCAGCTCGGACCGGATCATGTTCACCATAATGTCGTCGGAAACCAGACCTCCGGCGTCCATGATCTTCTTGGCCTCCACTCCAAGAGGAGTCTGCTGCTGGACCTGGGATCGCAGCATGTCGCCCGTCGCCAGATGGCACGCGCAGTACTTCTCCACCAGGTTGGGGGCCTGGGTGCCCTTGCCGGCGCCGGGGGGACCAATCAGAACCATTCGGATGGACTTGGGCACCTCGGGGGCAATCTTGGACTTGGCAGAAGCCTCGAGCTCGTGCACTCGGGCAGCCAGACGCTCAACGGTAGCTTTCAGATCTTCAATGGTGGACATGTTGTGCTAGGAAGAGAGAACCCAGACTTTGTGGAAAGTCAGGTGGAGCGAAAATAAACTTTTTGGGTCGAGCAAAACGGTCAAGAAAAGTGGTTCCAATACTTGTACGGGTGGTCTGATTCACAGAAGAAAAACTTCCCACGAGCCGATTGGCTGCATCTATTCACCGAGTTTGATTCGTCTATTCGACCGCTCAGTCCGATGCGTCAACCTGACCGCTCAATTCGACCGCTCAATTCGACCGCTCAATTCAACACATCAGATTGACACCTCAGATTGACAAACTCTATTTCCCAAACTCTCTTCCGACCGAGAACCTCCACCCATTGGTTGGATCCAGCACGTGACGACCGGTTTCGCGAGTCTTCGACCGAGCACACCCAACGCGGAAAAGGTCGCGAGCCCGGGGAATCAAGAAAAGCACGTGATAAACCAATCCAGACCCCGCCGACGGTTGCGGTCACGTGAGAGCCCCGCGGAACAGCCGAGTCTCCGCTGGGGGATTATTCACCCAGTGCAAGTTACCCTACTTTTATCCTCCACCTGAAAAAAACGCCTCACCTGTTTTCGGGACGCTCGGAGTTCGGTTCCTGCGCATTTTCGGGTCGGACTGATCAAGAAACCTTGCTTCTCAACATTTCCGAGCCGTCGTGGGTTCGATCTAGGCTTGTGTAGATATTAATAGACAAGCCGAGGGGCTCCAAGATGGACCACAGCACCTTTTCTAAAAGATGGACTTATCCCAGGAAACTCCAGAAGCCCCTATTCAGACCCTATGGCTAATTGGGGACAGAGGTTGCAACGTGGGTCTTCTGAGTCATTGTGAGTGCAAGTAGTCAACTAACTACTTGAAGGAGACTTGAAGAGGAGACTTGAAGAGGACTTGAAGGAGACTTGAAGGAGACTTGAAGGAGACTTGAAGGAGACTTGAAGAAGAGACTTGAAAACAGTTGAGACCCTGAAGACAAGTAAGACCCAGCAAAAAGAGATTTTCCAACTCCCTTGCATCCAACAATCTCAAATATCACGAAGTCACCACTCTCGGCTACTGTACAGTCCACATCTCAATAGCAGCCCGGTAATCACGAGTGGATAACAACTGGAGACAAAACCAGGTCACCCCAGAGACGCGAACCCGGTTAACCCAGACAACTCCGACAACCCAACTCCACTTCTCTGCTGACACCCATTGACTTTGGAATATGACAATGTAATAAGAGAGACCTCAAACAGGACCTCACACCACCACCAGGAACCGTAGATCGGCACACCACCGCCAGAATCCGTTTTTCTATGAGAGCTGAACATGAAGGAAAGTCCATGGAAAACGTCAGTGCCCGAAGACCTGATCCTCCACTCCACACTCCACTGCCGGACACGGCTGAGCATGGACAACATTAGGCCACAGGAACCAAGCATTAGAACCATCAGCATCGGCGCCACATGTAGCAACCAGCGAGATTGGGCAACTGCTGAAGTACCAGCTGTAGGAAAATGCTGAGCAAGCCAAGTGACGGGAAGTAAGAACCACGGGGACAAAGACGCCACTAGAAGCGGAAGCAGAAACAGAGAAACCAAGAGTAGAAGTGGAAGCAGGGATAAGTGACCCGACACCGCAGAAAAACTATACGCGACATTGATCGCGTTATTTGCTCGTTAAGGGGCCGAGCTCTCGGTAAAATTACACCACTAGTGATTGGTGTCGGAGGTATCTCAGAAGAGGACATTGCCTGTTGAGCATCTCAAGCAACAAGCGACCAGGTGACATCCACAATCGCAGTAGAGAGACCGTCCACAACGGGGGAGAGTCTCCTGGAGCCAGTGGCAGCAGATTAGGCTAATGGTGGAGGCTGAGGATCAGTCTTGGGTCCCAGGTGTGGCATTGTACTTCTTATCAATATAGTTGCAGTGACATAACCGCTAACACTCAAGTCGCGCCACAAGAACGATAAGCTTACCAGGGTACAGGCACAGTGAGGCTTTCAGGGATGTATGGACAAGTTGATACGAGGTCATCATACCGGCACTTGACGATTGCACAACGCTGCAGGGAAAGAGAGCCGGCCCACGGTATGTGCAGGAAGCTGGCCAGTAGTTCCACATCAAGTTGGCCCGTTGATCTGCCTGAAGTTGGCCCGTAGATCCGCCTCAAGTTGGTCCATAGTTCCGCCTGGAAAGCAGATAGCATTGGAGCCGGGAAACGCGCCGTCACTCGGACTATGCCATCGAGTCTGCGCTCATGGCCCATGTATACTGCCAGCCTACAGCTTTGGTCTGGGAAAGAAGCAGCCACTAGGACTACATCCCCATGCCTGTGCTACATCCCCATGCCTGTGCTACATCCTCGTCCTTTCCCATCTTCATCCACACACACTGAGTGTATTCCCTCCACAACGATCGCTTAGAGTTGGAGACCATATGAGGTCCGTGGGGGTACCTTGCTTGGATGAATAGCAGATGTGACAACAGACGTGAAGACGTAGCGGACATGAGGTGTCATCCGAGTGGCTGCTCCTTTCAGACTGAAGCTGTTGCGAATAAGACTGACAGAGTGTATGCCGCGAGCCCAGCCGCCGAATGTTGGCGTTCGTTGGGTAATAATATCATCACATGGCATGGAATAATCATGTGGAATGGAATCACCATCAATAATGGTATCATCGCCTCGCCTTTGTCTGCCGTTCATCGGGGTCAGTGGTATCATGAAGGGAGGCTCGTCTGTACTAGGGATGTGTCGTTGGCGTTTGTGTAACGCGCTTTGGTATCAGAAGCTCTACCTATCGGCAACACCTGACTCGGTGGTATCAAATGGTGAGTAAGAAGAAGAGTTGCGGTCCGGCCAGATTGTCAAATAATGTGGACATTCTGAAGTGACAAAACAGAAACAGAAGGGGAGAAAAGAGTACGAAAAAGTACGAAAAAAAGCACAAAAAAAGCGTCCCGCCCCATTGTGGAAGTCACGTGACCTTCCAACTCACTCCTCCAGAGAGAAAATTGCCCGTTTTATTTTGTCTACATTACTTTTGACGGGGATGGATGAATATTCTTATTAATAATAAATAATTTATGTTTAAAATCTAGAAATATCAATAATACAGCTCCGAAAAGTAGACAATTGAGCCCGTCGCATTTGATGGATTCTTCCTATACCACTTTCGATCCAATTAGACCAATATTACCAAACCAGCCCCGTTTCAAAAGAACACCTGGAGAAACAATGGGTGGAAAACGGCATATAAATCTCAAAACGAAATATCCCAAGCACCTCTTTGTTTTTTCACGTGACCTACCAACATACAGTATATATCAATCGCATCTTTTCCATCATTTTGACAGTACATGACCCACAGTACATACTGTACTTGTTCAAGTGTACTTGAAGCTCCCTCGACAAATCAAAAGAAATATATATAATATAAATAATATCTACCCCACAATCACTTCTAGCCTGTGTTAACATAATCCTCAATTGCCTGCTCTCAATTTGTCAAAAATCAGCCAGTGAAATCGTCAGAAAAATCAGAGTCCTTTGTACATATTCAGTTCAATCGTCATGAAGAGGATTGGAGTTTGTGGTACTTACCTGATTTGAAGGGGTTAGAGGAAAAAAAAGAAAGGGGGATTTGAATGAGGATGTTCCCGGTCTTATATGTTTTTTTTTTCTATTTTTTTATAATTTTATAATTTTATTTGGGTTTCTTCTTTTTTTTACCATTTTAAAAGGGAAAAAAATCCCAAAAATACAGTTATTTCGAGGAGAAATATTAGAGCGGGGGAACATACCATTTAATTATTCAGTGTTCCATTACCAACGTGGATAGTACCAAAATGATCTTCACGTGATGGGAAATACAATGCGACCCTCTGATTTCCCGTTGAATCATTATTCATTGATATGCAGTCACCTAAATTTTCCCTCTTACCATTTCTTTATAATAATAATAGTTTTTTTATTTAAACTTCCACAAAATTCCATATATCTAGAACGTTATTTACTCTACTTTTATTGGAGGACTAAGTAAAGTGCAGACAGGGAAGCGAGGGACTGAACACAACTTTTGCTGTAGAAAAGTAAGAGAGACAAGACTGGTTTCGTAGGAATAAGAAATGTCAGAGTAACACAATGGTATAAATTTTGGCCACAGATTCATACTAAATTAGTAACCATAACTGAGTCCATGCCCCGGTCTGTGCCCGGCAGGTGTGCATTTAACGTATTATTGACCCGCATGAAAAGAAAAGAAAAGAAAACAAAAAAAAAAAACCCAGAAAAACCAGAAAAAATATCAACACAACCGAGCCAAAAGAATGGAACACATGGGCAAGAAAACATTGTGAACAAGTAGCGGGTATTTCCAGAGTGATGTTTCGAAAGCGTTCATTACGTTTGTTATGAAGTCTATGGGCTGAGTTCATTTAGTTGTGGATTAGTTGGATAAAACATAGATGTTGATAATAATCAATATCGTGGTAACGGCGAAGCTATATAAATAGAATAAATCGATATCCCCTGGTGTGAAGACGAGAACGATATAATAATTTAAAAAAATTTCCATCTTTTCATACCGCTATTGCCGATATGGATTATCAAAATACTTGGATTTACTTGAAAACGCCGCCGTGTGGTGCAGGGAATGTGGAAAAATCGATACTCTTGACCTGTATTTACAAAGTTTCCCAAACACGAAATACACACTATCGATTCCAGAGATCTTTTATGGACAAAATGGACTTCAAGTGTGACTATCTCCGCTACTGAGCTAGTGAACTACAATGTCATTTCGGAGCACATATTTAAACTCCGGATTGTGTCTGATAATTAGCCTGGGATTGTTTAGGGAGTGTCAAGTACACACTACCCTCTTCAAAACACGCCACGGTGAATCTATGACAAAACCGAGCACATTTTTACAATCAGAAGACCCACATTTATATACAAAACGGTTCTCAAATTCGGGATATCTTCTCTTTCTGACCCGTCAGAAGCCGTCCATTACCACCCTGATGTTTAACAATATTTCAACAGTTTGCAGAATTCTTAACAAATCTTAACAACATGTCATTTTTATCTCATTTTTTAAAGTTTGTCAATATCCCAACATTTTAAATATTTTTTAATTTTTTAATTTTATTTTAATTATTCACTCTCTGCTCCCAAACTTATCGTGCAGGAAAAATTCACTGCCGCGATTTCGACCCTCCCCCATCACCACCACATTCCAAACATGTCCGAAACCCCGAATTTGGCGACCGAGGCCGTTCTGGTCCACTCCGCGCCCGTGCCCGAGGACGCGGTCCCCGTCTCCGGCATTGATTTCGACAAGCCCGAAAACAAAAACACCCGGGCGGCCGATCTGGTCGGAGCCATGAACGGGATGGGTTTCCAGGCCACGTCGCTGGGCCAGGCCTGCAACATTATCGACGAGATGCGAACGTGGGAGGGCGTGGACAAGGAGGGCAATCCCGCGAAAACTACGATTTTCCTGGGCTATACCTCCAACCTGATCTCGTCAGGCCTGCGTTCGACCCTCAAGTACCTGGTGAAGAACAAAATGGTGTCTGCGATTGTGTCTTCGGCCGGTGGCATCGAGGAGGATCTTATCAAGTGTCTGGCAGAGACCTATCTGGGCGACTTTGCGCTCAAGGGCTCTGTTCTGCGAGAAACGGGGATGAACCGAATCGGCAACCTGCTGGTGCCCAACGACAACTACTGCAAGTTTGAGGAGTGGGTGGTGCCCATTCTCGACACCATGCTGGAGGAGCAGGAGAAGCAGGGAGTCAGCTGGACGCCGTCGACCGTCATTGACCGCCTGGGCAAAGAGATTGACAACGAGGACTCGGTACTCTACTGGGCCCACAAGAACCAGATCCCCGTCTTCTGCCCGGCCCTCACCGACGGCTCTCTCGGAGATATGCTCTTTTTCCACACCTTCAAGGCCTCGCCTCTGCAACTCAAAATCGACATTGTTGCCGACATTCGCAAAATCAACTCCATGAGCATGGCCGCCACCCGTGCAGGCATGATCATTCTGGGAGGCGGTCTGGTCAAGCACCATATTGCCAACGCGTGTCTCATGCGAAACGGAGCCGATTACGCTGTTTATATCAACACTGGCCAGGAGTTTGATGGCTCTGACGCCGGAGCTCGTCCCGATGAGGCCATTTCCTGGGGAAAAATCAAGGCCGGAGCGAAACATGTCAAGGTGTATGCTGATGCCACTTTGGTGTTTCCTTTGGTTGTTGCTGCTACTTTTGCAAAGGAGTAACCCGGAAGCGAAGACTGTAGATCTGAGCGGACTACAAACAGCGATGAAACAACAGAAAAGTACAACAGATAGCTACAAGTAGCAATAAAACAGAAAAGAACAACAGAAAAAGAACAACAGAAAAAGAACATCAAAAAAAGAACATCAGAAAAAGAACAACAGATGAGTAGACGAAACGACACCGTAGATCGGAAAATATAGTAGAGAAAACAACCCTATCAATGGAACCAGATCCAATTTGGCCCAGAAAATGGTCAAGAAAATGGTCACGTGACCCAAACCCCTGTTTTAGAAGCGCCACAGACGAATCGGGCTGTACCACTCGGGTTGTCTGGCTCGTGTTACGTAATCATCGTTAAACTATTTAAATTTTTCAACTATATATATATATATATTTTTTTTTTTACGCCGCATGAATTTTTCAACTATAAACTTTTTTTACGCCGCACGTATTTTTTACGCCGCACGGATTTTCAAGCCGCATGGTTGGATGCACTTACGGGAGTCAAAAAACAGACACAATCAGGCCCAAATTTGGACACTAGAGGGGTGGAGTAGGTGTGGAGTCACGAGATAAAAATGATTCACGTGATAAAAATGGGTCACGAGACGTCCCCATAAGTGCCATATTATATGCAGAGTTTGTAGGGATTGCTTTATCTTCAGCAAAGATTCGGGGGATATTATCTCAATGGAATAATTGACCTGATGTTCACAATTGCCATGGTTAATATGATTTGCTGACAATCGGCAGTTTCGTAATGAACAGAGACGAATCTAGAATCCGCGTCACACTGAATCAATAGGACTGAAACCAACACATGACAAGATGTCTGGGTCTTGTAGGGTGTTTCAAGCCGGATCGACAAAAAGCTTGGACATTAAGTCAACATAACTGTCGAACCTGGTCAATCTCCCTGGTAAACAACCGGTGACGGTCTTGTCCTCTACCACAAAAGCCTCACCAGAGATATGGTGGTTGATGGGTGGAGGTTATGGCGGTGGTGGATCCGGAAGTAGTGAAGAACTCGGTTTCAACAAAAGTATCAGGAAGACTCAATCGTGATCTCTGTTGTCGTGGAATATTTTTGTGCGCGTAATCCAACCACAAGTCTATATCTAGGCTGGGATGGGGAACTGAATCAGTTGACCATCAGAGATTAAGTGATGAGACTTGGTCGAACCGTTCGTTGCATCAGGTGTTGAAATTTGTGATTGACAGAATTCATGACAATTTCTGGAGTGTAACATATGTCAACTGTGAAGATCGATACCTAAGAAGACATACATGACTCGATATGCAACACGAATACGAGCATGTCAGCGACTTGGCGTGTAGTTAAAGACGTAGGAGGGGTTAACATGATTCAACTTTTGATCGGTGCGCGTGACGAGACTATGGCAACGTGCAAGTCATGATCCAGGGCAGTCATTCCGACAGGGGAGAAAGGTCTGCTTCAAACTCCGCTTCAAATCCGAGCTCTGACTTGATGTCACGATCCAGAACAGAGTCAATTGCAAAGATCCACTACCGCGAATCGGAATATCGGCATTCAATTCCGATCCGATAGTCGTGTTAGGGATGAGTCTCGTCCAAGTTCCTCCGCGATGTCTGTCTTCATCGCTTTCTTGAGTGGCATACCGCCTGCATAAACGGAGCCCGAACATGAGCCAGAGTGACCAGTCAGAGTACTTCAGCGACAAGGGCCTGGAGCCATCCCAGTCTGTCGAAAAGTACGGCGATTGTTTCGAGGGCCAGCTGCTGTGGAATGGCCGGCCGAGACGTGGTCGGCACCGTGACGCGGACGACTAACGACGACAAAGATGTTGGTGATCTAAGAGAGAGGGGCAAAATATCGGCACACCCATATCGGAGGCTGTAAAACCCATTAAACACCGAGGTTTTGCATATGTCATGTCATGTCATGTCATCTCATCGCTACCACCGAATCTGAACAAAGACCCGTTGTCAGATGACACCTTCAACACAGTTCCATACTGTGCTGTTCCAAAGATTGGTGGTGTCAGTTTGTCTATAATCCACCCATCGATCGGCTGGGCTAAGGACACCCACCAGAGAGCCAAACGCTCCAGAGCAGAGACAACCACGCAAATATAAATCCCAGTGATGAGTAAGAGGAAGAGCGCGACTACGACGCGCTGGAAAACGACCCGAGTCACAGGCGACACAGAAGCAAAAATCTAAAGACGAAAAACGCACAAGATATGAAAAATGCACAAGAGACGAAAAACGCACAAGAGACGAAAAACGCACAAGAGACGAAAAACGCACATAAAAGTGGGTCCAAAGGGACCCAGATTTTGAGACGCAAAACGCACAGAAGTGGGTCCAAAAATCTAAACCCAAAATGGTCCTTTTTTGACGAAAATGGCACATCAAAAGACCAAAACAGAGTCCCAATAAACCACCATCTCTGTTCTCTCTAATGAAAACCATTACAAAATTTCCATAACGCCAGCTGTCGATGAGAACGACTTACTAGTCTTATTCAAACACAAGTCGACACTCGTATGCAGGGTCTGCGGAGATGATGCACATTACCCCACATGTCACATAGACAGTACAAGTACATACTGTGCTATACCCCGCAAAATGTGCCCAAATATACCCCACATTTTTGTTCACGTGGGTCAGAAAATGATATGTCGAGTTTCCTCTTTTGTGACCGGGTTTCCTCTTTTGTTCTCGGTGTGCATCTTTTGTAACGGTTCTTTGTAACGGTTCTTTGTAACGGTTCTTTGTAACGGTTTTCTTTGTCGGTTTCTTTGCCGTATTCTTTCATAACTGTATGGATACTCGTCCAATCTACTTGAAAACAACACCGTTGCATAGCTAGAAATGGGGCGAGTCGAATGGTACTATTCAGAGAGTATTTCGACTGAACTGAGTCGACATGGAGGGTGGCAAATGGTGTATATACTGTTGAGTATGGTGGATTTATTCTAGTGGAATTAAACAGTTAATTCGATTGATCTCATAAGTCAGAGAAAACCCCCATCAGAACCAGAATCTTCAAGGTACTTAAATTTACAAACTAACTAGAGCAATTGTACATACTTAGGTGAACAATACCAAAAAACATGTTATTATATTATTATTTTAAAAAACATAAAAAAATTAAAAACATAAAAAAAAAATTAAAAATTAAAAAATTTAAAAAAAACCATTCAAAAACCATTTCGTATATCTCATTACCTCCCCATAATTAAATATCGATAATTACTCATCGTCAATTCCTTCATAGAAATTCCTTTCACTTATCCCACAGATCTGGCTTATGTAATCCCTTTTGGGGATATTCTCCAACAAAAAATCAACAAAATCAACAAAAATAGTATCATTGGAAAGAAATAATCGAAAATAATCGAGAAAAATCGAGAAAAATCGAGAAAAATCGAGAAAAATCTAACGAACCTATTAATTCCCCTATATTTCTAATCAAATCAACATAGAGAGAGCTCTTGAACCATCTTCAAAACAGCACACACAACACAACATATTTGCCCTACAATATAAGGATATTATTACACCATTGGAATCAAAGTGACGATACCTATTCAACTATCCAACTCTCATAACGGCTCGTCGTAGTAATATTTCTCATAATACGCACACTGCCCACAAGAAAAGCCCAGAATCACACTAACCACATATATATGGATATCAAAATGCTCGTAGAAACACAGTGCACGTGATTCGACTGTCAGGTTGGCGATTTCCCGCCATTTGTTGCCTCCTGTATTCTTCTTTGTAATCCGTTCTCTCCACCTTCCGTTTGCAATAATAGACTCGGTCTGCTGACGATAACTAAGTTTCAACAAAGCTGTCAACAAACCGTACTTACCCCAAACCTGACCCAAACTTGATCCGCCCCCAGAACGTGATACTGAGAGTGCCAGGATGCCAGAGCCCCGTGATTCTGAATTGTTAATAACAAATTCATCAGCAATCGAATAATACCGGTAATATGTCTCTACCATTTTTCCACCCAAAAATAGAGAGACGCAGCTGACCTTTCCACCCAACAAATCCCAACTAACTCGAGTCAACTAATACTGCAGTAAACATGCGGCTCTGTGAGCCCAGTGACTCCTTTAGCCCAACTTGGTTGAATGGAATTCCCATGATAAAATCTGTCCTCACATCCCTTCACGTTTATTACGTGCTTCACTCCCTTCACGTGCTTCCATTCCATTCTCATCTCGTGCATCTCGTGACATCTTTTATATTCCCCACCAACTCCACCTTCTTTGTTCAGCTCAGGCGCCACTACTCTACTTGGTCCCCACTAAACCCCCCTCCCTCCCCATATCACCCATTCATACTCACCATCTGCATTTGTCAGCACCCCCACAATGATACCCCCAATTACTTTTCCCTACTACCATGAAATCTCCGATCGATATGGACTTGTCTTCCCAGACAGCACGCCCTCAAACGGTCTCCATGACAATTTCATCAATCCACTACTCAAGGACTGGCACACAGACAATGTCACTGTTCTCTGGTTGATTTTGAGGGGAATGGACACCCCATCCCTCAAGTCCCACGACGATATTGAAGCCTTCCAGATGGATAGCGAACGGATCTGCCTTCGCATCTTTAACAACTACTATGAGCTGTTTCCAACCTCAGAGAGCCTTGTAAAGGCGCAGACCCCACATTCCAATGGATCCCGATTCCAATCCCTCAAGCTGTTATCTCAAATGAAACTGGACCGACAGAATCCCTGCAGCGTGGTCAAATACACAGCCCAGCTCGAGTCGTCCGCAATGTACTCCAGGGTACTCAAGTTGTTGCTCAAAGACAAAACTTGCGATTTTACCATCACATCCACCACGCCCACGTGCTCCGACTCCGGCTCCGACTCCGACTCCGACTCCGACTCCTTCCCCGTGCACTCGTTCTTACTCACCAACCTCTGGCCCTTTTTCAAAGCAGTCTCGTCTGCGGAGATGGTTGAAAAGGAGACCCAAACACTCCATCTACCGTTTCCGAAGGACTGTGTGGAAATTCTCGTCGCCTTCTTTTACGGAAATAACGTCCAAAATACCTCCTGGAGCTTATCGCTGTCTCTGTCTCTGCTGGAAATGTCTGCGCTCTACGACATTCCGGAGCTGAAAAATATTGCCATAGAGTCAATTGTCAGCAGTGCTGAACCGTTGTCTCTCTCTGTCGCTCTCAAAGCGTGGAAAGTGGCCAACGAAAGTGACGCTCCTGAAGTGGAGGCGTTTCTAGGGCCGTATCTGAAAAGACACGTCTCCGAAATTGAAGCCTCGGAGGAATCAGAGGAGTTTTCCGAATCACAACTGCTGCAATTACTCCTGCAGATTGTCAGGTTGTAGCGTGGAGAAATAATCAATCTAATTTTCAGACTTTCACCCAAGGCGCCATTGCTGGCGATGTAGTGCGCAACCTTGGTAAGCAGAATTCACTTATATCAGCTCTCAGCAGAGTTTTAAAGGGTGGATCCTCAGTTAGGAAGGTGGTAGCCGTGAGATTAGCGGGCATGATTATTGGTTTAGCAAGAGGCAGATGAAAAAGGGTTACTACGAGTAGTAACATGAGTAGTACCGGGCACCAAACGCAGGAGAGTCGAACCGAGCTATGGACGAGCTGACGGGTTAACGCAAGCGAGACTGAAGAGCCACTGACTTTGACCCAAAGGCAAGTTGCGTAGCGCTTTCAGAATCTCCGGAAGCAGGAGTAGGGAGTAGTGCCATAGCAACAGATCACCCACGAACCAGACCATATTCTCGTATCTGTCCATCGAAACTAGTTCTAGCATGGGTGAACGATCCTTGGCGGTGTCACAGGAGAAGTGAGAGGGCCAGTGAATTTTTAAACACGGACAATGTGGAGTGAGCCCGCGAAATTCTGGAGTGTGGCATGGAGAGACCTGGAGAGACCTGGAGAGACCTGGAATAACTTAAAGTGACGTGGTGTCACTGGAGCCAGTGGAGTAGCGTTCTAAAGAAGCTACTGGACTTGTGGTGGTAGGACATGGCTATGGAGAATCCGACCATGCCGATTGATTCTGTTTGAGTCTGCCAGTTATAGTGAGTCTGTAGCATCCAACGAACGTAACGAGCCTGGAAGACTCGAGCCGAGCCTGAAGTGGCCCGAAACGAACGAGGAGTAATTTCCAATGACAGACCTGTAACTTGTCATGTCGTATCAGCGGTGTGTAACAGAGTTACCGGTCATGTCGTGAGCAGCGGTGTGTGGAATAGAAAGGCCATAGCCGATAAAAGATCCGCTCCATGTAATGTATGACAGATTCTGGCAGCGAATCTCGCTGGACCGGCAAACTCTTTGTTCTTGTCGTTGCTCAAGCTGCCTCATGGGGCCTGCTGGAGATAAGGAGAATCAGGGAGAAACACCCTGAAGACGGCTGATCAGGTGTGTCACACGGAATTGGTTTGACAGTGTATTGGACACATGATTTCTGGGGTATCGTATCTCGTATCTCTGACATTGAATCTGTGTTATCACTGAGTGTTTGTGTTTGTGTCACCTGGAGAGGCGGCATTGCCAACCAGGTGTTTGTATTTGTGCGTCTGTGCGTCTGTGCGTCTGTGCGTCTGTGGTGGCATTATTATCGTATGAAGTAAAGTGATGAATAAGAGGATGAGATTATGGAGAGTGGGAGGTGACTATATACTTAAATAAGGTAAGTGTACTTAGTAAATAAATGGGATAATCTGGATATCTGGATAATTGGAAAATTAGATAAAAAATAATGTAGAAATTGGTAAAATTGGGAATATTGGAAAAAAATGAAAAAAAGGGGAACCCAGGAAAAAATCAAGAGAAGTCAGAATAACTTGGAAAAATATTTAATCATCCTACTGTGACTCGGATAAATAAGGGAAATTTATTTTGACCCCAAAAATCCCAACTTTTGCCTCCTCCTGAGATCAGATGAACCGTGCATAATCGTGCATCTTATCGCACGAAAAAAAAAAAAAAAAAAAAAAAAAAAAAAAAAAAAAAAACTAACCTCTTTTACTACAACACAAACATAAGAGAATAACGACCACAAAAACCCCAGTTCTCTTTCCGCCAAAACAAAAATAACACTATCGAAACCACCATAGTCGGCTTGTTCACATCCTTTGATCACATTTGAACAATGTAGTTTTCTCACCCAGCCCTTCCCTGTGTCACGTGACCCAGAAACACCACCAGTAACACTCGCCAGATCGGAACTCTTGCACCGACTCCAATATATTGCTCTTTGCGATTTTCGCGAAGATCGTCATTCAGAACTTTCAGGCAACTTCAACTCTCTGAGAATCTCTCTCTCAGGTGGAGGAGTCTGCAACTGTTGCTAGAAGGGAGATTTGAGTGCATTTTATAAAACAAGAAAACACTCGCAAATCGCCACCTTCCTTTCTTTTTCCATACGGCTCTTGCGGCATATTGATATTAGTATTAGTATTAGTATTAAATGCCGTACCAGTATTTCCGTATATCAGTCTCCCCTCCACGTGACGTCCAGAGCTAGATTGACGTCCAGAAGCGCTCCAGAAGTTAGTCGAGACACTTGAACCTTGGCAAATCACCCCGAGCCTCGATTCCGACACTTTGTTTGCCGAAATTGGATCAAGTTTCAGGATAATGTTGAGATGAGATTTTTCAGGATTTTTTACAAAAACCGTTGATTCACGCCCAAATCAAACCACAGCATCACACAAAATGCATTGTGGGGAAGCCCAAATAGCGGGGAATCTAACAATATTCGAAATTCCCCATTTGGCCCGCTATTTCCAATTCTGGAGGCGCTAGGACTGGAGATATATGCCATAGAGTTTCAATCCACTCTTGTTCGATCCTCTGAGGGATATTCCAGACAACGAACAAAAGACCAAATGGACCGCCGCGAGTAGAAGGGAGTCTTTTTTTGGTCATGTGACTGATCACATGATCAACCAGTCCGCGCTCAGGGGAGCTGGTCGATCACGTGACTCCCCCCCTCACCCCCGAGTCCGCTGGCGATGGGTCTGTATGGTTTGCTCCTGTATGCACCTTATATGCATGTACATGCAGTATACATGCGCCGCCGGGAGGCAGTGTAGTGCATATAGCTCGTATGTCATAAGGAGTTGCTCCATTCTTCAGCACCATCACTTGAGACGATATTGGTGATGTTTTTGTTTATTCCTTTTACTTTTGGCTGTGAGTGTGCGAGCGATGGCAGCAAGCCAAGCGAGTTTCCGTTCTGAGGTAGCAGTGCGATGGAGGGATGAGGTGAGGGGATGGTGCCATGTCGGTGTGGTGACTACATGGGAAATGTGGTGGTGACGACATGAACGTGTAGTGACGTCCTGAGTAATGTGGTGATCATCTCACGGACAATGTGGTCACTACACCAGCTGTGTCACGGGGATGACGACGATTCTGGAGTTGCACCAAACCAGACTGGTGATTTTGAGACACTCGCAGCAAACTGGACCGACCTGAGCTCTGCTGTGGTGCTGTTTGATCAGTTCCAGTAGCACATCAGGGGCCCAAGTAATGCCAGAATGCAGACCAGAATTCAGACCAGAATTCAGACTACTTCTGGCTACTTGAGACAACTTCTCAAACCGGTGCCCCCACGCTGAGTAACATTTGAGACAGGTGGAGTGGCGGTCACCAGCTGGATAAACTGAATCAGGGCGGTGAACTGAATCAGTGTCACATGACCCCATACCTGAACCCTCAGTTTGGGTGCCACAGGACCCAGGCCTGGATCCCAGTTGGTATCACGTGACATGCCCGTTTCGATTCGTGCCGACCCGCCACTGACGAGTCAAGTTGTGGTTGAGTTGTGGTTGAGTTGTGGCGGAGTTGTGGCTGTGCTCTATTCATCAGACCGTCTCTCCACTTAACTCTTCTCCGTTTAGTCATACTATCACGTGTGCGGTGCCACCTTGCAGCTGACACACATGTGCATAGACCCAATCGGGCGCTGGTCGGCGTTTGACAGACTCGGCATTTGACGGTCTCATTGACACCTTGGTTGACATGTTCGCTGACACATTTGACATTGCTGCTGGGCAGTGCTCGGATAGGGTCTGACGTGTCACGTGATCTATTTGGTGACGTTGGTGCGGGACTAGTGTCTGGCGAAGGTTGTGACATTTGCATTTGGGCGGCTAGCCCATCTTTGTGAAATTGACGGAGGTGCAGAGGTAGTTTTGGTTTGTTTTGCTCCAAACAGTTAGTCTGCCACATCTGGGCGCAGCGGAGATTTTGCATTCAGGCTTTGTTTGTTAATTTCCCGAGTTCAGAAGGTCAGAAGGTCGGAAGGTCGGAAGTTGTTCAGATTGTTCTCAAGTCAGTGACTGCAAAATGCCCAGAAAACCACTGAGTGACGACTGACACGACCTGTGACTCCTATGACTCCAGTCTCCAATCTCCAGCTGGTTCATTCTAGCCAGAATCGTCTTCAGAACTGCCCGCCAGGCTTGGACCGACTAATTGTCACGTGACCAAGGCAATCGACTCGTAATGGTGTCAGACTGCACTCCACTCAATTGGGGAGGATTCGCGTTGGTTTTTGGGGCATTGTGTTCACTTTGCTCTTTTTTGCTCACTCATTAGTTGTCGTGTTGTGACTTTCCAACGCTCAGATTCACTGCGTTCCTCTCGCTCATATTCTTTTTGCTTACTAACCCAGCCCAAAACTTTGGCCACCCCTGGAAAGGCCATGAATCCGAGCGATACTACTGCCCCAACTGCCACAACATGTCGTGCGAGGCGCGCAAACGCCGGGAATTCATCACGCTCTGTTTTGTGCCCATCATTCCCATCCACTGGTCTAACGAAATCAAGTGCACCATTTGCAACTGGAGCAAGGGCGTGAATGAAGAGTCGCTCAAGGCTATGCAACAGGACCAGGGGATGAACCGACCGCAACCCGACGGTCATCCCGCCTTGAAAAATCTCCAGCAACCTCAGAGCAGTTACCCAGGAGCTGGAAGTAGTAATAACTACGCTGCTCCTCCAAGTTATCAGCCGGATGAGGCTTGGGAGGCGGGAAAGGCTGCTCCAAAGGGCTGAACGAGCGTAAACGAGCGTAGAAACGAGCGTCAAGCTAGTTGAAGCGTTAGCAGTGGGTTTTCATCAATGAGAACGAGAACAACGGGTTCGTTCTAGTCACCGAGTTCATTCCAGGACGTTTCAACACCGGTAATCTTTTTAATTTTTATTTTAGTGTTAATATATGTGTTTAGTTGAGTTTTAGTTAATGTATATGTGTTTAGTGGGGTTTTAGTGGGGTTTTAGTTACTGTTTAGTTAGCTTATTAAGTTGTACTCGGTAAATTACTTGACAATATATTCAGCTTAAGTAATATTGCATTTACCACAGCTCACCCAATTCAGGGGATGAAGACGAAAACCTGCAACACACCCATTGGTGGCAGTCTTGTGACCTACGTTCATTGGCAAACTTCCGTCAAAAAAAGGACGATTTTTAGCAATGCTCGTTCGAACATTTTTTGGAAAAAAAGAAAAATAGGCCATGTTTTGTCGGTCTGGGTAGACGTTAAATATTGATGAGGCACTTGCTATACCGATAAGTGGTCTTTTAATGGCTTTTTTAATCTCCTCATTCAGTGTAAGTCATCGAGTATCAATCCCAACAACTCCTGAACTAGTTACACTTTAATTAAATAGACATTTGTTAGACAACTAATTGACATAGATTGGAAGGAGCTTAGATGTTGATGGAACATCATTTATGTAATTAATTTGGTACCAAAATTATTAGATAAATTAAATAAGTAAGATTGGCATCTTGAATTGCTCATTTGACCTTTTATTGATGGTATTGTGGCATGATACGCTGAATCTGTATTTGAATAAATGGAAGAACAGCCCCAATCCCGCCTTCAGTAGCTCAAATCATAGATACTCACGTGAAAAACTTTGAATCTCAATTAGTCATCATTCCAATGTTCCCTCGTTTTTTTATTCCCTGTTCCATCTCCATTTTCCACTCGTTTAAACTCACAATTGACTTCACCTAGTAGAGGTGATATCCGAGTAGATAACACAGAAGCCACCAGTTTAAAACCTCCGCCAACTCCGTAAGCAACTAATGTAGACGCCCAGCTATCTATTTTAGTCGGCATTAGCGCTCCGAAGACACTGTATTTGAAGATTACAGATCCTCGGGAAAAACCCAGTTGTGACGATACAAAAAAAAACCCTCCTAGAGCGACGAAAAGATATTGGATCACATGAAATACTTGAAATAGAGACTTTCCAATCAAGTTTTCATCATCTGATCAACTCCTTGTTCCTTTCGAGTTCAATCTAAGACCTGAGAATCGCACCAAGCTAGTTATGCAACTAATTCCTCCACTAATATCTCAACTAGTTTCTGATTTTAGCGGCATGAGAAATACCCCGAGTTGCTCACCGTATAGATCAAATTTCAGGCTACCATTAGATGCATCTAGCGCGGTAATCAGAATTTAAATGAAAACGTTGCGAAAAGATGGGATTTATGAGAATTGTTTGCTGAGAAAATAGATATAAAGGAAATTACGTAATACAGCAATCGCAACAGCTTATAAATTATCATGTAATCTATTTAGAACATTTATATACCAAGCAAAGAGTCATCTCCTCCACACAAGTCGCTTCCTTCTGTGTTTACCTGTCTTACATGTGTGTGCATTATCGTGCTGTGCACTGCTGTACACTACGGTGTCTAAATCGTCCAATTATGTTAGATTAGACATACGCGCTAGCTTTGGAAAGAAAGGCAATGCTATTAACCTGATGCAGAGGTTAGGACGGGATCTTCGGCATGTTTTTGGATCCCAAATCTCGACTTCCTATTGGAAGATAGGACGGATGTCGGAAGAGGTGTAGCTAGTGCATGGATACACGTGGGCCTGGGACAAGAGGGTGGAGGGAGGTTCCTGGGAGAGATGGGTGACATGTTATTTGTTATTTTAGATTGATTTGGTCGTTTTTGATGGAAATTCGAGATGGTTGAGTTGTGAAGTTTTTTCAAGTAATGGATAAAATAGGGAATAAATGCAAATATTTCATAATTAAATGTATTGGAGGGGCGTATTTCGACATGAATTTGATTATAGAGTCATATTCAAAACATTTTTTAGTATATTCTACCTCTCATACCCTTTGAGCACCGAAAAACTCCCTGCGGAAATGTGTTTCAACTAAATCCCAATTATATTTCAAGTAATTCGATGATGTTGGGGTTTAGAAGTGAATATAGTGATTCTGAAGAGATTATCCTGAAGAGATGAAGTTTTTATTCCTGCTACAATTCCATATCATGACCCGTTTCGCTCCATTTATCGAACCCTCTCTATCTTTCTCAATAAATTCTTTTCTTGATACACACAGTAACCGTGGAGATGTGACTTAGTTCTATGAAAAATGGACCAATAAAATTCATTATCCGGCTGGTGAATAAGTGAACCACCCTGAGCACGAAATAGTCTTCAAAATTGCTGTATTGCACTCGCCGATTTATGATCTCAGGCATGCTCAACAATACTTGTCTAACCTAACTATTGTGTAGTTTAACAAAACCGAGACGCAAGTTCGATGTCCAGAAATTATCATAAAATATCAATCAATACACATGATAATGAGAAAAATGAAGATCATGTTGTTTCAATTTGAGTCTAAAATTATCTCTATTAATTAATTTCTCATTCTCCAATCTCTTCGTTATAGGTGTGAATTATCAATGGCACTGTTATCATTGTGTAAGAAGCCTAGTTAACATGGTTCTTAGAAATGATTTATAATTGGTCATTCTGGAAGAATTGAGCCCCATTACCTATACAATTCTGCAGCCCCAAGTCAGGAGATCATGATGGAGCTACAAAAACCTCATGTGCAATACAAAAACTTCGAGTTTGCGACACTTCTCATCATGTAATCTACAACTGCTTAGTTGACGAATTACTTGGGTTGAAAAACGGTACTCAACGATACTACCCAAAAACTATAATACAGAACCCGAATTACAACTATTCAAACTCGATAAATGAGGTAAAACTCACCTCACACCTCTCTCCACCCACGTGACCATCTATCTACTCTCAGAACCCCCCTAACATCTATTCCACCATGGTGACCTGCAGTTTGACCTCTCTCTGTCCTTTTATGAGATTATCATCATTTGGCAGGCATTTTTTGGCACTTTTTTGGCACTCTTTGACTCATTCCGAAAGCTCTTTCCGAATTTTCCGAATTTTCCGAATTTTCCCAAATTATTCGCATTACTCACTATTATTCAGATTACCCTACCGAACATGACGTCACACTAAGCACTTTCTTTGTTTAAAATAACCTTTCTTTGTCCGACCTTCCAAGAAAAATTAGACGAAACCTTCTGTTAGACGAACACCTTAATTTGCCGCTGTTGCTAGCTGCTTTTAAAATAGCTAGCTTCGGAGTGATAGCGGGGAAGTGGAAGGCAGAGCTACATGTGGGTGGTTTCAGTCCGTTACCGGTTCGTTGGAGCAAATCACACCATTTCTAATACACTTGCGGTCAAAATCAATTGTTTTTTTTTGGGGGAAGAGATCTTGAAATCGTCTTAGCGCTGCCAATATCCATCGAAGTGCTGGGAAAGTTAGTTCAGTGCGCTCCCCTCGCCTCTGAGCTTCCAACAGATATGCACATGGGTGGGGGTAGTCTACGGTGGTGGGGGGACCGTTGAGGGGAAACATGTAGAGTCTGGGCAAGCACTATGTGGCGCATTACTGCTTCTGGCGGATGTCAGGCGGTAGTGGACGTTTCTCCAGCGCGGATCCAAGCCGAAATAGCGTTGGTATTAGTCTTTTTTGGCCGGGTGAGAGGTGGGGCCGGTCAGATGTGTCTGACTAATCAGGCTCCAACTCGGCGAATAGTGGTTCCATAAATTTTCAGGCTGTACCAGTAGATTTTTATCGTCGCTGCGCATCCAATGGTATCTCTTTCTTTGGGGACGGCCCGTTCTGGGGTTGTCGGAACGCACTTCAAACTCTACGCATTGGTGATCAAAGTGAAATAAACAATAGACTGTGGGGAAGACGAGAGTTGGGGAGGAGTTTACCAGAGGCAAATGAGGGCTGTGGGTGACCGGCTGTACTTATTTCTACGTCTCTGCGACTGGTTTGGACCCCGGAAAAATGATTACTAAGATGACCTATTAGACGGGGCTTATTAAGCAAGAAAAAAGGAGGAAGAAGGGGCTCGACAAGTCGGCCAGAATGTCGCTTCTCCATCTCTCTCATTGACTCAAGTGACTCCGACCCCACAACCTCAAACCCTCTTTTTCTTTTTCAACGGCTGTCGAAAGGCACGGCGACAAAGAGCTGTACCGAAAGTCTCAGCGTCACAATTTTTCAATGAGTTGATTTTTGCTGCCAAAGGATGGTCAGTCCGCAGCAGTTGATGACTTGTTTGGGGCGCTTGCAGGGCCGTGCGATTTTTTTGGAAGAAGAAACGATTGATCTTGTGGAAAATCTCAAAAAAAAATCATAAAAATTTGGAAAGCAAAGATTCTGGGAAAAACAGACGTTGTGCGAAATGAGATGGGAACAAATCATGTCTTAGACATGCTGGATACCCGCTAATGATCACCATATCCGTTCTTAGATACGATGGATGTGTTGAGAATCGAGAACTTCTCTGGAATGACGGAAAAATACCAGAATAGAAATCTGACAATTGTGTCTTATTCTTCAGATCATTCTGATCGATATGGAATTTTTGAAAATGCAATAATCCCCTCATTTATGCTCTTCCAATCTCTCCACCAAACTGCCTATACATGTTCGGTTTATGTCATACAAGTGGGGATTGTTCTTGTAGACTTTGAACTACTTGTAGATTTTTGGAACACATATGAATGGAGAGCCGACGACCTGGAGAATCCGGCAATGACAACGAAATTGCAATCTCCGTAGTGCTGAAAGAGATACCCTTTTTTCGGTGTTTTTTTTTTTTTTTTTTTTTGACGATATCCTCATTTAACTAGAATTAACTAATTGTGAGGGGGATACAAACATGCACGTCTAAAATGCCTGATTCTAGATTACTAAAAAAGACTGTGGGGAGTTTCTTGAGCCATGACACATATTTTCGCGCCTGTTAATTGACCCAGACCGTGCCATTACATCACCCAGGTCGTGCCCTTACATCAAAAGCACACCACGACATGACCCTTATCCACCCGCAACACGAAAGGCTGTGGTGGGCACAACATCATGAACATCACTCACGTGACTGAATGCGCGCTCAATATGACCCTGTTTTGATCTTACTAAACACCACAACCTGAATGTTGTCATCATCACTCAACCATAATCAGATATTTTTTAGCCAACGTCACGTGACTCTAGATCACAGTCTTTGGGGGCTTGTCGACAAGATGGAAGATGGAAGATGGAAGATCAAGGCTACAATTACACGCCATCTGTGGTAGGTACCACAATACCTCAACATGAATTCTGTGGGGCCGACACAATGAGTGTGGTACCACAACATTCCCCATGTCGTGTCATTACACGTCCGCGTGGTGACTACATTCCATGTCGACTACAAGTACGAAATTCTCCAATGTTATGATTTAATGATATGCATCTAGGATCGCTGCTTGGTAACGGGCTCCCAAGCGCTGATCTTGGGCTTGAGAGTGTTGTAAGTGACAAAGGCGCCGGGAGTACCAGTGTAGTTGGGCTGGAACTTGTAGGGGTAAGCTCGGATGGGGAGCTTCTCCTTGGGGGTGTTGCAAGGAGCGGTGTCGACACCGTATCCGAGCCAGAAATGCCATCCGGGCTCGACCTGGGACATGTCGTAGTCCTTTTCCTTGTACTCGACGTATCGGGTTCGGAGATGGATTTCGTCCTGGTGATCAGTCTCGTAGAACTTGTTTCCGTAAATCTGGGTTAGTAGCTGGGTGGGGGAGTCATGTGGTGGGGAGTTACATGGGTTGTATGTCACAAAGACCGTGTAATGAGACCACCCAGGCCGTGTAATGGACACAGAGCTTCTGTCGTGGCTGATACCGTAGGTTCTGAGTACCACATTGGCCCTGTCATGATGAAGCAAACATGATGACATGAACCAAGTCGTGCTGTGTAATGAATGACACAAGTCGTGTCAGACACGACATGCAAAATTAGGGAAATGGGAAATATATCCCAGTTTCTCAAGACCCTCGTCAAGTCGTGCCTCACACAGGTCATGTCATCGCTCTCACGACATGGGTTGGTAAACCCCAGACATGGACAGTGTCAGGTCACCATAAAAGCAATGTCACCGATCCACCAAACTCATAGCGCTCCTGCAAACATGTCCTTCTCGTCTCCTCGAACCGCTTCGTGACTTTGGTCACTTTCGGACTTGCGTCACTCGGTTTATGTACTCACGTCAGTTCCGACCAATCGTCCAGACTTGGTATCTCCAATGGAGTTGAGCTGCTTCCAGTAAGATCGCGGGCCGACCTCCCAGGCGTTTCGCAGCACTCGGTACAGAGAAGACGACATTGTGTGTTGAGATGTTGTGTGTGCTGATGCTGGTGTGGGATATATCAAAGTTATTCTGTGTGCCTTGATTGGTTCGTGCGTACCCTAACCCAGATTATATAAGCAACTCCCAACGCTACTCAGTGAGCTGACCCAAAAAAAGCTTACTCAGAAGGCTTACGTGCTCAGCGAGCTTACTCAGCAGCGCCAAACCCTTACTAAGCAATCGGCAACCACGCTAGCAACTCGAGCCTCTGTCTCAGACCGCGCTCCGTGGGAAACCGTATAAAAGCGATGGCCCGTTTACACCCATTCAAGCTTTTGACTAATTTTAGAACGTGGAAATACAGCACAAAACGTGTTCTCCACGTTTAAAACACGCTAACGGTATAATTCATACCTACGAGGGTTATACGAAGAGGAGGGGAGACCGAGATTGACATGATTTCTGGTGGAGGGGAAGTGACATGGCCCTCGTAACCCGCAACAGTGGTTCTGTGGTGGGGGTGACATCGTGTCTGTGGTGGGGACGGCATGACACCGGTCATGTCGCATGGTCCATGTGGTGGGCACAACACGACCTCTGTCATGCCCCGCCTTCGACGAGAATGTCTCTGAAATCCTATGCCGCGGTCTGTGCAGCATCCTGAAACTTGCCCAAAGTCTTTCTGCTGCATTCTGAGACACAACAGAGTTGGTCCAGAAATCGGAGATTTTCGTATCTGGCTATCTATTTATGAAGTCAACACATCTACTGGTAGAAAAAAGTGTTCGATGTGCGTGGAGCTCGTCTCGACCGGATGAAAAATGTCTCACCCGGGAATCTCCTTTATTTGTGGGTTTATACGGGTTGTTTCAAGTGAAAAAAATGCGTCGATTTGGTAGGAGATTCCAATTCCGTTAAAACGCGTCGAATCCGGCCAAAGAGATCTCCGTTGCATTCTTTCACATTGCAAAGAACAATTTGAACGCTTCTAGCCACTTCTAGCAGCTTGATGGCGACGTCAGAACGCGTTTCCGTGTCTCACATAGACCCCCCTGCCAACTCCCTGACAACGACCCTGGAGTCCCTGCATTTTTAATGTCACGTGGAAGGGTTGGAACGAAGTTCATCTTCCATTGCTCATCCGCCTTGCATTGGCACGCAATGGGGTCATCAGGGTATTTTCTGGGAATTACATGAGCATTTTTACTCGGAAATTACAGAAAACATCCAACAAAAATGCCATCTCGAAGATAGACTACCAAATAACCCCTCCACAGCCCCCCCCGTTGGGAACCTACACCACCGACTCACCGGTCATTTCCCCTCAGTAGCAAAAGGTGTCAAGGCATTCAGCTTAGCGCTGAGACAGATAATTTCCTGCGTGCCCAGAAACACAAAATGGCTAGAAATAAGGACTCGACGAGAAAGAGATGGATTTCGCCTCAATTTTACGATTTTTTCCAACCAAATATTTCCAGCCATTGCCTGTTTGAGACATTATGAAAGCTCGCTAAATGTCTTAGAAAATGACACATGCATAGAGTTAACGTTACCCCTATTCCGATTGGGCAGACCCTAACCCTTCACAATTACCTTGTTGGGTTAAGCAGCCAGGACGGAGCCCTAGGCTGTGGGACCTCGCTGAGGGTAACCCTAACCCCTGACCCATTTAGGGCGAAAACCCCTAACCCTATACCAACCCCAACCCTGCCCAAAAGAGAAATCCACTTCTCCCGATACGATCACGCCAATAGAGTGAGACAGGTTCCACGATAAGACGTGTGGGGTAGCAAAATGGTTCCATCCAGCGGGGCACCGCGTTTGTGTAAAAATATTCTTGGTTCCCAAACGGCACGGAGCAACAAACGACGTTACTGAGGGGGGACCGTTGGTGGAGAAAGAGGACAAGAAAAATTACACAAAAGAAAAGGACAATAAAAATGACAGCAAAAAAAATTGCAACAAAAAAGACAATAAAAATGACAGAAAACAAAAATCCCAAAAATCCCAAAATAAAAATCCCCAAATTAAAAATAAATACCCCGACACAAGCCAAATCAACTGATAGATCAAGACGTCTAGGGACGGCTCAGATGACGTCTTGACCGGCATCTTGGAGCACATTACGGCTGTCAAAGTCACAGAATCAATGTGGCGGCCCCACCGAGCACCGAGCTGTCATTCCTTGTTCGACTGAGACAGATGAGCTCGTCAGAGAGTCTCTCCTATTGGGATCACTTTGTTTTGGCGTCGTTTCACCGCCGTTTTGTCCAACATAAAAAATCCCATATTACCGGTTTGATTTCCGGAAAGTCTAAGTTTATATTAAGACGTCTAAGCTTAAATTTCAAAGTGGTCACATATCAACACGTGATAAAAACACGTTGGAATTGAGGGAAGCAATGGATTTATCTCGTAATTTTGATCAGATATACGTCATGGCAGGATTACCGAAAAATTTTCAGGGCGTTTTGAAAACGTTTTGATAAAACTAAATGTGTCCGAAAATCCAAATCTAAAGTTTCATCATGCAGATGTCTGAAATAATCTCGTTTGCCCCACCACGTTAATCATGCCGGGAATGTGAAAGAGGGTGGGGAAGTGGGGCCATGTGATAGCGGTGGCGGGGAGAAAAGGGACTAGGTAATAAAGGCGGGAAAATACGGAAATTGTCTAGGTGGGCGGCAAAAGAATTGTTTTGATTTTTGCTGGTTTTTTCCGGGTTGTTTTGCCCCTGGTCGTATAATTTAATGTTAGTGCGTCGTATTCACAGATCGACGTGCCACAATAGTGTAAGTACGTCATGTTGTCGTGAGACAGAACGGGTTTGTGTGGGCTATTGTAGAGGTTAGGGCTGTGGTTAAGGGTTAGGGTTTTCACGTTGTTTTTTTGGCGGGGGTTAGGGAGAATCTTGCCAACGGCTAAGGACCGATGAAGGAGGGTTAGGAGGGGAAATTAGGATAGAGATTTTGATGATCCAGCTCCATTTCAAGCTTCTCTCCAGCCCCTAATTCACCCGACTCTTTCCACTCGGGTCCATCATTTGCTAGTGTGCATCCCAAAAGTCCGCTTATCATGTCTCATGTGGCATGCAGGCTGGTTAAAGTGCTTGCAGAGAGTACTCCGGCAGTATCCGAGTGATCGACGGCGCCAGAATTCGCCCTTCAAGGAGATTGACAGATTTTCGTCCGTCTAAAATTCTTAAAAAAAAAAATGCAACGTAAATCCCACGTAAATCGCAGATACGACGACTTGTTTGAATCGGGGCAAATCCCAGGCAATTGGGCAATAGACACAAAAAATGGCTGTGGCTGCCTCGGACCCGTCCGCATGCCTCGGATATTTTTGCGGATTGTTTTCTTTGTCATATTCGTTATTTACACTCGACTTTTTGCAGCCCACTAACAAGGCGAGAGCTTAAAAAAAAGACAAAGCGAAAAGATAAAATAAAAATACACAAAATCAAAGGGAGAGATCGACACCAAGCGCAGCAGAGAGGGAAGCAGGGTGCTGTGCGAGGGTCCAGGAATTATCTGATTTTTTATTTGTGGTGCTGAGGACATATTTATTGGGGTGATTTTCCCCCCATTTTTAGAGGGTCGAAACACCCCGAAAATGCTAGAAATCCAAGACGTCCAGAAAAATCGGACGCCCCCAAATTAAAGATTATTCACATGCTGCGAGGAACAGGAACCGTGCCAATTTTGCCGTTTCCTGCTTGTGTCATTTATGCCACTTCCCAGCCATGTCACACTGCACTTGCAGCGTCGTATTAGTGGAGCAACGCAGGAAATGGTGGAGTCTCCAGGGAGGCTGAGGAGAGGTTGGAAACGATTGTGGAAAATGGGAGAAGTTTGCAACTTTTTTGTGGGCGACTTTCCGCTCGATTCTGAATTTTCCAGAATTTCCAAAACTAAAAAAATAAGTACATAAATAAATAAATAAATAAATAAAATAAATATATAAATAAAATAAAGCAGGTTTTTCATATTTGATTTTAATTCGTGAAAGAAATCATAACAATTAGTCAGAACTGGTAACAAAAACGATGTCGCTCTCAGCCCATAATTTCCATCTATAGATCGGATCCCGGCATCTGTTCCACTTGTTTGATAGTCGCTATTGCGTAATAATAGCTGATTCAGCCCAATAATAGTGCGATATACACAAATAGCCAAACATGGCGTCATTAAATACGTCAATAAACGCGGAAAAAAGTAATGCAAAAAACATAAAAATTAAACCGGTGTCAAGACTGTCATTATTTTTCATTTGATGTGATTTTATCCGTCACATTTCGGTCTTGCACGTGACTCTACCACCCAACCTCATCTCTATTATCATCTCCCGCTAGCTCCACTAACAGCCCCACTAACAACTGAATACGTTCTGTGGGCTTATCAGTGGGACTAATGGCCACCGGGTCATAATTGTCCGTTACTGGCTTATCATTTACCGTGTTTTTAAGGCGAATTACGGGAATTTTACGCCGCAATACGTTCTCAAGCGTGTTTCGAGATCTGGAGGAGTATAGAGGCGAGAGGTGGAGGTGCCGGTGGTAAAAGAATACGTAGATCCGGATATGAAGCAAAGAGACCATATTCCACGATAGTTACGACCTTTTTATTCTTCCAGTTGTGAGGTTTTGAAAACGGTATTTTTTGTCCGGGGTTTCAGCCAAATTGCCATCCAATCAATAGTCATAAAAAATTCAACAAAAATCAAAGAAATACAAAAAATAGCCCGATATATCCACACACGACTACGAGACTCAGGTCCGCACTCCAAATATAGCCTACGTGCTGTTTCACCGTAAATGGCATATATTGGTGCTGTTAGAACGACACTAACCCAGCAGTTAATAACAGCCCTAAACCCGAAGAATAATATCGGATAGTAGCTATCTCGTTACACCATTTAATCCGCTAGAACAAGCGGGGCAGGTACAGTAGGAATGTGACTGTAGCGTGGGTATGCAGTGGGTATGTGTGGTGGGCGTGGATGTGACATGGGTCTTGTGGAGGGCGACATGGACCATGTAGCGGACATTACATGGCGAGTGTCGGGCCGTACATTGACTTTGTAGTGACAACATTGTTCATGTCGGGGGGCACATGAGCCATGTTCGTTCGTACTCGGCGAGAGTGTTGGGTATGGCGTTCATTTTGTCGCGACCTGAGTGAGGTAGTTCAACCTTATTGAGAGTTCAACTAATTAAACAAATGCTTAGGTAAGGTAGCCGATTAGTATTTGGGGACTCTGGACCGCCAGAGCCAGGAGGGCTGTATATTATCCGTTTCAACACTTTCAGAGATTGATGATTAATCATGGCGATTCAGAATGAGAAATGCTACTTGAATACAGTTAGTAATTGGTTATGTCTAGTTAAGTCTTTAGATGGGATATGTAACAGTTCAATAAAACACTATTAAATGTTGTTAAAATCTGTTGAACTTGAAACTACATAGTCTTCCTTTAGTCAGAAACGCTACAGAAACAATCACGTGTCCAAAAATCACATGACCAAACATTCACGTGATTAAAAGATCATACGAACAGACTGTACATCTGGCTCCGAGGTTTCAAATCCCCCTCCCCTCCAAGCAAAGCCAGCAATGTTTTGGATAATTTTTAAGATCTGATACCTGGACATTCAGATACTCACGTTGATTGCTGCTGCTCTTTTTCAAGCTATGTGCGCTCAATGTGACACAAATATATCCTCTTAGCCATCGAAATAAGTCACTTGATTCGAATGAGGTCTGTCTTTGGCAGAAGTGTATGATTTCTGAGCAATGTGTTTTGCTTGTCGAGGTCTGAAAAAAGATCTGTATGGTCTGAATATGACTCATAAGATATCCGAGTGACACGCATAAGATATCCACGTGACACTCATAGGTTGTCCGCGTGACCCATGAAAGCGGCACTCGTAATCCAATCAATGTGACGCTCATAACCTGCCCAACGCCTCCTCTGACTATAACGAAAGATTTGGAGAGAATGACATAGACGCGGGAAGAACTCATCAAGTCCATTATCACTCTCCTAATTTGTTTAATAAAGACTGTTCTCATATAGACCGAAACCCCTTTGTGATTTGACAACTGATTGCATAGGCCACTGTCCCTTGATTTGTCGCCCAAAAAGCTGTAAAACACGGGAGAAAATGAGACAGTATTCAAGAGATCCCTAGAGACTCAAAGAATACGACCTTCATCTTTCCATCTGCATTCTATCACTAACAGATTGCATTATCATATTTCACCCAGAGAAACATAGCAAATGTTTTCAGATCAAGTCATAACCTTTTTCAAACGGATCTGATCAATCTGAATCTGAGGATCTGCATCTCATACGCGTTCTGAGACGTTCAGACGCCTAGATTAGGCCCCTTCTGTATGACTAAGACATGATTAAGACATGGTTCCACGGAGCAAACGTCGGTACAGACACATATTGAGACAAAACCACAATCATAAATGGCACCCGAATCTTTCACGTCTTCCACGTCTTCCACAACTCTTCCATTTCCATCGCTGTCCACTTGCGGCTAGTGGTGGGGCACAATCGCATTATTTATCGACGTTACATTTCAGCTGATTGTGTCTGAATCCGGACGCCGTTGAAGTGCCACCAACAAGCAGAAAAAACTGGTGCTCCACTTTGTCTCCACTTTGGAGAGGAGCGATAATTATTGGTGACTTCTTGGGAATTTATTGGGTAAGAAATAATAGGTTTTAAATAATTTCCAATAATAAAGGGTAAATAAAAGAGAGCAATAAATCAGAAAATAATAGCAAGAAATTCACAGAAAATAGCTACAGTCAAATTTATAAATGGGTCCTATAAATAGTGGCGATATGAATCTTTGACGGATCTCTCGGGATTGGAGACGGTGATAATTCGGGCTCTGGAATTTCGTCCATTTTAGCACGAATTATTCAAATTTAAATTAACCCAAAATAATTTCCCAGAAAATCAGGGCAGGTCGGAATGGATCTGGAAATAGACAGAAGCTCCTTCCACGAGTTACCAAAGTGACCTGAAACTCTTGCAAGTTTTGCAACCTGCTCCAGAACACCTCTATAGGCATTTCCAAGTCCCCAAAGTCCCATGACCAATACACAACAAATGGCTGCGGAAAATGGCCACAAGAATACCATTAGCCCGCATACAAAGAACTCAACGGAAGGGCCACAGACTGGCGACGATGCAGTCCACTCGTGACACCGGTCTACGCTCATGGCCTCTCCCCCTATCTCCCCTCTCGCTTGCTGAAACCTTAATAAAAGTCTAATATCAGTAAGCTTTCAGGAAACGAAAAACCACCCAAAAGCCAATTGCAAACTAGCTTCTCATCTAACTTTTGGTCGAAAAGCGGGGTGTTGAGGGTAAACGTTAACACTAACCCTAATTCACCTCTCAACTCTCTGCACTAACTCTACACGCCCTCTGGTATATATCTTCCGTGTGTGCACATATATTGACGTAGGGATCCTCACTGATCGACACCGACCTTCATCCACTCTCGACTCTCACTATGGACATGTTACACAATTTTTCCGTGCCCCAGCTGGACCACCAGGACTACGGCCGGGACATTCTGACCGCCGAGGACCATCATAACCTGAGCCATTTGCAGGCAACCCCAGGCCAGACCCATCCGCTGGTACACCCGGACGCTCATAACCTATCTCCAGACGGCCACGGCCACGGCCACACTCTCGGGACCGCCGCCGCCGACGCTCATAACCTCGCCTCATCCACTCATAACCTGTCGTCCACTGCCCCCTCCACCGCCCAAGACTGGCAGAGCCCCACCTATTCGTACACAACCTCCACTCCCGAAGATAGCCCCGGCGTCGACGACCTATCGTTAGGTTATGAGTTTGATCTCGTGAGCCCGACTTACGCCACGCCGACACTGAGCGCGCTGATTTCGCCCGTACGGGGCGGCGGCTTCTACAAGAACAATCACGTGACGCAGTCGGTGGGGAGTCTGTCGCAGGGGTCTGTGTCCATGTCGTTGCCCACTGGACATAATCTGTCGGACCTGTCCGAGCACACCGTCCATGGCGGTAACATGACCAACCACGTGACCAACCCCAACTCCGCGCATGTCTATCAATCTGCCAACATGTTTGAGAAGCCCTCGTCCCACTCCAGCTACGGCTCTCGGTCCAACTCCACCGGCCATATCGGGCTCTACAGTTCGGCCCCGTCAGTGTCGACTCCCTTGACTCCTCCGCAATCCACTCTTTACTCCCAGACGTCGTATTCCACCCCTTCTCTGACTGACTACATCACGTTTGAGTACTCGAAAAACCGCACGAAAACGCAGTACAAAATCCTGTCGCATATTCACACGGTCAACACGTCGGATTTGTCAGCAGAGTTTAAAAAAGACAATTGTATTTACCCGCGGGCGGCTGTTCCCAAAGAGGAGTACCAGGGCAACCGTCATCAGTACGAAACCGAGTGCAACCATATCGGCTGGTCCCTGGCCCATCTCAACCCGTGCATTCGCAAGAAACGTGGCGTCATTCAGCGCGCCGTTGACTCGTGGCGCAACACCAACCCCAATCCGAAATTCCGAAGCCGACGGGTGCGGAAACTGAGCAAAAAAACTCAGCAGGCGGCCCAGGCGGCGGCCCAGCAGCAGCATCAGCAGTTGTTGCAGCAACAGCGCATGATGTACGTTCCTTATGACTACACCTATCGTCAGTAGGTTTCAGATTGGTGTTTTTTCCTTCAACCATCACACGGACTATATATCCACGACGACAACGGTGGTTCCGCCGGGGACTTCAATTTCCAACTCCTCCGACCCGCGGTAATCCTCTGATCAACTCCGTGCCGTTCTCCAGTCTGTCCTCGTCGTCCTGGAGCGATTCATGGTGTGGTAACTAGACTTTTTGGTTCGCGCCCAACTCCGCCAGTTTGGCGCTTATCGACTCGGGGACTTCGGTGTTGTATTCCTTGCGCAAAAGTACACCGTTTGGTGAACTCCCTCCCTAGCACAGGGGCCCCGGCGGGGCCATGGCGCATCCCGACATCCACTAGTCGCAAGACATAGCATTATTTATTAGCATTAATCCACTCAACATATGAAGCAAGTAGATGGTAGATGGAGGAAGTGGTGGTGGTGGGTTGTAAAAGGTGGGAATTTGGTGTTTTTTTTTTCTTCCTTTTTTTTCTTCATTTTATTATTATTATTATTTTTTTCCCAATTTTTTTCTAACTTGTTTTCCCGCCCCCAAAAACGCCCCAGAACTCCGACTCTAGCAAAGGCAGTATCCAAATGTTCTTGGCGATCTGGGAAATCTCCTCATACATTTCAAAGTCTTCTATCATCAATATTGACAGATCTAGAGGCACATTTGTATTTTCTTCAAATATTTGTCAGTCACAAAAAAAAAGATATCTTGTCGTATCCACTTTTTGAAGGTATCGTCAAGTTCGCCTTGCTCTCACGAATCGAATGCGCTTTTCAGTTTGTCGCCATCATTGCTCCTTCGCAAGTCGTATTGTCACCTCCTAATTCTTGGTATGAGTCTCTGATGACATGAAGCGTGTAAGGCAGGTGGGATATGGATATATAAACCCCGAGACTGCAAAAGAACTTGACTTGTTACATATTTGAAAGCGTCACAGCGAGTCGGTGAGTAACACATACAGACACAGACACTGAACCGACAAGACAGAAACTACCATATGTCACAAAACAAAAGACACAGAAAATGTGGACAAGTGACACTGAAAGAACTGCCGAAAGTGGCACAGACAGACCCCGATACTGCGGGCCGCAAGTGACACAAACGGCCCCCGAAAACCCAGAATCGACCCAGAACACCGACGGCCACCGGAAGTTGCACAAACGTTGCTCGCGACACGAGAGAACAGGTGAGTATGACTGTGATGTTATGACACTGATGGCGGCAGACCATCGGGAAATGGTGACAGAAGCACTACACAGATACTACCCTCAGAGATCTCCGAATTACTCCGTATTACTCCGTACTACCGAGACCTTCTTCACTGACACACTGGAAACGTCTAGTCCAGAAATGTCGAGGTCATGATCGTTCCTCCACTTTGCGCGGAACCTGACATCCATGTACAGCCATCTTTATCAGGCCGAATACTTCGCTCACGGTGGCTCAACTCTCCTGGTCAACCTGTTTGGCGCAGCTCATTTGATCTGCCAGGGTATTTCTCACCTATGCCTGGGCGACTAACAGACCAACTGATACCAGATAGCAAGGCGTAAGGCTCATCAGTAATCCCAGTCCTCTATCGGTCCGATAGTCACTCACAGCATTAAACCTGTCTGCTGCTCCTGCTGCTGCCAAACCAACTCCCACGACAGGTGAAGCCCACTTGAAAAACCAATTTTGCCAAGTCACCGCAGCTTTTTGGAGCAAGATAGCTTGGGGTTCTGAATACCTGTCACCTGGAAAACTACGTTGCCATCCAAGGGGCCGATTCAAAGTAAATTGAGAACCACTCGGGCAGGGCCAATTGACAATCGCCGACTCTCCAACGACACAAAGAGCAATGATGCAAACCCTGAACCATGCCCTCCGTTGCCTTTTGTGCACCTAGATCTTTCCACACAAGAGTTTATTGTGTACGGCACGGGGAGATGTTGGGAAGGTGACATTGGAGAGGATGGGAGTGTGAGTATGGAAAGTATACGGTTTGGAAGCTCTAGACGAGGGGGTTGGGATGGTGATGTTTTTGTGTCTCTCCGGTGACTGAACGGCTCCGGAGGAGCACTGTCCATTGACCGGTCTGTCGGCATCTCCATCTTCTGTAGCATGGAGATAGCGGGCAGGACCAAGTCCCGGGCAGTTCGAGACGTCTGTGCGATCCGCGTGGCATCGGTCACGTGACCTCGTTGCGTCTCCTCATCGAAATTGGTTTTTTTTCTCGTCAAAAACACAGAAAAGGACCCCACCTCTTAGTCGTGCCTCCTAGCAGCACAGCCTCGAGGTTATTTAGAATGTAGACAGGGCTCAAAGTTAGTGTACAACTGTTCTGCAGCAATTCATTCAATTCTAAACACTCCAAATCCATTCTGGCGAGTTTGCACTTTTGGGTTTCCACAGAGGTGGAGAGATTTGGGGGATAGATTCGGGGGTTTGGAGTTTTTAAGCGAAGGGAATGTGGTTGTGTGCTTGATTTTTTAAGTGGATTTTGTATGTATTTAATAGGATTTTTTTTATCATCTTTACGAGTTTTTACGATTTTTCACGATTTTTCACGATTTTTCACGATTTTTACGATTTTTTACGATTTTAATTTTATTGCAATTTTTGAAGAAGATTTAATCGAGTAAATTTAGGAGAATATTTTGAAATAAAATAAAATAAAATTCAGAAAAATGAAAAAGTTGTCAAAAAAACCAAGAAAAACACAATAAAATCCTGGATTTTTTTTAAAGCCCTAATTGGATGTTCATTCAACCGTACAGTCGCGCGTTAGGCCGTAATTCAATGCACAGCATGTGATATATTTAAACCCAAGACTTCTTGATAACATTCAAAGTCAATGTGGAAATGGACAGGAATCTGAGGCGCTGAAAAGAAACGAAATGGGTAATGTTTGGTGTTGATATGTGGCCACGACTCTGAGAAATATCACGGATGTACTAGTGTGACTCAATTCCGACTGTGCGGAGAGTTGTGGGTCCCGGTTTTTGTGGGGTTTGGCAAGATACGGCGTTTGTGATGGCAAAGGGGTCTTTTTCAGCTCTCTAAGAGCCCAATAATAATGCACTCAGCAGGTTTGTGACTTTTCCGTGGCGTATTTTTGAGACCACCAGTAGCACACTCTGTAGTGGAGGCCTAAATGGTAGTCTAGAAAAATGATATATATAGTGGTATCCAGCATCCGTTTTAGTAATCTCATAGATACCGAATAACTATCCAACTGATCTGGATGATCATGTGAGAAAAATTATCAACTCCGTTTCTCTATATCTCTTTTGCAGCGTTTTTTAGGTCCATTATTCCAACTCACAATCCCTCGACTCCGTCCAAGTCCGCCAATACCCGCTTCAGCCCCCTGGAATCTAGCCAGACCAGGTATAACGCCGTAATCTCAGCATTTTCGAACTTTGCCGGGCCAAAAACAAATTCCTGCTCACATTATGCCACATACTCATGCGAGTCCGCACTAGTATGGAGCTAGAAATATGCAGACCGGGGGTGGATGTATGAATTTACACGATATACAGCCCTTGAGTCGTATGCGAGAAATCATGTGGGTGTCGTTTCTTTTTGGCCCCGTTTCTTTTGGCTATATTGGAGTTTTATTCCTATAGCAATCATATGGGGGTTTGTGGGGGATGCAAGGGTCAGCGGAAGTGGCTCGTGAGTGGTATAAAAAAATCCTGGAGACGCACCAAGTTGTTTCGATATCTCGGCGGCACCCGTGGACCTGAATTGAACGAGCTGGGTTCACCATAATACGGCGAAATCGCAACACTGCTGCATTATTAACTCCGGGCTGGTGGGACGGAAATGCGCGTTTATATTGTTTGCAAAAAGGAATTCCGATCGTCTGTGAGCCTTTCTCTGGCGTGAATTTTAACCTGAATGTTTTGGGGCATGGATTTTTATATAGTCAGAATATCAACTCGAGAGTTGGACTAGCGGATAGAGAATCTTTCCACGAGTTCATCGGTAGTAGTTGGATCTCTTTGGGATTAGCAAACATCCCATAACTCCATTCCCCCCATTTTTCACACTGCAAACTGCGCGGAAATTGCTTTTTCAAATGGAGCCGTTTAAGACTATTTTTTGAGAGAAAATAACCACTGGGGCGATCCGCCGGTTGCCAATTAATAACAGGGGTTCCGCTGGACGAAAAACACCAGAAAAAAAGCAAAAAACGCACTTGTCCACCGACATCTGTCTCGGCAAACACCCTGCATAATCTTGCATAGATTGAATTAAAAATTAGCAATTAAGATAGAAAAAAAGGAAAATTCAATTAAAAAATAATTACAAGAAAATACAAGAAAATACAAGACATTACAAGAAATTACAATATATATTACGAGAAATTTCAAGAAATTACAAGAAATTACAAAAGAAATTGTCATGTTTTGATAAGAAATACCTATACAATAACAGGGCCTAGGGTTCTAGAACAGAAAATCGAAATTGTAGACCAATTTCAAGTCCTGCCAAGCCCATTTTCAAATCCTTCTCCAACAGCCATAATATTAGTCAAGGGGGATAATAAAACATATCATTAGACTCCCCCCGTACCCCAGGTAAACAGCTATCATTCCAAATTGTGTGTAGGATCAAAAAACCGAGAGAAACCGCGGCTCAAGGATTTTGTGATACGTTTTCAGATTAGGCTTTGGGAAACGGCCTGGAATTCTGCGGCCAAGAAAGTGCCCCTGAAGGGAAGATTTGTTCGTTTCGAGTAGTTGTGTGTTTCCATCGATTGGATCGACCCTGATGAGATTGACTGACGATCAACGGCGATCGTCTAGTTAACTTTATTAGCGGTAGTGAGCGGACAACAGCAAGGAGATATGACCGTAATGGAGAGTGTTTCTTCATTTCTCGAATAACACTATGCATGTGGCGCGTCACACTCGGTAGATGATGGTCCAGATGTCATGGGCACAGCATGTCATGGCATCAAATCAGTCATGTCACATTCTGTCATCCCGTCACCGGGAAAGACCTGCATTCCAGACGCAGA